AAAATGTCATATGGTGGGCTTGAGTGTGTTATACAATTACATGCTTGTGATTTTGTAATAAAATGGCATTATTTGTGCTGGACCCTCTATATCTTGGAAATTGTTATAGAGATACATGAACAAAAGTACTGCTTGAAGCATTTCACACCATACCAAAAGACTAAAAACAACTTATAAAGGACTGTTAAATGATGGAGCATGCATACCACAGAATGCACAGAATGCTTAAAAATACCCATATTTTTTGGCCCATAACACACACCTAGGTTTTAGAGGTGGAAAATAGGAAAAAAAATTTTGAAGCAAAAAATGTGTTAAATATTTAATAACATAAATAACATTTCACCAATGTAAATGTAAACAGAATTCAACAGCAGCATTAACCACCATTATTCCTCCCAAATTTGGGGGGGAGAGGGGTATGTCTTATGGTTTGAAAATACAGTAAGTCCTGGCCAGGTAGCTCAATTGGTTAGAGCATTGTCCTGATATGCCAAGGTTGCAGGTTCAATCTCCAGTCAGAGCATGTACAAGAATCAACCAAACAAGAATCAACCAATGAATGCATAGAGTGAACAACAAATTCAATAAATACAATTAAATAAAAAGAATAAGAAAGTTCAACATGTACCTCTTAGAAAAATACCCAAATATATTAACTTAAAAAGTAAAATGCAGAAGAGATTTTTTTAAATTTTATTTTTAAAGAGGGGAAGGGAGGGAGAGAGGAAGAGAAACATCAATGCGTGGTTGCCTCTCCATCATCCCACCAGCGACCTGGCCCGCAACCAAGGCAGGTGCCCTGACTAAAAATCGAACCAGCAACCCTTCAGTTCATAGGCCAGTGCTCAATCCACCAAGCCACACTAGCCAGGGTGCAGAAGAGTAGATTTAGAATGTTACTATTGTGGGGAGGAAAATGAAAGAACTGAATACGTAATACAAATATGCTTACACAGGCACAAAAAATCCTGGAAGGATATAAAAGAAACTGAAAACAGAAGTTGTTTCTGGGTAAGGAAGTCAGAAAATTGGCCAGAGTGGAGGGAAGTTTACTTTTTACCATATAACCATATACCCCCTTTTATATATTTTGAATTTGTGAAATGTGCATGTACCATCTACTTTTTAAGTAATTAAAGGTTAAACTGAGAAAAACCACATACACAAGTATGTGTCATTATTTTCACTGCTAATCAACTCCTCTTCGGAAGGGTCATCTATCTTCAACCACAAACAGTCAGTCCTGCTGACCCGGGAACCGCCTCGTATCATTGTATTTGCATCCCTGCTCCACTGTATGTCAGATTCTTGAAGATTACTTATTTCTCTTATTTTTACAGTCAATTTACAAAGTTTATTTTAGTCCCGTGCTTTTCTTGAAACTTCCTCTTTCTAGACAGTATTCAGTTCTCTAACACATGTTGAATATAAAGAGTATATCTGACCTCAGAGAAAAATTAAGCACAGAAAGACAAAAGTAACAGTTCCTAAGTCTGATAAAATAAACAACTTTGAAGACAAATCTTGTAAGAGAACCCACCCACCTTTCAGTTAAAACTAACAGTGTTCCAATTCACAGAAGCTGAAGAGGAAAAGGAATCCACTGTTTTATGTAACTGGAAAGTTCAAAAGCTGGAGCCGGCTGGAAACACAGATTGTTCCGGGCACTCAGACTCGTCCTTGGATCTGTGGCTCTGCTCGCAGCACCGCTGGGTTGCACTCCGCAGGCAGGCCCTCCCCGGTGGCGGCAGCAGCCTCAAACTCCCAGGCCCCTAGCTTAGCAATCCTGGAAATGTCTCTCTCTGAACCCAAGATAGCAAATCCAGAGAACACTGTAACAGTTCGTTCTTAAACTTGTCAAGGCTGGGGTCCAAGCCTGGCCCAGCTTAGGCTCTATGCCTTTACCTGTGCCACCAGGACCATAGGTGCAAAAAAGGGGTCCCCAGAGGGCATTCACTGCAGGAGTACTAAGTAGAAAAAACAACAAATGCCCTCTACTGTTGCTAACAAGTCAAGACGATGGCCCCTGGATATTTTAACATGCTTAAAAACAATAAACCTTGCTTCCTACCCTTGTTAGAAGATAGGATTTGTCAATTTCAAGGCAAGGAGGCTGAAAAGTTCAAACTGCCAAATACATAGTCTGATTTGTCTGCACTAATATAATTTTGAACACCAAATAGGAAACCTACTTATGCATATGCAAAAAAAAATAGACCTAAACTGGAATTATAAATCAGATTACCACCCTTTGGTCCCTCTGAAACATTTTGCTCAAGACAAAGTATTTCCATGGTGCACCCTGCCAAGATTTATCTTCTTCATTTTAGCCACACACTTTTTAAATCACCATCTGGCCTTGGCTGGTGTGACTCAGTGGACCGAGTGCTGGCCTGTGAACCGAAAGGGCAGGGCGCCAGTTTGATTCCCGGTCAGAGCACATGCCTAGGTTGCAGGCCAGGTCCCCAGCTGGAGGCATGCAAGAGGCAACCACTGTATGTTTCTTTTCCTCCCTTTCCCCCTCTCTAAAAATAAATTTTTTAAATATTAAAACATATATAATAGATAAACGAATAAATCACCATCCACAAGGTCTACAAGGTATCTAAGTTTGAGGTCTATATTTAGCTCTAAATTATAAAATAACTTAAGAGGCTGTAATATTTGTATTCTTCTTACCAAAAATTCATTCACTTCCTCCCAGAATCTTCCTGGTCAGCTAAACCAAATGGATACAGGATGTATCCTTAGATTGGTTGATTCTTGAGTAAATGATTTCAGTTGGCCCTCCAAAGCACAAGGCAGAAAATTTAAGTTAAGGTTTTTGTTTTTTTTTTTAGATTCTATTTATTTTTAGAGAGGGAGGGAAGGAGAAAAATTATGTGAGAAACATCAATTGGCTTTCATATACACCCCAACTGGGGATCAAACCCACAATCCAGGCATGAGCCCTAACTGGGAATTGAACTGTGAACTCTTGCTTTGCAATACGATGCCCAACCAATTAAGCCATACCAGTCAGGGCTAAAGTTTCTTTTTTTCTTTCCTTCCTTCCTTTTTATTCAATTGTTGTTCAATTACAGTTGTCCCCATTTTCCCCACATTGCTCTCCCCTGCCCTGCCCACCTGCCCTCCCACATTCAATCCTCTCCCGCCCCCAATTTGTCTTTGTCCATGGATTCTTTATATACATGTTCCTTGACTTGACTCTTCCCCTTCCTTCCCGTTATTCCCCTCCCCAACTCCCTCTGGTCATTGTCAGTTTGTTCTTTATTTCCATGTCTCTGGTTCTATTTTGCTCACTTGTCTGTTGTTAAGTTCCAGTTATAGGTGAGATCATATGATATTTGTCTTTCACCTCCTGGCTCATTTCACTTAGCATAATGCTCTCTAGTTCCATCCATGCTGTCATGAAGGGTAGTTCCTTTTCTTTCTGCTGCGTAATATTCCATTGTGTAAATACACCACAGTTTTTTTGATCCACCCATTTACTGATGGGCACTTGGCTATTATAAATAACACTGCTATGAACATTGGGGTGCAGAGGTTCTTTTGAACTGGTGTTTCAGGATTCTTAGGGTGGAATTGCATAGGTCAAAAGGCAGTTCCATTTTTAGTTTTTTGAGGAAATTCCAGTTTTCCACAGCAGCTGCACCAGTCTGCATTCCCACCAACAGTGTACTAGGGTTCCCTTTTCTCCCTATCCTGGCCAGAACTTGTTTGTTGATTCATGGTGACCATTCTGACCAGTGTGAAGTGGTATCTCATTGTGGTTTTAATTTGCATCTCTCTGATGGCTAATGTTGAATATCCTTTCATATGTCTATGGGCCCTCTGTATGTCCTCCTTGGAGAAGTGTCTGTTCAGGTCCTTTGCCCATTTTTTAATTAGATTGTCTATCTCCCCGGTGTGGAGTTATCTGAGTTCTTTATATATTTTGGAGATCAGACCCTTCTCCAAGGTGTCATTGGCAAATATATTTTCCCATAGGGTTGGTTCCCTTTTCATTTTACTGTGTTTTCTTTTGCTGTGCAGAAGCTTTTTAACTTGATGTAGTCCCATTTAAACAAATGGTTTAAATAGGACTACATTCTTTCCTTTATATACTTAGGAATAAACCCAACCAAGGAGAGCCAAAGAGGTAAAAGAGAGCCAAGGAGGTAAAAGACCTGTACTCAAAACTACAGAATGCTAAAGAAAGAAATTAAGGAACACACAAATGGAAGCATATATCATGTTCATGAACTGGAAGAATTAATGTCATTAAAATGTTCACACTATCCAAAGCAATTTATAGGTTCAATGCAACCCCTATTAAAATACCAATTATGTATTTCACATATACAGAACAAACATTTCAAAAATGTATATGGAACCATAAATAACCCCACATAGCTTCAGCAATTTTGAAAAAGAAAAAAATAGTAGGAATCACAATATCTGATATCAAACTATACCATAAGGTAACTTTAATCAAAACAGTCTGGTACTGGCATAAGAACAGACATATACATCAGTGGAACAGAATAGAAAGTCCAGGAATAAACCCATGTCTCTATGATCAGTGAGTATTTGACAAAGGGGTCAGAAGCATAGAATAGAGTAAAAAATAGGCTCTTCAACAAATGGTGTTGGGAGATCTAGACAGGTATATGCAAAAAAAAAAAAAAAAAAGAAAGAAACTGGACCACTACCTTACACTGTACACAAAAATAAACTCAAGATGAATAAAAAACTTAAATATAAGTCATGACACCATAAAAGTCCTCAAGGAGAACATATGCAGGAAAATGTCAAATATCCCACAAAGCAGTATTTTCACCAATATGCCCCCTAGAGCAAGGGATATAAAGGAAGTAATAAACAAATAGGACTACATCAAGTTAAAGTTTCTTAATAGGCAGAAAACAACTAAGATCAAAAGCCTGGCTATCCTTGTTATAAAAATGGCTCATTTTTTTAGAATAATGAAGACATGAAGGAGAGCTACTGCTATATGCTGGTTTAATGCCAAACATCATTTATTTGGAATTAGATAATTAAAGTTCATTTCTAACACATCTGCAAGAAGATTAATAGGAACAACTATAAAGGATGCATGGACAAAACCAAGGTGGGGATGGAAGCAGGGGAGGGAGGTGGTTTGGCTGGGGTAGCGGGGAGTAGTGAGAGGATAATGCAGACAACTGTCATTAAACAATAAAATACTTTTTAAAATGACATAATCTTTAAAACAAAACTAATTTTAAATCAATTTATTTTTTAAAAAACAAAACATATATAAATAGGCTAAATAACATTCAAGCCTGAGAGGGCTACAATCTTTTTCAAGAACTTAATAGTCCAAAAAGACTAATACTTACTGCTGATTCAGCTCACAATATCAGCCCTCTCAGGCAGCAATACAATCACTAGCAAACGTCATATGGCCACCTCTTATGGGAATGAGAGATTCACTGTGCAATGAGCCACAACCCTGCCCTCCAGGAGCTTACATTGTAGCTGGAGAAAAACAATACATCCAGAACAAATAAAAAGTCCACACATCTATCACAACAAAAACAATTACTGGCATAAGTCATCATCACATGTTTTAACAAATGTTAGTTGTAGGGACTACCTTGGCAAATGTACACGACCTCAAGTTTCAACCTGATATATCCAAAAAAAAAAGTTTTATTTTTTTGTTCACTCATGTTTCAAACAAATTGAACCAAAAGAGGAAAACACAATTGCAAACCAAATGTACCATAAAGTTTAGTGTTCATGTCCCAGAATTTCTCCATCCAGACGTCCAGTTCAGCAGTTCTGACTGCCAAAACGATGTACAAATTCAGACAGCGAATAAACGGCTCCCCACCCTACCTCAGGATCCATACTGATAAAATCATTCAGGTTCATTTTGGAATCTAGAGAAATACATGAAAGAAAGGTCCACTGAAAGCACAACTTTGGTTTAACAGCAACAAAACAACCCAAAAAACCAAAATTGGGGAAAATTATTCAAACGGATAAGGATTCAGTATCACTTCTGTGGTATTCTTATTGCAAATGGGTAACCTCCACCTAAGCATGACAAAACATCACACAAACCCAAAATGAGGGATACTCTACAAAATAATTGACCAGTATTCTTCAAAGTTTAAAAGTTAAAAAAGAAAAGGAAGAAAGAAAATGTCACAATTGAAGGAGACCAAGGAGACATGACGACTAAACATAATACCATGAGTCAGAAAAAAAATCAGTGGGAAAACTTATAAAATTTAAATTAAGTCTATAAGTTAATAGTATTACGTCAGTATTTTTATCAACTGTACAATTTTCTTGGTTTCAATAATTACACTATAGTTTACTCAGATATCTGGAATGTGAGTGGTGTTTATAGGAATTTTGTGCTATTTCAGCAAATTCTCTAGAAGTCTAAAATTATTTCTAAATAAAAAGTCAAATGAAAAAAAATGCATGAATAACCAAACTGCTAATTTACAGGAAAGTCAGAGGACATAAAAAAGACACAATTAGGAAAATCCAGACTGTTTCTCCCACTCAGTTTCTTCAACAAATAAATTATAAGAAAACAAAAAAGAGTTGGAAAAGGAATCTACATATTAAAAAAGTCCTCCCACCCTGCCTGGTGTGGCTCAGTGGACTGAATGCTAGCCTGTGAACCGAAAGGTCATCAGTTTGATGCCCAATCAGGTACATGCCTGGGTTGCATGTGAGAAGCAACTGATCAAATGTCTTGCACACTGATGTTTCTCTCCTTCTCTTTCTCCCTCCCTTCCCACTCTCTCTAAAAGTAAATTAATAAAATCTACAATAAATAAGTAAATTAAAAATAAGACACTCCTTACAACAACAACAAAAAGCTAGATAATCAGCAAAACCAAGTTTTGTTGAAGTCATCAGAGAGCCAGGGATGCAGGATGACCAAGGAACCAGAAACAAAGGAAAGACAGGTAGGTACCTCCAAAGGAGAGATGGGGCAGAAGTTAATAAATCTTGCTTATTAACTGGGTAAGTCTTGTTTACCTGGGATGGAAGCCACACTCCCTGTCAGTAAGTAGGTCAGCTAAAATTTTTAACAAATTGCTAAGGAAACCTCAACTACTGAAATATGATAGTATCTGTTTTCTAGGGCATTTAAATACAATTAAATAAGAAATGAGTACTATCTTCAGGTATTCACTACTTAAAAACAAAATGAAAGTTTAAAAATTGTTAAAAGATCAATGTACAGCATTTGTTTACGTAACACTGCTCAAGGCGCTCAGCTCCAATCAGCCAGTGTTACCATAACACATCAGAAAGCGGTCAGATAAAAGCTGTATGCGGACAAGATGCTGCCAAGGACTCAGGAAGAGAAGAGGACAGATTTGGTGTCCTCTACAATTCAGCCCAGGACTTGGGAAATGTCCTTAAAAACTGAGTCTTAAGTAGCTGGTGCTGGGACTTCATCATTAGGGCAAGGCTATAAGACTGTAAATCTCAGCTTCCTTCTCATCAGGAAGAGTTCCTTTCTTTAAAATACACTAAATGCGGAATTGGAAACAGTGGCCCTGCAGACACATGGCCACTGAAATTACTAAATGTTTAGTTTTTCACAATGCACAATATATTAAATGTACTAAATTTTAAGTCATAAAAGTAATAAATGTAAGGGACCGAGTAAAGTTGCTATTAAAATACCTAAAACATGCATTAAGATTTGATATTTTCTTGAAACTTTAATTTCTTAAAAAATGAAACACTAATTAGCTAAAAGTAATTCCCATTTGTTCTAACATTAGATGTGTTCCTATGATAAATACACAGCTTGAAGTAATTAATCACATGAGAGAACATTACAATGTGATTAAATTATCACACGAGAAACCAGTACGTTTACCCCACACTGCAGAGCAGATTCCTTTTAATTTCAATCTCAAGTTCAGGAGGCCTCCGCTGAACTAATTACATATGCACCAAAAAAGACACTGGCCTCCCCATTAAAAAAACCTTCCTCAAGCCTAGTGTGCTGACCCTGCCACTTCCTAGCCATGCACCTTAGGCAAAAGGCTTACCCTTCATGTATTTCAGTTTACGGGTCTATCCAATATGGAAATAAAGCTTGACTCGTTGAGTCATGGTGAAAATTAAATTAAACTAATATGTTAAAGGGCTGGCACAAAGCCTGAGACAAAATAGCACTTATTACACGGTAGTAATCATCAAACCCAAAGGAGGGACCCAAAGAGGGTCAGGACTAATGAGGTGGTACTTACTGAATGTCTACCACGTACAAGGCTCTGAGTTAGTGCCCACAGCTATGAGAAAGGAAGCTGCCAAGACACATTGTCCCAGACCACACCCCCTACAACAGGCTGTCCAAGGCTGAAAGGCATACCTCTGAATCATACCACTCTCCTATCCTGGGAGCTATCCCAATTCTAATGCTGAGCCCAAAAAGCAGGTAGGTGAACCAAAAAGCAATTCCAGTATAAATTTTTTAAATTAGGAGAGCTTTTCACAGAAAGCCTAAAAAGTCAGAGTTTGAATCCTCTCTTAGTTCACTCCCTTCAAATATGACAAATATATTCTTACTTGCTTCCTTGCTGACGTCTGAACAGTTCTGTCCCATTTTTCTGGCTGTTGCACAGCTTACAGAGCACTTTCACACAGACAGCAGCCATGTGATGGGATGATCTCACCAATAAATGGTAATGTTGTAAATTACTTTCAACCATAAATAATGTTTCAACTCATGTGAATGCCAAACAATAGTAATAGGGTGAAGAACCCTTCATCCACTCAAATCTCAAGAAATTATTAATTGGACTGATGCCTAAAAGCATATAAATGAGATGAGTGGTACAACAAAATCTAGTGGATCTTATCTCCTCCTAATGCAGATTTTACTCTAGAGCCAGGGAAATGACGTTTCATACATCACAGGATACCCTGGTGATTTTTTCACCATAACACCAAGCCCTACCACAGCAAGGTACTACTAGGCACACTGTTACATGACACAAGCACACAGATCTCCTAAAGCCCAGTATTCCCGGAGTAGGTACATCCAATACTCTAGCGAGTGTCATGGCCTAATCCTTAATGCCCTTCCTCTCGCATGAATTCTGATGCCTTCCAGCTGTGCTATCTGTGTCTCAATTTCTGAATCTCATAAATACACACAACTACACTTCCTCTTACCTCCTTACCACTCGGGGGTTTTACCCAAAGAACAATGCAATTTTTGCCCTTGGTGAAATAAAAACGCTGATCTGCATGGGAACTGAAAAGCCCTCTAAGGAAGCATCTTTGGCTCACCTCCAGTTTCAATGCAGGGATATGATGGAGGAGGCTCTCTCCAGTTCCCACTGGAATCTTTCATGTGAGATCGGTCAGAAGCAAAATTCTTCAAATAAGAATCGGCACGGATTACTCTAAATTTCCTGCAGATAAAGCAGCATTCATTTATCTCAGAGAGGTTATCACAGTTGAAATTCTAATTCAATTTTTATATAAACTTATTTTCTAAAGCATGCACAAAACTATGCAAGTGTTTTTGTATTATCAGTAATACAGAAATAAACGTGCAGCTTATTACCTACTAAAGAAGCCAGGAAAAATGATCTGATGAAATCCAAAACTACAAAGGCATGAAATACATGTAGTTGCCATTTTTTACTCAATTGTGTTTCGGGAGCAAAACACACTCTTTTCAGGTGCTGCCGTAACAGCCTCATTTTGGCATCTGAAGGCACCCCATTCCCACACCACATACATACACCCAAAAGGAGCAAAATAACTATTTGGGAGAAATCTCCAAAATAACTAAGAAAATATATGAGATATTATCACACAAATTTTTAAAGGACTGCCACTGCCAACCCTTTATACACTGGACAGCCTTTAAAACTTTAAAACATTTTGAACCTTCTGTGTAGCATATCATTCTCAAATATCAACTCGACAGTGATGCCAAGACAAGCAGTCTTTGCAAAACAAATGCAAAAACAAACAAAACAACTTTATGTAACTGTCAAAGTCTCACTCCAGAAAGTAGGAAAATGCATCCTGACTTTCCTCACCTTCTGAACTGTGGATGGATGTCCTCATCAGATTTAAAAGCATCTTCTACATAAGCGTCAAAAGGACAGGGAAATGGCAGTACAGTGTCGAGATCATAAATGAAGCTCTGTCCTCCACTTGAAACATGAAGCAACACAACATGGTAATCCTAGAAGTAAACATCGCTGAAATTAAGCAAGTTACTTTATGATGCCAAATTCTAAGGTTATATAACACTAATATGAAGAAGTACCCAAAATACCCCAGAATTTATTTATAAAAAATTGTGTATTTATTCTCACGTGTTTAAACTTCAGTCACCTTCAAAGTACTCTCTATTTAATACAATACAGCTATAGAAATGTTTTTCCCACTGCTTAAAACAGTTTTTGAACTCATCAATTTTGATCCCTTTTAGTGCTCTGTCATCTCTTGTTTCACCTCTTCCACATCAGCAAAACATTTCCCTTTGAGGACTTTTAATGCAGGGGGACATTGAGTGAATAGGGAGGATGGGGCATGGGGGTCATGCCGTTTTTAATCAAAAACTGCTAAACACTCAGCACAATATGGGCAGGTGTGCTCATGAATCACCTATCATGAAATGGGCAAGCATGTTGAATCTTGAAAAAATAATCACTAAAGTAGAATACAGCCTCTCACAACACCACCAACTGGTGTATATGGGTTCCTAGAACACTCGCCTAGCAGGGGAAACCTGTACTACAAACAGCCTGTCCTCCAGAAGATAATTACGGTTGTTTTTTTGGCAGGGGTTAGGGTTCTCCCTTGTACATCAAAAACAGATATAAGATGATTACAACCGTCTTTATATTAGCAAAATAAAGCTAATATAAATCCTGAAAACAGACCAAATGTCCAGTGGCAATGTTCACACACATCAAATACCTTTTGACCATGCAATTTTTACTTCAAGGAATCTACACTACAAAAAAATGGCTATACACATAACAATATATACACACACACAAAGAAAATCTCTGTAGCACTGTTTATAATAGTGGAAATTCAGAAACAATCAGAAGTCCACCAAGAGGGTTACAGTTAATAAATCATGATACAGTCATATCATGGAATACCAATGCAGCTGTTAAAAAGATTTTGGTACATGTACGTGGAAAAGAAAAAATGTCCATGTTATATAGCTGGATGGAAGCAGCAAATTGCAGAATATGTATAACATATTTTTTTAAAAACTGCATGTATATAAAGACACAATGTACATTCAGAAGTAAATATGCATGCATATGAATGCAGAGGAAACAGTCTGTAGATATAGCCTCCAAACTATTAACAAAAGGAACTATTGAGGTTAGTCTGGAGAGGGAAAGAAGGGCTTTAACTTCTTGTTTTATACTATATATGTAGTTAAAAGAAAGAAAATTGTTTGTTTTGGGTTTTTGTTTATTTTTCTTCTTTTAATCAGCTAAAACCTCATTTGTAACCATTAAGGAATAAAGAAAGCTTTGTGCTCACAACTCAGTGGCAGAGTGTATGTGAGTCGCACTCTCACTCCCAGACCCTGGGCACTGCTGAAGGGGATGTCAGGGCAGTTATCAAGAACGTGGGGGCAGTTATCAAGAACGTGGGGGCAGTCTGGTGCCTTGAGTCCCTCAGAACAAAACACTGTCACAGAGAACACTGTGAGATAAAAAGTTCTATCACATTATTATAACATTCATAATACCATCTTATGTTTCTAGTACTTCAGAGCTTACAAAGCACTTTCTCAGCTATTATTTCATTTCACTCTGGAAGGTGGGAAAGATAATTCATTAAGACTAGAGGTGTTGTACCAACAGAGCCTAAAGTGCTCCCTCTGGCTCCAATTCTATCTTAGTAAAGCAGAAATAGCATCAGAAATGGATGCTTATTCCCTGTACCCCCGTTAATGCACCCTACCCTCCAGATATAAACGAAGCACGGCTCCCCTACAACAGCCCAATTCCCTCCCCTGGGCTCATTCATGTTATTCCCCTCCATCTACAGCAATCTTCTCCACCACTCTCTCCACATCCATCATTCAAGCTCTGACTCAAATGCACTCTTCCCTTTAAGTCTGTTTCCAAATCTGTTTCTTGCTTGACATCTTCTAACTCATATTATATATTTTTTGCAGTACACACTCCCTACTATTTATGGGAAACTGTGCTGTTGAAATAGATACAAAGATGGGAAAGACAGCTCCTCACTCTCAAGGAGTTCCCAGAGAAGTGAATCAGAAACACAAGTCAACTATCGCCAATAGAATGAGGATGAGATAGAATGAAGGAGGCAGGGGAGTGTGCAGATAAAGGCATTCTGAAATTGGTTCACCTATTCAAACCTTACCCTTCCACTTACAGCCTCAGTTTCCTCTTTTATAAAATGGAGGTAATTACAGGGTTCACCTTGGAGTGTACTGAGGGAATTAATAAGATTATGTATGTAAATATCTTTTTAAAAACCAACAACACCAACAACAAAAACCCAGAGGAGATGGAAGACCAATAGCCAAGGAGTTTCACTGAGGAAGGACTACCACCACTGAATTTTGTCCAAAGGGGAGAACTTTCCAGAAAGGAGATACAATCTGTGAAAAGGCATAAACAACAAATATCCACAGCCTTCGAGTTAGTTCAGGTCCACATTCCTACACATCAGATGGCTGATAAACTTGAGAGAAAGTAGGCCTCAACTTGGAATTGCCTTTACAGCAGAGATGTACAGCCAAAGGAGGCAGATAAAAGCAGTCAACCTCACTTTCTGAGTTGGGTTCAGTGTTTGCTCAGATGCCAAGGAAGACCCAGTGGGACTAGCATGGGTCTGCTCCTTGGGATCTGGTGTCTCTACCCATTCAGGGAAGCCTACCCACTTCCCACAAGAGGACAACAATGAGGCAAAGACTAATGTGCCAGAGAGTGTGGGAGGCTTCCTGCAACAAGGTTCCCCACGCTGAGCTGCCATGAGATTTGCATAAGGGGGACATGACCACAGGTCCTTGCCCTGTGAGTTTCCCTAAGACGGGAAACAAGGCCATGACTCAAAATCGGCTGAGTCATGCTACCAACTAGGCGGGTAGCTTAGTTGGTTAGAGTGCCATCTCAATGTGCCACCAAGGTTGCAGGCTTGATTCCCAGTCAGGGAACATCCAAGATTCAACCTCTCTTTCTGAAAACAATAAACAAACATTTAAAAAATTAGCTGAGTGGTTCAGCAATGAGGATGGCTTCCTCATAGGGCAGATAGATAGTCTGCAGTAGGAATTAGTTATATAGTGTTGCTAATGGTAGCTAATGCTGCCTGAGCACAAGTACACACAGCCCATCAGTGGGAGACTGGGGCTCAACCCCAGTGTGCCTAACTCTAAACCCATGCTCCTAACCCAACACTGCTCTGTTTGGGGCTTTAATGTCAGAGTAGCACATGGCCTGCTGGTGAGAGAAGTAAGAATGTGAATTCCATAATTCCAAGGATTTAGCCTATTTTGTATCTGGCATATAACAGGTACCCAATATATGTATGTTAAATAAACCAATGAAATTAATTCAAAGGATATTTTAAATTACCAGAAACTAGATGTTTGTTACATTAACATGAATGAAGTTTTCTTTTACTTTTTCTTCATGTTTACTAGTACAAACAATTCTGTTCTGCAGGGGGTCAGGTGAGGGTGACACATGCATGTGTACTGGAAAGGACCCAGCCTAAGACCCAGTTCTGCCACTGATCAGCTAGATGACCTTGAACTACTCATTTTGCCTTTCTAGGCTTGCCTGTACACCTGAAAAATGAATGGGTTGCAGTACATCTGTGTTTTTCCAATGCCAGTCATGTTTGTTTACTTAGGAGTTTGCTAAAAAACTAATTCCTAAACCCTTTTCTAGATTAACTAAATCAGAAACCTATATTTTTAACATAGTCTCCAGATAATTCTCATGCACAGCTGGACTAAATGTTACTAAAGCTCTTTCCAGTACTAAAAGGATAAGAGTCAGGGAGATCACAAATATATTGCCACAAACGATTTCAAATCACTCCTATAATAATTTCAAAATTAAAATAAACACGCCTTGTAAGTGCTTCTCCCTTAAGCCAAATAACATCTATCCTCAAGAGCCAATTTAGAATTACTATAGCCTTCCTCTACTGCCCTGTCACTTCTGCTCTACCAAACATAAAGACCACTCAGGGTTCACGGCACTCATAACGCATCAGAAGCTCTCTGGGTTAACCATCTTACCCAGATCACAGGTCCATCTCCAGGTCTTGCCTGCTGTTTCCATATAGGTATCTACAAAACAATAAATTACGTAAGCCACAGTTTCAGTAAAACTACTACTAAATTCTTTAAAGCAATATATACATGAAAAATAAAATATTTCTAAGCAACAAAAAATCAAGGTGAAAGAATGAATGGGTAAGAAATTCAAATACTTCTAAATGTCCTTAAAAATGAAAAAGCAAAATTAATTATACGATGGTCTTTGGAGAGTAGAAAGAGACCTGAACTGGGAATCAGAAGGCCTGGCAGGTTCCAGTCTTGCTTTCCCATTTAATTATTCATGAAACCTCCCAAGTCTCTGTTTTCTCATCTACAAAACCGAGATAGCTCCCTGAAACTTGCATGTTTCACAGGGTTCTTATTAGGAGCAAATAAAGTGATCCTTGCAAACGTGAGATAGCTCCCTGAAACTTGCATGTTTCACAGGGTTCTTATTAGGAGCAAATAAAGTGATCCTTGCAAACGTGCTTTATAAAATACGATGGGTTCCTTCTTTTTTAATACTTCATGTGAGTTTACTATAATTCTATTCTATTCTATTTAAACTCCTAAAGAAAAGAGGTTTAATCTGTGTGAACATACCAACCCATAGTTCCCTACCTACAAGTAAGGAACTAGGTTCTAGTAATCCAACTGTGTACCGTGGAAGGGGAAAAAAAATTCATCCAAAAACAAACTTGAAAATGTTGCCGTATTTTATAAAGCACATTTGAAAACAGTACTAAACCCACACTATCTTTAGCTTCGGATACCCTAAATTTCTTGTTTTCTTTGTGCAATCACTCACCAACTTACCATCTTCCTCTCATTAGATATGAAGACAGCATAACATTCTTCTAAAGGATACTGGTCGTGGTTTTTGATGTATTCACAGAGTTTCCAAATATTTTCTTCACTGAAACAAAGTTGAGTTTTGTTTAATCAATACAATGAAGCAAAAATGCTCCATGCCTTTCAAATCTGAAAAGACTGATGATGACACGAAGCTGTTGGAAGAGACCTAAAACACCATCTCATCTAACGACTGGCTAACATTTGAACCTCCTGCAAAACATCCCCAACAAGCTGTTATCCAACCTATACTGGGTGGACCCCTCTGCAGACATAGAGCTCATTACCTCCCCCAACAATGCCTGGGTATGGATAAAAATATTTCTATATCTGATTAAAATGCTACATCAGTATTCTGTAAGCTTTGGGCTCAGGAACTTGAGATACACCTGGAATTTCAACTCAGCCACTTAAACATAAGAGGCTCTGAATACCCTGACCTGAGTGTCTGTTTTTCTCATCTATAAAAAAAGATATAATCACATTATATTATAAACACTTAATACATCTTATTAACACTGGTTTCCTGCTCCCCTAAGGAATGGGGCAAGGCAAGGTGAGTGTTTGGGGTAGGAGGGCTCCTGAGTGGAAAGGGTCAGGGCAGTTATGTGATACGTCCAGGAATACTTTTGGAGGAATCCCTGTGAGTGTGATTCCCCAAACCCCTCTGGTACGGAGGCAGTCCTGACTTTCAGAATGTTCTTTCCCACAATGAATTGAAATTCACCTTCCTATACCTCCACCCCAGATGAAGCTGCCTTCTACATGAGAGGCCTTTAGCTATCTGAAGCAGTGGTCAGAACTGCCTAAGTAAAGCAATGTTCAGTGCATCAAGCCAAGCCACACTAGTAGCCACAGCCACACTCCCGCACAAGTAAGCAGTCACTGCTGGGAGTCCTCAACAGCTCAGCCCCGGCATTCCTTTTCCTAGTAGGCCATTCGGTGTACCTTTGCTCAAAATGAGCTATACCAACACTCATGTGACTCAATCTGTCAAAGCCTAACTTCCCGGCACCTACACCATGTTACTTGAAAATGAAGCAAGGCGCAAACGGCATTGAAGACTGTCACTATTTTATAGAATTAAACACTTTCAATCCACAAGCACTGTCATTGTCTACCTGGCTCAATGTTCCATACAACTAGGCTTAAAGCACCAAAGTTGAGTTTCTGTATTTTTCTCCTGTAATTTTGTTTCTCTCTAAAATACCTAAGAAACCTTATGGGAAAAGTAGTGGTAGAGGTCACAACAGGAGATTACTAACTACTTCCCCATAGTATGAAACAAACAAATGTACTATTTTTGCTCACATCCCCCAAGATATCTAAGGTATCTACCAGGTCTGACCCCCAAAGTATGCTTTCTGTTGCCCTGGCTGGGTGGCTCAGTTAGTTGGAGCATCGTCCCATACACTAAAAGGTTCCGGGTTCAGTTCCCAGTCAGGGCACATATTTAGGCTGCAGGTTTGATCCCTGGTGGAGGCACATACAGGAGGCAGCCAATCGGTGTTTCTCTCTCCCTCGTCCTTCCTCTCTCTCTAAAAAAAAAATCAGTAAACGTAACATCAGGTGCGTAGTTAAAAAAAGTGTATTGTCTTCAAATTTACTATCTGAGATAAATCCCTAGTCTCTTGACACTTTGCTGTGATTATGCAGTGTCAGCAGTAAGTCTTTAAAATGCAATTTAATTGTGACGGGATGTTAGCATCTAAAAAAATAAACCGTTTATAATCACACACACAGAAATCACGATCACACTTGGTTCTAGACCAAGTTTTGAGAAGGCATTTGTCTGTCTTGCCTATGACATTTCGCAGAGTTGACCACAAAAATTTTCAAGAGCCTGTGATGTACAAAACACGATGTGAAATGCTTGGAAGATATGATAATTACTGCTTACAGACAGTGAGAGTAGACATACAGATCCATAAATAAGCAAGTATCCAAGGCCACAAAAGATACATAAAGAAGCAAAGAAGGGGGACTCAGAGCCTGGCCTGGTAGTTCAGTTGTTAGAGCATCGTCCTGATAAACCCAGATTGCAGGTTTGATCCCTGGTCAGAGCACATGTAAAAAGCAACCAATGAATGCATAAATAAATGGAATAAGAAATCGTTGTTTCTCTCTCTCAAATCAATCAATCAATTTTTTTTAGAAAAAGGGAATCACTAATTTTAAGGGATAAGAGAAGATAGAGGACATACAGGTCAGTTGTTTTTCTTTGTTTGTTCCCCTTTACCTCACCGAAGGTGAGGCACAGAATTAATGCAAAAGTTCATGAATCCATATGTAACATAAGCACTATTGGTAAGCTGAACGCACATATGCTTTGAACATATTTGGCCTACTTTTTCAAATATATGTGAATATTTCACAAAAAAAACCCAAATTTAAACATGAGAGATACTGAATTTGTAGTCCCTTTCTATTTCCCTCCCAAGAGTAAGATTAATATCATGTAGGAAGATCTCATGAAACTTTTGATGTTAATAAAACAGAGGGCCTGTATAGTTGGAAACACTGGAAGTCAGTTGGAATAGAAAGAATCCCGGATTTGATTTGAGTCTGGAACCCATTTAGCTGATTTTTTAAAAGCGGGAAATGATGATAATAATGCTTCAACCTGTCAGTTGATTATTTTGGCAGCATTAAAGCTAACAAAGAAGGATTAGGGCCAAGATTCTACAAGGGTCACTGGTGATGGGCTAAAGTAGCGAAGGATACAAGAAGGAAAAAATGCTCGACCACCCACACAATGCCACACTAATACTGGCCATCACTGTTAGCATTAAGCTGGGTCTTAAAAGATGAAGTAACATCTGACAGAAACTAATAGAAGCAGAGACAACATTTATTTCAAGTTAGAAGAACTCACAGGAGCAAAGGCAGTAAGGTGTACCTACCTGATATGTACAGACAGGGTAAAGCACTGGTTCTCACAAAGAGGTGATTTGACCCCCCAGGGGACATTTGGCAATGTCTGAAGACATTTTTGGTGGTCATGAATTGAGAGAGGGTGCTATGGGACTCTAATGAATATAGGCCAGGGATGCTGCTACACATCCTGCAACAGATAAGACAGCTGTTGTAACAAAGAATCAACATGCTCAAAATATCAACTGAGCCAAGGTTGAGAAACCCTACAGAAGACAGGCTCAAACTGAGGTTGTAGGAACAGACGGTGAACAGATCTTAGTAGGCATTTTATGCTCAGGAGATGGACTTTTTTGCCTACGCCTGTATTCCTCATAATGTGATCCATAAGACACAGGCTACTCCTCTGTGCTGCTCACACGTCCAGACTCTGGGGTGGGACCCTAACAGCTGCCTGTTTTACAAAAGCTCCCAGGAGATCTTCTAGCACATTCAAATTCAGAATGGCACTGAGCAGCGTGAAGCCAGCTAAAGTTAAAGACATTAGGTGATAGGGAAGAGCTGGGCAGAGGAGTCTCATAGGAAAAATTGGAACAGGCCCCCAGCTGGCCAAGGAGGGTCTGGCCTATAGCTGAAGAAACTAAAAGATGATTTATTGAAGAGACTGTTATGTCCTACCATTCTCCCACTGAATCGCTTCACTACACTGTGCCAGCCTCCTTGTTATTCCTAGAATAATTACAGCATACCTCCTTCTCAGAGCCTTTGCCCCTGCTGTTCCTTGCCTGCCTGGAATGATGTCCCGCCAGTTATTTATTAAATTCCTGCCCTCTTTTTCTTTAGATTTCTCAAATATCACTTTACCAACAATGTCTTCCTTCAATATCCTAATATAAAATCATTAAGTCTCCATCTCTGATCTGGTTTTATTTGTCTCATAGCAATTAACACCATCCAAATGTGGTTTACTTATTTTTGTCTGTTTTCCCACAAGCAAAACATAAAAACTATGAGGAATGTTGTCTGTTTTGTTCACTGCTATAAACCTAGGGCATAGAATCCTGCATTACATGCTCCAAGTGCCTAATAACCATTTATTGGATGGATAAGTGAATGAGTAAAACAACTGAATGGGCAATAAGGACAAGAATAGGATTTAGGTGAGAGGCAGGGTAGAAACAAAGTGCAGTAGTTAAGCATGGACGCCAGCATTACCGAGGTTCCAGTTTCAGGACCACCTCCCACGTGCTAGATCTATCATCTTGGGAAAACAACAGGCTTCTCTGTGGCCCATCTTTTCATTTTAAAAACCAGGGAAATGATAATAAATGGAAACTGTGTCCTGGGCATGGATGGAAGAATTTGGCAACGGGCATGACATGCGGTCAGAGCTGAACAATCTGTTAAGCTCCTGGTAACACTGGTTTGGTAATCAGCCGAAGGAGGGAAAGGCAGTTTTAGATGGCCCTGAGGTTTCGCAATTGTGCAGGGACTGAAGTGGGAAGAAGTCATTACACACGCAAGGGGAGGTAGGTATGGGAGTAAAAAGGACCAAGGTAGGAGGGGTGGGTGATTCAGCCACAGGGTGGCCTAGGACAGGGGCACGACAGTGGAGTCCAGGCCAAACCCTGCGTGCAAGTCCCATTCCTTCGCTCACAAGCTCTGTGGCCTTAAATAAATTACTTCAGGGTTCTTACCTTTAAAATGGGGGAAAACAACGGTACCCCCTCCTAGAGTAACTGTGGGGCGTCAATGAATTCGGTTACATAAACCATTCCGGCATATAGCAAGTGCTATGTAAGTATAACCATTATTAAATGACAACATGGTGGTTACGATCATGGTTTTTGGTACAAGAAGGTCTGATTTGGATTCCTGGCTGCTATTAACTAGCTGACCCTGGGAAAGTCACTGTGAAGACTCTGTGCCCCCGTTATCTTACAAAATGAAAACGACCTTCACGTCAGTGCGATACCACACAGAGTTTGGCAGAGTAATTTTCCAACGGCTCTCTGTGTTCCACCCTCCGCTTCCCACTCCCCTTCCCGGGCCCGAAACACTGAGATCCTCTGAGGAACGTCCAAGCGAAAAGCGAGAAGCTGAAATAATGCGACGCCGACCCTACCATTCCCGGCAAAACCCGCCCTACCTCACCCCATTCAATGACCACGCTCTATTCCAGAGATTAAGGCTGCCATTCCCGCTACCTCCTCCCGCCAAACCAGAAAACCCGCCAGTCGGTGCCCAGAGCACCCCGGGAAGGGGCCGGGAAGAGGCGGGGCCCGGCTGCGACGCCGCTGCGCCCGCGCCCCCTCACCAGTAGCAGCTGTTGTAGACACAGGCTTCCCGCGGTGGGCTGGCCGGCTGGTAGTGGGCCGCTGCGGCTGCGACTGCGACTGCGGGGACATCCTCCTCCATGGTGGCTTGGACCGCGGCACCGGCCTGAGGTGGACTGACTGGACCAGCCCGCGGGCGGGCTTCGGGAAAGAGCGGATGTACTGCACCTGGGCGCTCGTATTCTCGGGATAAAGTGGGCGGAGCCCGAAGCCGCGGGTGCTGTTCCCCTAGCGGTGGATCCTGGGATGGGGTAGGCGGAGCCTGGGCGGGGTGGGAATCTCAGTTTACCCGCGACCTCCGCGGGCCGTTGGGTGGAGCTAGAGTTGATGGGCGGGCCCAGGACGGTCCTCTACTGGCGAGGTGGGTGTGCAGCTACGGTGGGCGGGGCCTGGGTGGAAGCTGGAGCTGGTTCCGGGAGGGTGGAGCCAGGGCAAAGTGGGCGCATCGGGGATGGAGTGAACGGGGTGAGTTCGCAGCGAGGAAGACTGCGGGATTCCGGATAGGTGGAGCCGGGCTGGTGGGAGGAGCCAGAGGTAAGACTGGCGGCTCAGGTTCCAAGTTGGGCGGGGCTGTGAATGCTGGCGGGGACATCTGGTTAAGCCGGGAAGAGAAGTTACACACTCCTGCAACCTGAAAATGAGTCCAGGGAGCAGTTTGAGTTGGTAAGCCACCAGACCCTTCGTGACTCCACGAGGAGTCGGAAGCCCTTCTTCCAGCCTGGGGCCGGGTTTCCAGCCGTGGAGGAACAAGATGACACAAGGGAGGCTCGATATGTGCGAGTAAAATAAGAGAAACTCGTGTGTGAAAAACGAAGCTTTAGTGCCTTGAACCTAGAGACCGCGGGACCCTGGGGGGAAAAGGAGTGTGTGTGTGTTGGGGGGGGGGGGGGTAATTTCAAAAACGCCTGCATCAAGGACGGCTTTAGGCAGGGATGTTACCCTAAAATCTCACCATTGTGTGTCTTTAAAAAAAAAATAAAGAATTGTATATATTGGCTCAGAAAGATACATGGATTTTTTAAGAGTGTTAATAGACCTCACGGTACCCATTTTGTGTTAATTATGTATTCATTATTTGCTGGCAGTCTGGAAGGAAATATGCCAAATTGTTAAAACAGGGTTTATCTTTGGTGAAAAATAATTTGCACAGATGTTACAATATAACATATTGTAAATATTATATATTATGTTATAAATATATATAATATTTGTGCAAAAAATAAATTGCACAGATGTGAAAGGGGAGATCCAGGAACTCTATACCACATAACACTAAGGATTAAAAAGAAAGGGTTTTTTTTTTTAAATTGAAAAGGGGTATTTATAATGCCCAGTATTAAAAGCCAAAAGAAAAAGGAAGAGATAATCCCATAGTTTGGCACCAAATAGTTGTTGGCTATTTCTGAAATAGCCAACAACTATTTTGCTCTATCAACGATGATCCTCAATCTGTAAAGGACAAGAAAAATAGCAGTAAGAGGAAATTAAAGTCAAGAGAAGTTAAGTGATAGAAAGCCCCAAGTTGCCTTAAATGGGTTTAAAATGTTCAGACCCAGATGAGTTATATCCGAGGATACTGAAAGTACTTTAGATTATGACTCCAATGCCTCTCTTACGGTTCTAGAAAACATTTTGGAGGAGATGACATAAGACTAAATATAAATACTTGCTGTCTTGAGTTTCATAAAAGGAAAAAATGTGTCCCATACACTATACCTGGTGAACTCAATGCCTATTTCCAGGATGGTCTGCGACCATGAAGAAAGGTAATTATTCAGGGGCCTTTAGTGGTTTCACAGAGCCCATCTCATTCCAAATGGGCCTCATTTCACATTGTTGGAAGAATTCATTGATCATTGGATTATAGCACAAAAATATAATTTGATTCCAACAAAGCAGATGCCCCAGTTTTATTAGCCATAACTCCTTTCCTCATTTAGTTAAAAGTCAAGGCAGAAAGACTGTTTATTAGCTGGTTTAGCAGGAAAGATGCTCAAGTGGCTCTCACAAGGGTGAGCTGCAGAAACCAGGGTCTCAAGGGACCAGAAGCAGAACTCCCCTCTCAGGCCTTCTGTCCGCCTGTGTCAGTCCGCTCGTCAGTGCTCGGCCTCCTTCTCAGGTGACTGACTGCACGGCTTGCTGTGGGGAAGATGGCCGCTGGCCGCCCCACATTCATATTTTCCAGGCTTGGCAACCCCAGTGGAACGAGAAAACTTCGTTTCCTCGTAGCAGTCACACAGAGTGACTTGTCCTTTTATTTTTTACATTTCTTTCCTGCTTGAGTTTTTCTCATGTATTAGTTTTTAATACATTTTAAAAATAAATTTTCTTATTAAATCAAATATATATCAACATTAATATAAAGAGCTACCTGGACAGACTTGCTCACTTAACTGTTCCCCAGCTGTTGCACATTAGTTTGTTTTGATATCCTACTATTATAAATAAAGCAATCAACATCTTTGTACATGAATCTCGGTCAGGATGGAGTCCTAGAGATAAAATTCCTGGGCCAAAGGTTTTAAATATTTTCCAGGTTTCTTGATACATGTTGCTATATTGTGTTTAAGAAATGAGCCTAGCTCTGGCTGGTGTGGCTCAGTGGATTAAGCACTGTCCTGTGGACAGAAAGGTTGCTGGTTCGATTCCCAGTCAGGACACATGTCTGGGTTGTAGGCCAGGTCCCCAGTTTGTGGGCGTGCAAGGGGCAACCAATCGATGTTTCTCTCACACATTGATATTTCACTCTCTTTCTCCCTCCTTTTCCATCTCTCTAAAAATAAATGAAATCTTTAAAAAATTAATAAGCCTATACCTCAATATTACATTCAGTATTATTTAAAAAAATACATAGACAAAAATTGGCATTCCCATTATTTTAAAGATTTGATTGATTGATTGATTGATTGATTGTGCTCAGTCACCACAGCCATACCAGCCAGAGCTTCCATTGTTATTTTAATTTATATTTAACCAATTACTACTTATCTGTACTAACAGGGAAAATTTCCTTATAAAGCAAAAAGTCCTAAGGCAGCAATGTACTATGGGAGCTCTGAGGGGGACACCCTCACTGCTGGGGAAAGGCATTGGGCTGGGTGGGAGCACAAGACTACTGTTACTTAGAATGGGGTGGGAGGGAGGTGATAGCCCAGCACCTTCTACGTGGACCAGTCCATGCCTGTGTTATTAGGGGAGGTTAACTAATGATTTTCCCTCTTTTTGTGGAAAATCAGGGAGATTAGCTATAAAATATAAGTATGGTCACATTTACAACATTCCTGAAAGAAATCCCTGTGCAAACTGATGTTTACTTTCTAACTTTGTTACCAAATTAAAAAAAAATAGAAAGGGACCGACCCATGACCTCATCTCAAATGAGGTAATGGAATTATGATTAACTCTTACTTCAGCCCTCCTTTCTGTCATACTTAAGGTAAGAACACTTGATCCTCTTTAAGCAGTCAGTGGGGGTGGGAAAGAACCTCAATGTTCACCCCCCTTCTTTTCCTAAATCAGACCACTCCTACCTGCAACAACTAGAGAGTGGAAAAGAAAGAAGTATTGCCTGCCAAAGGCTAATTCCAGACCAACTCTTAAAGTTTCCTAAGGCGGCTATGACATTACCACAAACTAGGCAAGGGGAAAAAAAACAGTGAAATTCATTCTCTCTCAATTCAGGAACCAAAAGTCTGAAATCAAGGTGTCAGCAGGGTCGGCTCCTTCGGGAGGCTCTGAGGGAGGATCTGTTCTGTACCCCACTCCTGGCTTCTGGTGGTTCCTGGCAGTCCTTGGTGTTCCTTGGCTTATCAACGCATCACTCCAATTTCTGCTCCCATCTTCACATCACGTTCTCTGAGTCTCTCTGTGTGTCAGATCTCTCTCTTTTTTCCCCTAAGACACCAATCACTGAATTTAGGGTCCACCACAAATTCAGGCTGATCTCGTTTCAAAGATCTTTAATTACATCTGCAAAGACCCTTTTCCAACTAAGGTCATATTTACTGGTACCAGAGTTAGTTCAGAACTTGGACGCATCATTTTGGTACACACAGATCAATTCACTACATCAACCAAAGCCTGAGATAAACGTCATAACTCTTAATATTGGGGCAGAGAGAATAAATGAACAAGAAAACCCTTTGGCTGGCTCTGTCTATGGGTATTCTGAAATATCTCTTTGCTTATTTTGAAAGAACTAAAATGACTGCTATAATTTCCATGGAAGTCGATTTGATAATATCTAACAAAATAACAAATGCATATGCCTTTGGGGTGGAGGGTCTTTTTATACATTTTTACTGTATAATATGCATTAAGAAAAGAGAACATGTCAGAAGGGTAGACTATGTGACTTTAAATATTGTGCTTTCCACTTCCATTTATATTGCATAAACAATCATTTTAAGGTTTTTTCCTAAAATTAATACATATTCAATGCAAAAAACCCAGAAAATTGAGAAAGTACAAAGAAACTACACAACAACCACAATATTACTATGCAGAAATTAACCATTTGTAATAGTGGAAAATTGTAACAGTGGGAAATTGTAACCAACACCACCAGCATTCTTTGGACATTATTTTTTTAAGTGCAAACTTTGACCAATATGTAGCTTTAGATGAACAGCATGTTGGTATTATATAACAATCCTAGAAATTAGTTTCAAAAGATACAAACCCTGACCTTCAGGCATCTCAGTTCCGGGGAGATTTGCTGACTTCAAGCACGGAGCCAGGATGATGAGAATCCACGATGACTAAACCAGGATGCTGCACACGGGACCATCACTTGCCTTGTTGGAATGGACTGTGCTAGTCTGCGTGTAGAGAACTTGGCAACCCCCTCCTTCCATCTCTTCTCTCCCCCTCTCCCTCCTTATAAAAACCTCTGCCTCCACTGAGAGGGGGAGATGGGCTTTGTGACTGTTATGAGTCCCCCATCTTCTCAGGAGATGGGCTTTGAGGTACGAAGCCCCCATCTTTCAGGTGGCTGGCATCTAGAAATAAACTATTTCCCTTACATCAGCACATGCCTCTTGAATACTGGCTTTTGTAGAGGCCGGCAGCCGGCCCTGCATTTGATTACACATCCACATTTTGTTGTAGTTTCTTCTAGACCAGGGGTGTCAAACCCCATTTTCACATCAATCTCGAGATTGCCTTCAAAGGGCTGAAAGTAATTTTAGGACTGTATAAATGTAACTACTCCTTAACAGTTAAGTGAGAGCTCAGCACTTCGGCCAGATAGAAACAAGGTGCCAGGAAGGATAAAACCAGGTGGAGGGCCGGATTCAGCCCGCAGGCCTTACGTTTGCCACCTGTGTTCTAGGCTTTTTTCAATGTAAATATACACATGTACTTTTTAAAAAAGATGGAACTGTATGACCCTTTGTCCTTGTAGTTTCTTAACAGTACCATGCATTGTCCACATATAATTTTCCGTATAAATAAAACTTTCCATGTAATTAACAGTTACATTCACTTTGTGGAATGACGCTCGAACAATTGAGCCACAATGGTCAGGTCTACTTCCTAATTTTTACTGACTGCATAGCATTCTTGTTAAGTGAGGCCCCACTGAGAGGCTTTCAGGTTGTTTTCAGGTTTTTGACATTATGAATAATTGTGGTAAATATCATTTTATATGTACTTAATTTTTTTCAATTACAGGTTATATTTAGCATTCATTTGATATTTCAGGTGTTGAAAACATTTTAAAAGCCAACATTTTAAGTGCAGAATATATAATGACTCTATATCTTAAATGTGTATCGAAAGGAATTCCTAATATTCCCTCCAAACTTGCTTTAGCCATAACCGTCTCCATCCAAGTATAGCTTCATCTTCAATTAGCTCAAATAAACGACAACAACAAAGCAAACACTGGAGTCATCCTTGACCTTGACTTTTCTCTTTTTGTATTAGTGAAATCCAATTCATCAGAAAATTCAGTTGGCTCTTTCTTTCACATAGACCCATAATCTGACCATTTCTCATTACCTTCATTGCTTTCATACTGTGTCAGCATCATCTTCTTCCTGGATAATTGCAGTGGCCTCCTAACTAGGGGTGCCCCATTCAGGAAATAAAAATACAGAGTACTATGTTAAATTTGAAGTTCAGATAAACAACCATTTTGTTTTAGTATAAGTATGTCCCAAATATTGCCTTCTCCACACAGCAGCCACAGGGATTCTTTGAAAAAGTCACAGTAAGTCACTTCTCTGTTCAAAATCATGTGATGTCTTTTCATCTCATTTGTAAGAAAAAGTAAAAAACAAAAACGACAAAACACCTTACAGCAAAGGCCCACCCACAGCTTGCAAGATTTGTTACTGTGGACTGTTCCTCTTTTACCTCAGTATCCTCCTTCTCCTCCCCTTTACTTGCACTTCTCTTCTCCCAGCTATGCCCAATGTCCTTTAGGTCTTCACTTACACTCCTGGGTGATACCTTCTCTACTCATGCTGTTTAAAATTGCATGCTTCCTCTCCCTTTCCATGCTTTATATTTCTCTGACATCACCTTCCTTCCACCAGAAGTTCCATGAGAGCATTTTTGCTCTTTTTGTTCACTGCTGCGTCTTCAGTGCTTAGAATAGTTCGCAGTCACATAATAGATGCTCAATAAATATTTAATAAATGTTGAGTTAAGGCAATGTAGTTATCCAAATCAATAAATAGCTTTTGTGTCTGTTTCACATTCACATTCTGATCATTCAGCATGTTTTTATCTATTTCAAAGTAGTCAAGTGACTGCTGTAATCTTAAAGTCATTTTCCGGTAATTCTATAACAGTAACAAACATGTATTAAGTGCAGACACGGTTCTAAGGTATAACAATATCTCAGAACGTTAAGTAGTATTAGTTCACTAAAAGGTGAGAAAATTAAGAGATGGAGAGATGAATAATTTGCTCAAGATCATGTAAGTGGGACATGGCAAAGCTGGGTACAGAACCTGCGTGTTTAGCTCCATTTCTGTTTTCTTTCGAACTTGTTTTGGTTAAGATACCAGTAAAAAGCTCTCAGGGATTCAAGCCAAAACTCAACAAATGCAAAGTGCTTTTTACCCACCGGCAAAGGCTCCACGTTTCGCATTTGAATCGTGCCCTGGGGAAGCTGAAGGCAGGTGTCTACTGGGACGGGGAGGAGCCGCCAGACCCCCGCCAGCCAATCAGAGCGGGCAAGAGCCCCGCCCCCCCCCGTCCCCAGCCCCACACTGACATCCTCGCGCCAAAATTCCAAACGAGACTTCGTTCTGCTTCTGGGTGTCTCCCTCCGCCGAGTTCAGCGAACCGGAACTATGTAAGAAGAAGAAGAAGTCAGCGTTCTCCCGCCACTGTCCGCTCAGGTCCTCAACATTATGGGTGCGGATTCTCAACTTCGCCTGAAGTCCTTCGCTGTACAAATGAGGAGTACAGTTTCAAGCCCTCCGTTGTAGGGTGGCGGCGTGGGCGGGACGAGGCGGCGGAGGGATTCCTGGAGAGCGCGCTGTGAAATCGGCAGCTGGGCTTGTGGCGCCAGAATTCAGAGCGCGGAAGATCCGGAGTGACCGCTACCTGGCACTTGGGACTGTCTCGCGCCGCAGACGCGGCGTCAGAGATCAGAGAAGATGGTGGTCCTCCGCAGCAGTCTGGAGCTGCACAGCCACTCCGCCGCTTCGGCCACGAGCTCCCTAGACCTGTCCAACGAGTTCCTCAGCTTGGAACACGTCGGCCGGAGGCGGCTGCGCTCGGCCCGCGCCACCGAGCAGTCCTCAATCGCTGCGGCCGCAGTGGGCGTGAGTACTGGCCAGGGGCGGGCGCCTTGGGCCCGGCTTCGGGGACTGCTCGCGGCGCGTTGCGCCTCTGGGACCCGGCGGTGGGCGGTGCGGTCTGGGTGACAGTTGCGGGGGGGCGGTTAGGAGTGTTGTCGAGGACGGGTAACGTGGAAGTCTTAAGATCGGACCCTCTAAGGGTGTGGGTGGGGTGGAGAGATCGGACTGCCCGGAAAAGAGCTAAGCCGTCACTACCTACTTTTACACAAGAGGAAGCCAAAACCCTGTGGAGCTGTGCGCAGTGCAGGGACGAGCCTAGGTTTGGGAGGCTGTCCCCGCCCCCCACCTCACACACTTCCCTAACCCGGCGCCCAGGCTCCCCGCCCTGCGTTCCCTCGATCGAGGGCAGGACACGTGTTCGGACTGTTAACTGTCTGCCTGGGGAAGGTTTTAGGGAGCAGGGGGATAGAAAGAGTGTAACTCCGATTCCCTGACCTCCATTTAGGTTCCAGAGAGTTTCCGTAATAAGAGCGCGGTGAATAAATACCAGGTTGCATAATGGGTAGGGATGGAGACCAACATTTCACGTACACCGCTGCTCTCAAGCCTCCTGACAGCTCCGTAAGCATGGGAGCTGTGGTTGTCCTACAGAGGAAGAAACGGACTCCAGAGGTCGCCAGGAAGGGGTAGCTCTCACATTGGAGCTTGGACTCTGTGCCTCCGAAACCTTCCCCTTTCTGTTCTGCCACGCTGCAGTTACGAACAGTGTCTGCAGGGGAAGTTCCCCCCCAAGGGGCTGGAGCAGGCAAGTCTTGAAAGCCGTGCCTCTCCTTCGCAGAAGGGAATAAACAAACACTTGGAAGAGTCACAGGTGGAGGGGACAGCATTAACGAAAGATGGGAGACCGGATAAAGCCACACTGGGAAAATCAAGGCAGCAGGAAGTAGTTTAGTTCTGCTGAAGGGGGGGTGGGGGGAGGCATGGGAATGGGAGAAATGGGGCCAGAGAGAGGCCACGGGGAGGTGTGTGGGGTCGGGGAGTGACCGCGGTGCGAGTGAGGAGCCGGTTTCCGTCGTGGGTGCTCCATCGTAGTTGCTGCTCTTCTGAGGGCAGCGGAAGAGTCCTGTTCAGTGTCTGAAAATGTGATTTTGAATTGTAAAAACCATTTCCTGATTTTCAGGATTGGTTTCTGTCTTGTGCAGAAGTTAGTAGTGGTCTGGGGAGGCCAGACACTTCTGCGTTGAACTCAGGTCACTTTATTAAACTATGTTCAAGAAAGCTAATTATTTCAGTGGATATTTATTGACTCTTATCTTCAGGACAATACTAGATCCTGTGCCTCTAATGTATTGAATACAGGCTAAATAACAGGTGTTTAAAACAGCTGTCAGTTTTTAATCTCAGGAATAATCAGCAGGTTTCTACACATTAAAAGGTGATACTCACCACATGGGTAATGAGAATGAAATGTGATCATGTGTATAAGGAGATGAACTCTTGGCATATACTGTAATTAGGGCTCAGTCGTTGTTACTTATTTAGATCAGTCAATTTTAGTCAATGGCCTGTCGTCTTTCCAGTTTCTCAGGCCAAAAACCTCAGAGTCATCCTTGACTCCTCCCATTTTATATTAGCAAATTCTCTTGGCTCTGCTTTCACAATATATTCAGAATCTGATTGTTGTTGTGCTGGTTCAAGACATTATTGCCTGGATTATTAAAATAGATTCTTGACTGGCCTCCCTGTTTTCCACCCTTACATACATATATACATATGTATTGTTGATTGTCCTTCCTGGAACAGAACTTAGACTAGCAAAGGAGACCTAACAGCAATATACAGAGACTATTTGCCATACATGCCATGTCAGTGGCAAGTGGTGGTGGAGCAATTAGCATTCAGCTAGCTGGATGTTATAGGGTGGAAAGGATTTTTTTTTTAACGTACCTGGATTTCCAGTGGGGATTATATCTTTTTGAGATGCAGTATTACTCTCGCTATAAATTCCCTGTGGACCAAATTATGACTTTCAGAGGGTTACTTATTTAGTGAGTATAGGATTGGATCAAAAGAAATGGATAACCTTGAGGGGCAGTGTATTCATGTTGACAAAGCTCACCAACAGCAAATACAAAATATACTTTTGCAATGGGACTATTTTCTAATCTGGGAACTTTATATTCAATACATTTGCCTCAATTATAGCTTGACTTTTTTTTCATCTATCATGTATTTTGGAAAGTTAATACCCTGACTGTATTTGGATCTAATTGTATTTTTTTAGCCTCCTCAACCACAGTCTCTGACAGCATTTCTTAGGGTAGGTTACTTTTAAATATGGTTGAATTTACTCATATTCATTAACTTGGATTTTTTTTCGTCTAATCTCAGGCTGACTTTATCTTCAAGTTCCGAAGGTAACTTTAGTCACCCATTCATTAACCACATACTACATTTTGAAAATTATCTCACTCAACTGGGCTTAAAGATTTTTCTTCCCTTGGCTTGTATGGATTCTCTGAATTTTTGTTGTTTTAAGTTTTGTTTTTAATTTATGTCCTACCAACCTCATGAGTTTTGGTGCCTTCTGTGGCTTCCTCTTCCCCTAGGTTTAGACTAGCCTTTTTCTATGTCTGTGCTTTCACAGGTCTGGGGCTCTTTAAATTTATGGTTGTTTCTGATGCCGAAGACTCACTTCAGGATTGGTGATAATCATACATTATTTTTGGATTGTGTTAACGTACACTTTTATTCTCTATGTTAGATAAAATAAAGCATGCTTTAGCTTGTAGAAGATACAGATTTTTTAATTGTGTATTTATTTAAAAGTCTGGAAAGATATTCTAAACTCAACAAAGATGTGTACAGCATACAGGAGGTTTTCTTAAAACTGGAAGCATAACACAGCACAGAAAAATGAAAAGTGTACAGTTCAGTGAAGTATCACAAAGCATGGATAGGGAAGTTTTGACATGTGGCAATGAGTGTTGTTCCCTGGAGTTGGTTGACATGGCTGTGCTGCATTTGAGAGAGCCTACTTGTTTTGACTGACCCTTCATTTTAGGTTTAGAAGATGGGACTTCTAAAACAGGAATGTGATGAGGTAATGTTTAGGATGGATTTTAGACAACAAATCTAGAGTTTGGAAAGCCAGTTAAAAGATTATAATATTAATTGTATAGCACTTATATATGCCAAGCAAAGTACATGATATGCATGTACACATTTGCCCTATAAAGTAACAATATCCTCATTACAGATATGAAAATTAAGGCACCAAGACCTTATATAACTTGGACAAGATTATACAGATCTAAGTTAAGAACCAATTCTAGGCAGTCTATCTTAGTTGGGCCTCTTAATTTGTATGCTGTTACCACAATAGACCAAAGCAGAGAAAAGTGAAGCCTAAATTAAGGTGGAACTAGGAGGAATGGAGAGAAAAATGCCAAATAATATTGCAAGGGGCCTGAAAGTTGTTGAGGTACAGGGAAGGAAGGCAGTAAGCCAAAAACATGAATAGTAGATTATTGGGAATATATGGTGAGAGATTGGCACTATGTATGTTTGGGACTGATCCACCTGTATAGAGGTGATAGTTGAATCTTTCAAGGTGAAAAGAAACATAGCAAAACAAAAATATTTAAGATCTTGAGCAGTGGCTATATTTTAAGGATGAGAAGAGGATGAATTATGTAAAAAGGAGTATCACATAAACCAAAGGACCAAAGCATTTAAAGAAAGGAGTGATCAACTTCGCAGAAGTCAATAAAGCAGAGCAGAGACCATTGGATTTAGTAAGCTATTGGGAGAGATAGTTTGAGATCCACTGAAAGAGCTGTACAGGTAGAAACCAAATAGTTGGAGCTGGTAGAATAGATTAATAGTGAGGAATTGACCACATTTATATTTAAGGATGAAGCTAAGGAGGGATATTATAACTATATAGGGTATAATATACCATTGTGCATTAGAATATGCTGCTGTTCAAACTTTGAAGGACCCCAAAGTATGGGTGAATGCATTTTATGTCAGTATTATAACTATGATTTAAAAAATCCCACCTGCTGATGTGGCTCAGTGGGTTGGGCTCTGGCCTGTGAGGCCTGTGAACTGAAAGGTTGCTGGTTCATTTCCAGGCAGGGCACATGCCTGGGTTGCGTGTCAGATCCCTGGTAGTGGGCCTGTGGGAGGTAGTCAATCAATATTTTTCTTACATATTGATGTTTCTTTTCCTCTTTTTCTCTCTCCCTTCCACTCTGTCTAAAAAAACTAAAAAAAAAAAAAAAAACTCACTTAAACCTCTCTTGTTGAATTGATATTGAATTAATCAACTGACCCTCATACATATTTTCTGTTATGAATTTAAAGCTTTAATAAACTTGGTTTTCTGTGGGAAAACAACATATTAGAATATTTCTGCCCTGGCTGGTGTAGCTCAGTGAATTGAGCACAGGCCTGTAAACCAAAGGGTAGCTGCCAACCGGGGGTGAGAGGGGGCACATGAAAGGCAACAACACATTGATGTGTCTCTCCCTCTCTTTCTCCTTCCCTTCCCCTCTCTAAAAATAAACAAAGAAAATCTTTTTTTTTTTTTAAGAATTTCTGTTTTGTGGTTGTGTCAACCTTGGGGAAAAACTTGTTATTCTACTGTATGCTCCCTGAACTAGTTTACTTACTGATTCTGCATGATTATAAGACTTAAAATCTAACAATATATTTTTCCTCTTTTAACACTTTTAAAGACCTATCAGTGCTTCTAATATTTAAGTAGGTTTTAGCCAAAGAATAAATGTGGACACTACATCTCTAGGCTTTGTTTTCAGATTATGTTTTCTCTTTGTTATTTACTTCTTAGGAAAATCTTTTCTGGTAGTGCATGTTGTAAAATGTAGAAAGTGAAAGTCCCCATTTTTATCATCCAGTGTTAATTACCCTTAGGAGTTGGCATTTAACTTACCTCTTGAGAATTATCTTGATAAGCTATATTCAAATGTGACTTTGATTTAATAACTGCATTAGTTTTCTTCAGAAATCAGATGTACACAAGATTATTTTACGTAACAAAAATTGCAGATAAACTAAATGTACACAAGATAATTAATCTATTTTACGACACAAAAGAATTTAAGCATTTGTTAAGTTGATTCATGTAATGGGCGGGCTACTCTCCATTCATTTAAAAAGATTTTTAGAATAATGTTTTATGACATGGGAAAATGCGTATATTACTAGAAAAAAGTTATAAAACATAACTAAAACATAAAACATATAAAACATAAATAGTATTATGCTAATTTTAAAATCATGTGAATATGTTTGCATAGGAAAAAATGCTTTGTACACCAAAAGGTTAATGGTAGTTATCTGAATGCTTATGTCATTTCACATGTCTCTTATAAGAAACATTTTTGAAAGTTATTGATATTTTAAAATTCCCTAGTGTGTACCTCTATACAGGTGATTCCCCCAACACCTGTTTTTACCTTTTTTTCTCCCCACTGTTAAGATCCCTGTTTTGAAGCCTACTGCTTATTTAGGAAAAATAGACTAAGCCACTCACTATACAAATAAAAGATTCAGGTATGACATTAAATCCTCCAAGTTTCTCAAGGAAATTTTTTCCTTAGTATTTAATACCCCCTTTTTTTCTTTTTTCCTATGGAAACATGCTTTTAAAAAATTATCCTCAGGAACACTGGCTGGTGTCGCTCAGTAGATTGAGCACCAGCCTGCAAACCAACAGGTTGCCAGTTCAGTTCCCAATCAGGGCACATGCTTGGGTTGCAGACCAGGTCCCCAGATGCAGGCTGGAAAGAGGCAACCAATCGGTGTTTTTCTCCTCTTTCTCCCTCTCTCCCCCTCTCTAAAAAGTAAAAATCTTAAAAAAAAAAATTATCCCAAGGAATATGGGGATAATTGCTTTTTATTAAAAATTGACCCATTTTAACCATTTTTTAAAATGTACAGCTCTGTAACATTATGTACATTGACATTATTCTACAACCATCACCACCACCCATCTCTAGAATTTTTTCATCTTCAAAAAGCGCTTATTTCACTGTTTTCTTCTAAGAATCCCCCAATTTTTTAGCTCCATATGGTACATTTTAAAGCTGCAAAGTTTCCCCTACCCCAGTTGGTTTAGAGTTACAAAGATCATTTCTGTCATCTTTTAATATTGCCATTAAAAAATAAAACCATTACATCAGACTTGTTACAAGTATCCACTGGAATTTAAAAACCATAGTTATTTGATACTGTCTTGGAACATTAAAATAATACATTGACAAGCTTTTTTAGCAGCCAAAATTTTACTTTGATTCTTCCCCCCCCTTTCAATTTGTATTTCCAAACCACTTAATCCCTAGCATTTTATCTTGATTTATTTTTATGCTTTAAGGTTGTATATTACATTTTTATACAAAATTTTAAAAACTTACTGTGTGTTGAGTTAAAATTCTTAATATTCAGTTGATCGAAACAACAAAAACATTATTTTGATTAAAATGATGAAGTATAAAAAGTAAGATTTCATTAGGGGTTCATCTGTGAAATCCTACCCACCCAATTCATGTATCCGTGAATAAATCTAATTGCTGAAGACAGTGTTTGACATCAGTTTCATTGTTTTTATAATTTTAAGCACTGAGAAAATATTCACATTAAATAAGAAGGTGGTAATGAAAGGAATTTTGTTTAGCAGTGCCATTCAGATTTTGGGCTTTTGTGCCACAAATCATTTGCCACGATCTCTTAATTAGGCCTCTTCAATTTTATTGAAAGCAAAGAATTAGAAACCACTTAACAAAGGTAAGTTTTGTTACGTAGCTTAGTCATTCAGTTTCTTAACACCCACACTTGCGTTTTTCTTTGTTTGGCTTTAGGAAGGTTGTTTTTTGTTTGTTTGTTTGTTTGTTTAGATTTCATTTATTTTTAGAGAGGGAAAGTGAAGGAGAAAGAAATATCAATGTGTGGTTGCCTCTCACATGCGCCCCACTGGGGATCTGGCCTGTAACCCAGGCATGTGCTCTGTCTGGGAATCAAATCATGACCCTTTGGTTCACAGTCCTAGCTCAATCCACTGAGCTATACCAGCCAGGGTGGAAGGTTTCTTAATGCCTTGAGGCAGTACACAATAGTAAGATTCAGAATGAGAGATAGGACCCTTGGTAAATGAAAGAGGATGCCTTAGGTTGCCTTCTTAGGCAGATCAGTTTTAAGAAAAAGTGTATGTGGAAGTTGAGAATCTGGAAATAGATTTTCTTCAAATTTTTCTTGGAAAGTCTTACCTTAAACTGCGCCCATCCAAGATGTAGGTGTTTGTTTTAAAAATAATACACCTACCTAAAAGTGTAGGTATCTTTTCAAACATTCTTAAATACAGGGATGGGCAAAATTAGGTTTATAGTTGAGTACATGAGACTGTTTATCCTTGTATTATTTGTTAATTATTGCATTATTTGTATTACAACTGTAAACCTACTTTGCCCGTGCCTGCATAACAAAAAAAGTACACTGTTGCATGGCTAAAGAAAACAGTATTAAAATAAAAAGGGAACCGACTGTATGGGAAAACATATTTGCCTCAGACAAGGGTTTAATCTCCAAAATATATAAAGAACTTACACGACTCCACTCTAAGAAGACAAGCAATCCAATTAAAAAGTGGGTAAAGGACTTGAACAGACACTTCTCTAAGGAGGACATACAGAGACACACGAAGAGATGCTCAGTATCGCTAGCTATCAGAGAAATGCAGAATAAAACCACAATGAGATGCCACTTCACACCAGTCAGAATGGCAGTCATAAACAAAGCAACAAACAACATGTGTTGGAAAGTTGTGGAGAAAAGGAAACCCTAGTGCACTGTTGGTGGGATTGCAGACTGGTACAACCACTATGGATAACAGTATGGAATTTTCTAAGAAAACTAAAAATGAACATGCCTTTTGACCCAGCAATTCCACTGCTAGGATTATACCCTAAGAACTCTTTTGAAACACCAATCCAAAAGAACTTATGCACCCCAATGTTCATAGCAGCACAATTTACAATAGCCAAGTGCTGGAAGCAACCTAGGTGCCCAACAGTAAATGAATGGATCCAAAAACTATGGTACATTTACACAATGGAATTCTATGCAGCAGAAAGAAAGAAGGAGCTCCTGCCTTCTGCAACAGCATGGATGGAACTAGAAAACATTATGGTAAGCAAAATAAGCCAGGTGGTGAAAAACAAATACCATATAATCTCACCTTTAACAGGAACCTAAATAACAAAACAAACAATCAAAATATAACCAAAGACACTGAAATAGAGAACAGGCTGACAGTACCCAGAGGGGAGAGGGGAGGGAATTTCAGGGGAAAGGGGGAAGGGTTTACAGGAACAAGTATAAAAGACACAGGGACAAAAACTAGGTGGGTAGAAATGGGAGGGAGTGGGGGAAGGCTGGATGGGTGGGCTGGGATGGAAGTAAAAGACAGAAAATTGCACTTGAACAATTAAAATTTAAAAAATTTAAACAATAAGCAAAGGACAGGAATAGAAAACTACCAAAAATGTAAAAAAAAAAAAAAAAAGTACACTGAAAAAATGCTAACAAATCACACAGACATCACTTAATATTTTATTAAGTACTTATCCAATTCTTACACAAATTCTTGTGGCATACATATCTTTATTTAACTTGTGAACCAGTAAAATATTCTGTCCATACAAAATTATATGACAAAATGTCCCAATTAAAAAAAAAATGACGTAACGGGTAAAGCCAGTTGGGAGCAGGGAGAGGATTAATGTTTCTTTTTTCTTCTTCTTCTTTAAAAAACACTGCCTATTTTTCTAAAATTATCAGTTTTCAAGGTACCCAGCTAGCTCAGTCGGTAGAGCATGAGACTCTTAAAATTATCAATTTTCAGAGTAGTAAGGCACTGAATTACAGAGTTGTTAGGTACTTTTGCTTTCTCTTCTAATGTAAAAATACCCTTATACAAAAGGTACATAGAACTTTTGAATAATTCATGACAGAAATTTATAGGTCATAAAGCAGCCCACTGTCTTAGAACCTATTGTGCAAAAATAAAGTTACATAAAGCTCTGGTTTTTACAACAGGAGTTAACATATATACCTAAGCAGTCGTTGAATTCAGTGGTTGAATTATCTGGACGAAATATATAATAACTTGTTTTTGTCTTCCAAGCCAAAATTATAATTATGATAGTCCAGTCATTTTAAGGTTGCTACCGGTGATTACATAGCAGACAATGGTATATGTGTATCTGTAGCCTTAAAATAAAGAAGTACTTACTGTTGTGAACTAGTACAACATTTTTATCAGTGGTGGAAAGCTTCACTGTGTAGACTACTTGTGAAATAGGACTATAAACCTCAGTAAGTTTTAATTAGCTATTTCATAGACATTGCTAATATTTATCATAAGATGATTATTCTAAATATTAACTACTGGGAAGATGCAAAATGATTCTGTACAAAAAAACAGTTGTACAAATGTGTAATCAGAAAACTCTTAGTAGTTTAAATCCAGCTTAAACTACTGGCAATTTTGACTTAAGAAAATTTAGATGGTTTTCTTTATTTTTCTTGAAGGATGGGTCTTCAGTGAAGGAAGTTGAAACCTACCGCCAGAAACATGCTTTAAGGACTTTGAGAAAAAATGCACAGAATTCTTCAGATTCTAGTTTTGATAAGAATATGGAAATAACGGAAACACATGCTAATGGCAGGCATTTTACAAGGTAATACAAGATGTTCATTTGTTAATTCAAAATAGTTTTAAAGTAATAATTTAGGATCTGTGTTTAATTTTTAAGTGATTATCACAATTCCAGGGTTATAAAATGTTTGTTTATTTTAAGTAAAGTTGCTTGAATTAGTATTAGTGAATTAAAAAATTAATGTGTCCATAGGTTTGTTGTTTTTTTTTTTCATGTTCAAAAACCATATTTGTGATATGCAACTGACAAGGTTGGTTGACTTGTTTATGATGCAGTCTTGCTTCATAATCTTTACAAAGTATTCAAAATAGTAGTTATATTTTTTAAATTTTTGATTGCTTGCTATCAAGTTTTTCATCAATTCTGAGTCATTCATTTTTCTGTGTTGGTGTACTTCTAAAGCAGTGTTCACATGGGGGCAGAGAATGATCTTTTTTTAAGTTGTCTAATGGGACTAGATGATTTTTACATATTTAAATTTTGTTTCTTAAGAACCCTGAGGTGTAGGTGGTATGAATCCCATTTTAATTCTTGGGAAATCAGTTTTAATAAATTAGGCCCTAACCCATGTGGCTCAGTTAGTTGAGCTTTGTTCCACGAAGTGAAAGGTCGCAGATTTTATTCTGGTGAGTTGTGGGTTTAGTCCCTGGATACCTACGAAAGGCAACCAATCATGTTTCTCTCTCACATGGATGTTTCCTCCCTGTTTTTCTTCCTTCCTTTTTCTTCCTAAAAATAAGTAAATAAAATATTTAAAAATAATAAATGAGGTAATATGGTAGTTTGTTGAACTTGGGTGTGGGGAAGCTCTGCCTGCAGGGCCCCCTGGACGCCACAGATGAGAATAAGTGTACCAAGACATGATCTGCTTGGGGAGGAAAGGTGGCCAATCTCTCAAAGGAGCAGGGCCAGGAGCCTTTTCCTCAGTGGGCTTTTATTAGGTTCATTTTGCACAGGAATACAGGTAAAAGCTCATTAATTATTGTTAGGCAGTAAGGATCAAACAGTAGATAACATACAAAGAACTCTGAGAGCCTATTCTGAGTCAGGGTCTGTTAGCTAAAGGGTTACAGAACTTTGGGAAACAAACTTATTTCCTGCTCAGACCTTTATCATTTAATTGAGAGCATTCTCAGCAAAGCAGGTTTCACAGGAGTTTATGTATTCTTTCTTAAGCCTGATCACCCAGGGAACCTCCCTTTCCAGCAGGGGCTGCATCGCCCTCTGTCATTGTTTCAGGCTTACTCAGTCAGGAGAAGTAAGGCAGCCAAGAGATTAGCAGACTTCTCCCAGACAGAATGAGGACTCAGGCTATGTCGAAGCCAAGGGGTGAGGATCCATCACCTCCTTTTGCTGTAGCCCCCCCAAGTCTTTCCCTGGGGCCTCTACCGATCGTGCCTGTCTTAGGTGATTCTCCCCTTGGAGAATCTTACCCATCATTGGCTAACTGATCAAGCATTAGGGGCCAGGCAGGGTGAAGAAAAAGGAGCAGACGCAGGGCCACTGCCAGGGAGATAAGCTTTGTCTCCTTAGTGGCTTCTGGCCTGAAGGTCACTTATTCAGCCTTAGCCATGGGAGGGGGGTGGTTACAGCTTTTGAAACCAGTCAGGGCGGTTCCCAACACTTGGGGTTTTTGGTTCAGGGCAGATGGCAAATTTAAATCTAACTTTAATTAATTCAAACCTTCACTTTTCTCCCCACTTGGGTAAGCCTAACATAAGTGGGGACCAGTGCCAATTAGAATGAAACTTATTCTTATAAATTTCTCATAATGACTTAGAAGACTAGAACCCTCCCACTCTTAAATCGAATTTTTATTCTTATTTTGTGTAGTGGATTTTCTACAAAAGTGAGATAGTGCCCTCTTCGGCTTTTTTTTCCCTGTTATTTAATACATATTTTGTTACATTTTTTAAAATCTTCACCTGAGGATATGTTTATTGATTTTAGAGAGGAGGGAAGAGAGACACAGAGAAAGAGATACATTGTTGTGAGAGAAGAAGCATCGGCATTGATTGATAGGTTGCCTTCTGTACCAGGAATCAAACCTGCAGCCTAGATATGTGCCCTGACTGGGAATCAAACCCGAAACCTTTTTGGTGTGCAGGATGATGCTCCAACCAACTGAGCCACCCAGCCCCAGGGCATTGTAACATTTTTTAATTTGCATCTTATTTCATCCATTATTTATGGAGTATTTACTGCTGTATTTCATGGAGTCTAAGATAACAGCAATTGAAACACAATTTATGAAACAGTAAAAAAGGAAAAAACACTGAAAATTAAACTGTGACAGGCCGTCAATTGTAAGACATCCCAATTTCAGAGATGGTAAAATGGGAGGAAATGTACAACTTTCAGAATTGACAACATGCAGTTTAAGCTCCTTCAGTAGTATATCTGAAACTTGAAGAAGCCTTTTTGGGGTTGAAGAATGGTCCATCAGTTCTTTATGAAAATTTCTTCTTTTTCGTTATTTTTTCTTTGTTTTTTCCTGTGAGAATTTTTAAATTTAGTTTACAATCTGAAGAAAAAAATAAACATTCTGGATCATCTAAATTGCCAGCATATGAAGAATAGCTGTAAAATTTCAGACCTTATATTTGTGTTTACAGTTAAATTGGTACCAAGTATTACTGCTTTAGTTATTTCAGGTTCACGAGATAAGAACTGAGTCTGACCTTAATACATAAACAGTTCATCTGCTTCCAAGACAGTGTCATTACATGCTTGCTATTCAAATGAAGGTTTGAAGCACTTCAACTAAAGTGGGTGATCATGCTACACAACAAACATAACACACCAAACTCAAGAAACTGATAGCAGTGAGACATTTCACACAGTAAATGGCTATTTTGTTTCACCAAAACCTCATTATGTTAATATTTTTGTTGGTTTGTCTTATGGTTTTATTTATATTAAATATAATTTATATCTAGTTTGGCTTAGACATAGCCAAAAAATTTAATGTTGGAAGTCCTCAAAATTTTAACCTTTAAAAGGACCTGGAGATTATTCGCATGTGTGAAACATTGTGCTGGGCTTTATGCTTAAAAGGTTGTAAAGGAGTGTTTTAAAGGTATTAAGTGCTTTTTAAGTTGGATTTAATTATGAATGACTTAAATTTTTAAATTAGATTCCTTATAAAATATGTTGAAATTACTATCTTTTTTATTATTTTTAAAGAGCAACTTTAATGAAATACAATTCACATACCTTAAAATTCATGATTTTAAAATGTATGATTCAGTGGTTTTAGAATATTCATAATATTGTGCAATCATCACCGCTCTCTAATTTCAGAACATTTCCTCAACCCCAAAAAACCACTGTGCTCATTATACTCCCACCCCAGCCCTTTGGGAACCACTATTCTACTTTCTGTCTTTATAGACTTGCCTATTCTGGACATTTTATATAAATGGAATCATACAATATATGGCCATTGTGTCTAGCTTCTTGCATTTGCTATACTGTTTTGAAGATTCATCTATATTGTTGTACCTATTAACACTTCGTTCTTTTTATTGCCAAATAAGATTCCATAGTATGGATATATCACATTTTGTTTTATCTACTCATTAGTTGATGGACATTTGAATTGTTTCTTTTTGGGGGGCTATTATGAAATAATGCTACAAACATTGGTTTACAAACTTGTGTGGGCATAGAGTTTTGATTTATTCTTAATTTTATTTATTTATTTGGTATATACCTCAGATTTAATTGCTGAGTCAAATGGCAGCTGTTCTAATATTGAGGAACTGCCAAACTGTTGTCCAAAGCAGCTGTACCATTTTACGTTCCCACTAGTGATGTATGAGAGTTCCAGTTTCTCCACATCCTCACCAGCAGTTGTCCTTGTCTGTCTTTGTTTTTAGTCATTTTAGTGGGTATGAAGTATTTCATCATATCTCTCATTTGCATTTCTTGACGGTTAATAATGTTGAGTATATTTTCATGTGCTATTGACCATCTGTCTTCCGTGGAGAATTTGTCTTTTAAAATATCTTCCTGTATTCAGCTCATTATTACAAGGACTATTATTCTATATAACATCAGGATCTGCTTGTCTAAGAATTATATAAAGTAGTTTGTAAGTAGTATTTTTGAAATCTGCTTTATATAGTTATCCCATTTCTTATCAGGGTGACCCATTCGCTGTGCATTTGGCCTAACTGTAGTAATCTCTTCTTTCTCTATTCCCTCTGACCCTTTCATTTTCAGTCTGTTTGGGGCTCAAAGACCAGAAAACTCAGGCTGTTAAAATAATACAGAAAGATTTGAGTAAGTGCCTTGAGGGCAGGATCTATATTTATTTGTTTTTGGAGTTCTTCACTAGGGTCCAGTAGTTATAGTTTTCAGGGGACACATGAAACCTCTGAAATAATGTTTAAACTTGTAAGTGTATATGCACTTTTCTAGAAGTAAAAATTCATAGCTGTGATCATCTCTGCAGGTGTTCACAAAAGTCCAGGCACCTGTTCTTGTCAAGAGTTTTCACTGTAATACACGCACGCCCATGCATTCTGTCTGTGGCTGCTTTTCCACTTCGGTGTTAGAGTTGTGTGAATGGTTGTGACAGAAACTGTGTGGCACGTAAGCCCAAAATATTTACTCTGTTTAAGAAACAGTTTACAACCCCTGTAGGGGAAAAGTGCTCCCCTTCCTCAACAGGCAAAAAAGAAAGGAAAAGGAAAACACCCCTTTAATCATTGTGACCCTACCGCCTAATAGGAGCCTGGTTATTAAAAGTAGACCTTCATGGTATGGAGGGAGGGGGTCTTTTTGGATGGATCACTCAACGGTTTTTATTTGGTTCTTGCTTCTTACTTGTGTTCTAAGAGGTAAGAAGTTAATGAAGACTTGCTTTGTTATGAGGATACATGAGCTAACTCTGTTGGATAAGATGTTTTCATTATAAAGTATCACATTTGAAATTTCTCTTGTACAACCAGCCCACTTGAAAAGAGCTAGATACATAAGTGGATTAATAGATATGGCCTATCCAAGTATGGAAAATTGATTCCCTAAAAATATATTAATGAGTTATATTGCATTGTTTGCTTAGTGGGTTTTGGAAAAAAGATAAGGGGAGGATTTTTTTGTTGTTGTTAAGCATTGGAACGTATTCTTTCCAATTCAGTAGATTCTGTCTGCCAGTTTGTGGATTATCTTGATTCATAAATGGGACTGTTTCTACATGTGAATGATAATGGGATATGTAACCTATAGCCAGCAAATGTTCTTAGAAATAAATCAACATGTCACAAAGGAACATTAGTTTTTTTCATAGTTATAAATTCCTCCAGGATGTAGTACCACTGTATCCCTGTGGTATAAGATACATTGTCTTGTTTTTACTCAATTCTTAGTTCAATTATACCTAAATACTTAAGCTAAAGATTTCATTTCTTGTTTTAAGTAAGATGCTTTGATTAATTCTATTTAGTTAAGATTAATGCATATATCATGGAATTTCACAACAGGTTCTCAGACTTTGTTTAGACATAATTTGTATAAACATATTCAACATATTCTTAAGCTTTATTCTTTCCAGGGGTTTTTTGGTTTTTATGTATCTACGAGTATTTACTCTCCAAGCTGATTTAACTTTTTGTCCTAGTTTGTTATTATGAAATACAACCTTTAAAATTATGTCACTTATTTTGAATTCTTTAATTTTTTTTTCATATAGGCAATCGGCCAGACAGCAGGCTAATAAAAAAAAGGAAGAGCACAAAGAAGGTAAGGAATTTTAAAGAAATTTCAAATATTTTAAATGTAATTAATATTTTGTTTACTAGTATATTGAGATATATACAATAAACTTCCCATATTGTATAAAAGTATACAATTTATTTGCTTTTGACATAATATACCATGAAATCATCACCACGGTAAGGTAATGAAGATAACTATCACTCCCCCCAAATTTTGCCAGGTCCCTTTATTATCCATCCTGTCTCCCCAAACTCCTCTCTGTGTCCTTCACCCCCCAGAATTCCTGAGTAGCCATTGATCTGTTTTTTAGTCCCTATCGATTTGTTTGAACTTTCTAGCATTTTCTACATATAAATCTGTAAGTAGAATTATACAGTGTGCATTCTTTTTTGTCTGGCTACACAACATAATTACTGAGATTCATCATGTTGTTGCTTTTTGATGCTGAGTGGTATTCTGTTATATAGATATGTCATAATTTGTCCTGTCCCATCCCCTTACCCTGCCAGTTTTATTGTGATATAATTGACCTATAATGTTGTGTAAGTGTACGAGGAATGTTGGTTTGATACACCTCTATATTACAAAATGATTACTAACATAATTTAGCTAACACCTGCATCATGTCGCATAATTATTTCTTTTTTGTGATGAGAACATTTAAGATCTACTCTCTTAGCAACTTTCATGTATTTAATACAGTATTAGCAAGTATAATCATTATGCCATGGAGCCCCAGAACTTACTCATAGCTGGAAACTTGTACTCTGAGTAACATCTTCCCTTATCCCTTATCCCCTAGTCCCAGGCAACCACCACCATTCTAGTCTTTTTATGAGTTCAACTTTTAGATTTCACATATAAGTGATTTTGTATGGTATTTCTTTTTCTTCATCTGACATATTTTACTTAGCATAATGCCCTCAAGGTCTATCCATGTTGTAGAAAATGGCAAGATGTCTTTCTTTCTGGTAATATTCCATTGTGTGTATACAGCAGGTCCTCAAATAATGTCATTTTGGTTAATGTTGTTTCTTTATAACATTGATGAGATCCTGTAGGTGCTTAACTCTTTATATCAATTAGCTTATGGTAAAGTTGATTTCATTATGTGTCATTTTGCTTAAAGTCACAGAAGCCATCAAGAGTGTTATGTGAGGACTTACTGTATTCCATATCTGCTTCATCCATTCATCCATTGATGGATACTTAGGTTGTTTCCCACAATTTCTTTATTCATCTTTTGTTGGATGTTGTTTCCAGTTTGGGACTGTTACAAAACTGCTTTGAACATTTTTGTCTAAGTCTTTGTGTTATATACCTATCCATTTCTCTTGAGAATGGAGTGGCTGGAACATATGGTAGAAGTATATGTTTTAACTTTATTTTGGGTTTCTAATATTTTAAGAAAGGTTAAGTTCAAGATACTATACTTTTGTTCGGTGAAAGTATAACTGTTCAGTTCATTTTAGAATTTTTTAATAAATGCTGTTGCTTCAGATCTTTCCATTTATTTGTATGTCTGTGTCTGAATAAAAAGCAATTCCAGTTACTCGGTCATTGAGGACTAGAAACATCGTTCAGACTACAGATCACTTGCATGAAGAGAACGGCGATGTTGAAGTTCGACGCAGTTGTAGGATTAGAAGCCGTTACAGTACTGTGAACCAGTCTGTGCTTTTTGACAAACTTATAACAAAGTAAGTAAAAATTATTTAGATCAAGATAATTTAGGTGACGAAAACGTTTTGTTGGGGAGGGATCATAAATTTCGGTCAGCCTGAATATTTAATGCATTTAGTTTATTTAAAGCACAAAGGAGAATAATTGCTAGAGGACTTTGTAATAATCCTATATACTCATACATATTTAAAGTCTTTGACAGATGTAGAAAATATTTTTATACAAGTAAATCAAGAAACATATTTAAAGTTTTTTATTTTATTATTATTTTTATTTTTAGAGAAAGGGGAAGGGAAGGAGAAAGAGATGGACAGAAACATCAATATGTGGTTGCCTCTCACACACCCCCTACTGGGGGCCTGGCCTGCAACCCTTGATTGCCTGGTTTGGGAATCCCAGCTTACCCTTTGGTTTGCAGGCTGGTGGCACTCAATCCACTGAGCCACACCCGCCTGGAAACATATTTAAAATGCCAGCACTCAATATACAATGGAAGGAAAATTAAGTTTTTTAAAGTGTACTGTTAATATTTTAAAGTTTTAGCTTATATTTATATTAATTTTTTTAAAGCACTGCTGAAGCTGTTCTTCAAAAAATGGATGACATGAAGAAGATGCGTAGACGGCGAATGAGAAGCCTGGAAGACTTGGCAGTGTTCAATGAAACAAAAGAAGTAAATATATTCTTCCATCAAGGGGATGGTTTGATCTTCAGTTTAACCTTTTCTATAGTACCTATCCATTTTTGGTTAAATTAGTTATCTTATTCAGCATTTGTTTGATCAGCACTAATTTTGCTGGAGTTGTAAGAATTTATAGCTATAAATATCTTTATTTTAAGCAAGATTAGAAGATCCTGCTGAATTTTTAAGATAAATATTCTAAATGTTAATGCCTTTTATTTGAACATTCTTAGGGGAATCTTAATATGTACACAAGAGGAAAACGAAAAGGTATTCAAAGAACTGATGAAGAAACAACTGATAATCAAGAAGGCAGTGTGGGTTAGTCTTTTCTATCTTCTGGGTCTGAATTTCAGTATTTTTATTTAGTAGGATGCATCCTTTTTATTTAGAAGTTGTGAGGACTGGTCATAATTTAAAAGAAAAAAGTGAGGGCAGGGAAGTGTTTCAAAGGATGGTATATTTTGTTTGGGAAAGTATTTGAAATCAACAATTCTAAAGCAAATAAAACTGTTCTGCTTATGTAATACACCTACAAACAACACACATATCTCTACTTATTTTTAATTAATTTACATTTAGAGAGGGGGAATGGGTTGGAAGAAAAAGAGGAAGAGAAACATCAATTGGTTGCCTTTTATGCATGGCCCAGCTGGGGACCAATCCTGAAACCTAGTTATGTACACTGAGTGGGAATCAAACTGGCAACCTTTTGCTTTGCTGGACAACACCCAACCACCTGAGCCACACCGGTCAGTGTTCTCTCTACCTATTTTAATTTTAAAATGAAATTATTTAAGTTTGGCTCTTCTCTTTAGGACTTATTACTGTACCCTACCAGAACTTTCCTTGAGTGAAAACCAGTTTTCTGAAGTGCATTTTAAATGTTTGATGTTTTATATTATCATAAATAGATTATTGGAGTTATGCTCTTACATTATTTAATGACAGCCAGAAGGGCAGGATGGAATGTCCAAACTTAAATTTAAAAGGCAAAAGCTAAGTGAGGAGATATTCAAATTTGTCAACATGTTCCATTTACTTAGAAGCTTAAGTATAATCACCTTTAGCAGTAATAGCATAAACTTTAGTTTGGTACTGACAGTAGCCTTTAAGCTTCTTTCTCTACTTTCCTTCCTCTATTTGTTTGGGTTTTTTAAATTATTTATTTGTTCATTTATTTTTAGAGAGAGGGGAGGGGAGGGAGAAAAAGGGAAACATTGATTGGTTGTGTTTCATACTTGCTCTGACCAGGGACTGAACCTACAACCTAGGCATGTGCCCTGACTGGGGATCAAACTTTCAACCTTTCACTTTGTGGAACAGTGCGCAACCAACTGAGCTGCACTGGTCAGGACTCTAGATGTTTTTAATTCTATAATTTTTTACTTCATTTAAAGGAAATTTTAATATTGTGAAAGAATTAGATTATTTTCATGAATTTAGAAGTGAACACATTTTAATAGGAGGGTCTCTTACTTTTCCAGTTCCCCTATGTTAAAAATTGTCAACATTTTGGTATCCTAAAGTAAATATTTCTTAATTGTAGAATCATCTGAAGAAGGTGAAGACCGAGAAGATGAAGATGATGGTGAAGATGATGGTGAAGATGATGATGATGGTGAAGATGAAGATGATGGTGAAGATGAAGATGATGGTGAAGATGAAGATGATGAAGAAGATGGAGAAGAAGATAATCAGAAACGGTATTATCTCAGACAGAGAAAAGCTACTGTTTACTACCAGGCTCCATTGGAAAGTAAGTGCTATATTTGTTTATCCAGGAGATGTAATTATAGTGCCTTTGTTTTTACAAAGGTAAATATAATTCCTCTATTATTATTTTTTAAGTCTTTATTTTGCATAATACTCATGGTTATTATCCTTCTTAAGCTACCCTAAAAGTGCAAGGTGTCAGTTTTTCCAAATACAGTTAAATTTTAGCTTTGACCAAGTCAAATAATTGGGCTATTCATTGTCTTAGATTTTACAGCCTTTGACTTAATTTATTTTGTAAGTTATGTAAATAGTACTGCTTTTGATTAAAGTCATGCCTCAATACTTATGAACATTTACATGCAGGGCTGATATTCAGCTGTTATCCATCAGTGTAATCATAACTGTTTATGGCCAGCATATGTTTTGGTTATTGATGTTTTTAATAGCAACCTTGTAGACTTATAGACGTAAATGATTTAAAACATGAACTGTGAAATATTTAGTATTTTCATGGAAGGGCAGCACCTTTGTAAGTATTTATATGAGGAGCAGAATCACTTCCAAACATAATGATGTGTCATGTACATCTTACTCTTTTCTTAAGAACCTCGTCATCAGAGAAAGCCCAACATGTTTTATAGTGGCCCAGCTTCTCCTGCAAGACCAAGATACCGATTATCTTCTGCGGGGCCCAGAAGTCCTTATTGTAAACGAATGAACAGGTTTGTTCTGAAAAATAACTGATTTATGACAACATAATTGTGGCTGTGTTAAGGTAGGAATTTAGTCTTAGGATTGGGGATGTTAGGATACAATTCCAGAATCATATATGGGAGAGTTAACTCTGCTTTTAGTGCTCTAATTCCTACTACTACTGACTAGTTCTTGCTTTTGCTTCCACTAGTAGGAATTGTTAATAACTACCATGGTAAGGTAGTTTACTCCATTGTTCCACACTTTAGTGATAGAGAGGTACCTTTACTTTAGTGTTTACTGTATTCCTGGCTTGGTATTAAGCATTTTGGGTAGACTATTTTCTTTAATCTTTACATTAAGTTGGAGGTAGGTATAGTGTTATCTTCACATACTATTACAGATATATTTTCCTATGATGACAAACACTCTAAGCTACACAGCTTCTAAACTTATCATGACCCCAACCATCTTTTTCTTTATTGATTTTAAAAATTTGTTTATATATTAGGAAAATAATTTTTTTGCTATTTAAATTATTTGTAAGTTTATTTTTATTTCACATTCCTTCATTTGTTGCTTGTCGTCATATTTAAGTCCAAAGAGGTTATTCTTGTTATTTCCTCATTCTCCTGAATAATAAAAGGTTTTCTGATCCATTAGAATTTTCTGGATAATAATAGCATTGTAGTACTTTACGAATGAGAGAGCTTGTTGGTGAAAACTAAAACTGCAGGAAAAAAATGACACTGGGATGGGAGATGGTACTTTTTTCTTAATAATAATTTGCTCAGAAGTAAGACTGAAGTCCTCTGAGACTTCAGCTATATGAACAGTTCTTAGAAGAAATCTCCAAGAAGCAAACTATCTGATCATGTTTTGGTCATGCAGGATAACACCTCTGTGGGTGCGGACGAACTCCTTCTGGGAAAAATATAAAATATAATTTGTGTCTCTGGATATTTTAATTTCATTTTCAGAATACCAAAATCACAAAATGTACATTCCAGATTTCTTGTTTCATCATCCCTTTTCTTACAACTAGAGCCAGAAGGATGGAGGCCCGGGAAGGCAAACTCAACCTGCCAGGGCTGTCCAAGATAAATTGCACTTAAGGGAGGCAACACCGTCAGTACTCTTCATAGGCCTCCTACAATATTGTTGAAGACTGATATTTTAATAGTGAAATTTAATGGTTTTCAGAAAAGGAGTAAGATGTATTGCTCCCCGGAATCCCTAACAATCATAGAATTCACAGCAGCTCTTGGTTGACTGACTCAAGGAGCAGATCTGTATTTGATCCAGCAGAAATGAGAGGCTGGCAGTTACTTTGAGATTTAATTTTTTCTCATCTTTACTGGGTTTATGTTCCTGGAAGTAACATATTTGTTGACTAACTACTTCTATAGTCACCACCTACAATGAGTCTTGCAGAAGGTAGAACTTTTTTTTTTTGTTGCCCCTTCTGGTTCAGAATCTACTCTTTCTCTATGTAAAGTGTCTCACAATGTTGCATAGCTCCTTGGGTGCAGGATTTCCCCCCCTCTTAATTATTTAACAAATGCTTTAATACTACTGTGTACCAAATACTATGGATATAAAAATGATGAAGCCAGGATTCCTGCCCTTGGATGTCATAGACTAGTGGAGGATCCTGGCACACTTAAGTTAAAGTATGAACCAAGATTTAAGATGTACCCTGGAGTCATATTATGTGACTTGATGACCTTTTTGGTGTTCATTACACTTTTTCTTTTCTATCAGTTTTATTGGGATATAATTCATATACTGTTTTGTTTGCCCACTTAAAGTATATAATGCAGTAGCTTCAGTATATTCAGAGTTGTGCAACTATTACCACAATAATTTTAGAACATTTTTCTTGCCTCAAAAAGAAACCTATGCTCTTTAGATCACCCCAACTGTTCCAGTACTTTTAATACTCCCATCCCCTCACTCCTAAGCCACCACTAATTAACTTCCTGTCTTTATAGACTTGCCTATTTTAGATATTTCATATTAGTAGAATCTCTCGTGACTGGCTTCTTTCACTTTATATAGCACATTCAAAGTTCATCCACATAGTAGCATGTATCAGTACCTTTTTATTGCCAAATGAGATTCCATTGTATAAATACACCATATTTTTTTTACTCATTTACCAGTTGATGGACATCTGGGTTGTTTCCACTTTTTGACTGTTACGAATAATTTTACTGTGAACATTTCTATACAACTTTTTGTGTGGATGTATATTTTCATTTTTCTTGGGTATATTCCTAGAAGTGGAACTGCCGGATCAAATGCTAACTATATTTAATGTTTCGAGGAAATGCCAGATTGTTTTCCAAATGGCTGCCTCATTTTATGTTCCTACAAACAATATCCTAGAGTTGTAGTTTCTTCCGTGGCTTTCTAACACTTATAATGACCTGATGTTTTTATCCCTTTAAACCTTTTTGTTTTTACTTTCTTGGAAAGGTGTTGTGAACATCTCATTTTTTTCTAACAACCTTAACGATAGTCATTTTGCTTAGCCTTTTAATTTTTTTCATCAAGAGACCACTACTTAGACCACTACTGTTTGTAGTTCATGTTCTATAGCTACTTAAGCATGGAAACAAAGTACATGTCCAAAATAATCATTTGAACATTGCTTTTAGTATCCATGGCAAATGGTTAAGAAACCTTTCAACCAAGTGCAGGATCTTCAAAGGGTCTTTTGGCAGTTTGTCATAGTGGAGCTTCAGGAATACTGCCTTTAAGCAGGATTTTTCTTCCTTATGGTTGATAAGCTCTAGTCCACTGGTTGATTTTCAACTGTTGTGCCACAAGAATTTTTAAAACAGGCAATTCCTGACTATTTAGTTTGAGGCACTGGCCTCTTTTTTCTTAGATTATCAAATGAAAAAATGACAACAGCCAACACAACAAAAGCCATCTGGTGTGAATGAATCAAAATTATACTTTTTTTGGTCATACCGGCAAAAAATGTATTTCTATATTACCAAATTTTAGTAATTTATGTGTGCCATGAGATGAAAAGGTTGAAAAATCACTGCTCTGGTCATCTAAGGTTTATTCTTTAGCTTCAGTCTGCAGTTTCTAGAACAAACCTAGTCCCTTTGAATAAAAAGATAATATAAGGGGACTAAATGGTAATGGAGAAAAAAATACCCCCCAAAAAAGAGAGAGAAGATAACATAGTAGCACAATGCTTTACCAATATTCCAGAGTACTTCTTCCTTGTTAAGGAACTAAACTAGCAACTCGAGATGTTCTAGTTAGGTTCACAGTGCTTGGCTGTGCCAAATTTTTCAAAAGTTTTTAGTAAAATGAAAAAAAATTATTTAAAAAGTTAGTGTGGGTGTGTTTATAACCCTTTTTAAACTGAAGTAATGGCTTTTCTACAGTACAGGGTAATTATGAAGAACCTGGACCTATCACTGGAATAACTTAGGTTGCCATCTCAGTTCTACCACTTAATTAGTGATCTTTGGCAAGTTACTTACCCTCTCTGTTCTTCAGTTTTTTGATCTGTAGAATGGGGATAATAGCACCTTTCTCATAGTATTGTGAGAATTAGATGAGTTAATACATATAAAGCATTTAAAGACTTCCGCCAAGATGGAGGTGTAGGTGGAAGCACTTCGCCTTCTCGCACAACCAAGTTTAAAAACAACAAAGTTTTAGCAACAAAAACTCAGCCAAACCACAGAAAATTGAACTGTATGGAAGTCTGACAACAACGAACCCTTCAGCCAAACCAGTAAGAGGGGCAGAGCCAGCAGCAGGCGGGGTCGGGCAGGAAAGATCTGGGATTGACCTGGTTGCTCCACCCAGGTGCGCCAGCAGCGGTGGGCAGATCCCAGGTGTGGAGAAGCGGGCGGACCCACTGAGGGCAGACCGTGGTCACACATTTGCGTGCACAGATAAACCGGTGAAGGAATGAGCAGTGAGACAGACCGAGGACCACGCAGGCCCCATTGGCAGGAAGTGGCAGAGGGAACCGCCATTGTCCCTCTCTGACCCCGCCCCTACATACATCCTCACAAACCAGTGACCTGGGTGGCCTCACCCTTGTGAACATCTAAAGCTCTGCTCCTCATACTTAACGGGCACGAACAGATCAAAAATGGCTCAAGAACAACTCAGCTCCAGAGCCAATAAAGCTTTGCTCTATCCAGCAAAACTTTCATTTAGAATGGAAGGGCAGATAAAGTGCTTCTCAGATAAGATCAAATTCAAGAAGTTCATCATCACCAAGCCCTTATTATATAAAATGTTAAAGGGACTTATCTAAGAAAAAGAAGATAACAAATATGAACAGTGAAAGGACAGCAAACGCACAGTTATTAACAACCACACCTAAAACAAAAGCAAACTAAGAGGACAGCTAGATCAGGAGCAGAAACATAGAAATGGAGATCACATGGAGGGTTAGCAACAGGGGAGTGGGTGAAGGAGAAGGGGGGAGAAGGTACAGAAAATAAGTAGCATAGATGCTAGGTAGAAAATAGATAGGGGGAGGGCAAGAATAGTATGGGAAATATAGAATCTAAAGAACTTCAGACACGTGGTCATAAACTAAAGGGAGGGAATATTCGGGGAGGGGGTATGCAGGGTAGAAGGGAGTGAAGGGGGAAATAGAACAACTGTAATGGCATAATTAATAAGATATATTTTTAAAAAGAAAAATTAAAGAATTTAAAATAGTATCTAGCACATATAAAGGGCTACATGTGTTATTATAACTATACTTTAATGTTTAAAAATAATCCCTAATCTTATATCAAATGTTGGAAATTTTGTGACAGTCCACAAAGTCCTGTTGTTTGCTTATAACTATGAGTTTGTGAAATAAACAACTGGAAATCACCAATGTAGTGTATAGAATGAGGATTTTTTAAAAAGGTAGACATGAATTTGAATTCTGACATCATCATTGACTGATTCTGATATTTCGAGTATGTTCTTTAAACTGTGGACCACATTTGCTCTGACTATAAAATGAGCCTACTAATAAATGCCTTTCCAAAGTCTTAATTAAGATTGAATGAGATATGACAACTACTTGGTACAAGGAGCACTTAGTAAATGTTAGTTCGTTTTTTAAATTTGAAGTTAGTCTTAATTTTATGTGGATACAGACTGAATTCATATGCAGTTATGTGAATTACATGACTATAAGTTAGTCTCTTTGTAATGTTAATATTAGATAAGTTAGTTCACAGAAACGCTGTCAGGCATGTTTGGGTAGGTGGACAGTGGAAGATTACTTTCTCACTAATATCTGTTTTTTTCACAATCCCTCTTTCAAAACCGTTGGAGCCATTTATATGTTCACAAGTAGGATTTTTTAAGAGGTTTTACAAAGGTAGCATGCATCATAAACATCTTCAGCAGTATCTGGGCCAGCACTACTTAGTCAAATACATTGATTCTGTAGTAAAACCTAGGAATAATCATAGTAGATGAGACAAATGGAGACTATGGATTTCCTTTATGACATTTCAGATCATGTTTTACTGCTAAGTGTTTAGTGGAAAAGCTTATTTTCAGAATTTTTTAGGTACAAGCTTTTGGACTTACATAATTTAGATAATAGATTGTGAACCTTTTATATTTTTGAAATACCTACTTACAATAATTGCACTCCGACTCAGAAAAAGGTCTAGACTCTGAGCCGATGGAATAACAAAAGGGTTTTTGCAGCCAGATTCTTTGCCACTCCCCTATACCCCCATTTGTCTATTGCAGTTGTCCAAAGGTAGAAGCGATTTACAATTTTTTTGAATATTAGTAGCACTTGGGATTTTTATTTAGTACTATCAACTAGCCTAAGACTTTGGTTTTATTTTATTTTTTTGTAAGTGAGAATATTGAGGTTTATGTGGGTTTGGTAACTTATTTACATTCACAAAGCTGTCAAGTGTCATTGTGAATTTACAATTGATGATATATCATAGATAAAAGGCCATATTATTCTCCCTGTTTCCTAGCATTTTTTTAAACCCTAGTTTACATAAAAATTCTCATGTTCTCCTTTAAAGTTATTTGATATTTTAAAATAGGTAATTCCCTTCCAAATATGAAATTATATGTAGTATAATATTGAAAATAATTTTCTAGAATTCCATTCCCCAGAATTCTAATACCCTCTTTATCTCACCTTTCTGTGAGGATAACTGATTTGTATAAAGACTAAAAAAACATCATTCCCCCTGGACCAAATGCTGTCTTAGTAAACATCGGTGGTTACTCTACAGCACTCTTTTATTTTTTTCCCCCTTCCTCTAAGTTATCTAAGTCTTTTATTTCCTTTCAAAGATTCAACCAACCAAACTTACTTCATTGGTTCAGCAAATGTATTAATTTTAAGATAAACCATCTTGGATCATTAGGTATTTCTGATTTTTCCATCTTATGCCTTTTATTTTCCCTGTCCTTCTTCATCATGATTTTAGTTTTCTTCTTTGCTTCAGGCGAAGGCATGCCATCCACAGTAGTGACTCCACTTCATCTTCCTCTTCTGAGGATGAACAGCACTTTGAGAGGCGAAGGAAAAGGAGCCGTAATAGAGCTATCAACAGGTAAGTGCTATATTGATGCCTTTTAAAACTACCACTTACTTTTTTTTTTTTTGAAAAGTGGTGAGAAAGCTGAATAATTTAGGAATAGGTACAGTTTAATGGATGAAAAAATTATACAGTAGGTTAATACAAGGCCAGAATACTGTCTTGTTTGCAATATTTAGTTGAAACTCATATTTTACTGTTTAACCATTATATAGCTCAAAATGGTGCTTGTTAAACAGTGATTTGAGGAAATAACTTACTTTCTTTTCAAATATACTCGTTTCTAAAATAACAATAATGCATTTTATTATAGAATATTTAAGGAAAATTAAAAGGTTTACTTATTGTATAACTCCTTATAATATAAGTTCACATATAGTAATCAACTTATTTGTAGCCAAATCACATACAGTAATCAAATTACTTACTCACAATAATTATTTGAAGTAGATAGGGCAAAGATCATTGCTGTTTTACAGATGTGGATGAGTAAATGAAAAATGCAGTGCTTGGATTCTAATAATATGTTCTTCGAGTAGAACAGAAATGCTTAAAGTAATTGGAACATAAAAATGAAGTAGTGTGCAAATCAACCACTCTTTGTATTATAAGTGCTATTCTTTTTTTTTTTTAAGATTTTATTTATTTATTTTGAGAGGGGGGGAAGGGAGGGAAAAAAAGAAAAGAAACATAAATGTGTAGTTGCCTCTCGCACACTCCCAACTGGGGACCCAGCCCTCAACCCAGGCGTGTGCCCTGAATGGAAATGTGCATCTAATCCTGTGGTTTTATATTATGCAGTTATATTTCTATTAAGAATTACTTAAGACATACCCTTTCAAAATCTGCAGTTGAAAAGTTGTCCATCTTAGATTTCACAGTATAAAGTTCCTACAGAGTTTGGGGATAGCAAGAAATGCCCCATGGGGCGAGCATGGTGCTTTTACTTGTGTTTAGTTACAATAGTTTTTCTTTGCTAAGGCATTCTGGTACAAGTATCTTAAACTCTAACACAAGCAGTTTTTGTTTTTCCATCAATAAAAAAAGCATGTTCTCCTAGGCATATTCTTGGCAACATACCATAACTGTTTTTGAAAGTAGTTAGTAGGAAATTAGTGATTCATTCTTGCTTGAGAGGATTGACATGGATCCAGATGCTGGTGGACTCTGACTGTTTTGCTGAGAGGTATTATAGTAAAGTTGTTACAGGTCTGGAGACAAACAACTTAGGTTTGATTTCAAGATCTGCCACTTGCTATTGTAGCTTATAACTTCGGGCATTTTAGTTTACCTTACCTGTGGCTTGATCTGCTTTGACAAGAAGGGAAATAGTAATACTTCATAAAACTGTTGTAGAATTTGATGAATTAATATATCTAAACCATCTAAAACTAAAACAGTGTCTGGCAAATGGTAAATACTCCATATATGTCAGACATGATCATTATAATGTATATTGATACTGAGTTTTCAACTGTGAATTACTTTACAGCAGTGTGGCTTCTTAAAAATTGGTATTTTCATTTGGTTATGTATCTTTATTGATAAGCTTTAGATATAACTTTTCTAACACAACTTCTCAACCTATATAGAAAATGAGGAAGTTGAAATTAAGATTGCTCTAGTTGAAATTTAATTTTTTTTAATTCTTAAGAAAAGAATTATTTTGACATGGCATTTGGAGATGTGTGAGGTTTTGCTTTTAATTCTTTCCTAATCTTTTTAAAATAGGTGCCTCCCACTAAATTTTCGGAAAGATGAATTAAAAGGAATTTATAAAGATCGAATGAAAATTGGAGCCAGCCTTGCTGATGTTGATCCAATGCAACTAGATTCTTCGGTGAATACTGTCCTGAAATGTGTGCTTGAACTGTAATCATATTCTTTGTTTTAGTTTAGTTTTAAAGTTAAAAAAGAAACTCCTCATTTTAAATCAGAAACTTTAATTTTTTGAAGTATTTTTATTGATTATGCTATTACATTTTTCCCTTTTGATCCCCTTCCCTCCATCCCCCCAACCCTTCAGCTCTCCCTGCCTTAGTGCATGTCCATGGGTTCTACATATAAGTTCTTTGAGTCCTCTGTTTTCTATACCATTTTTTAAAAATTTTATTCACTTATCTTTAGAGGGGAGGGGAAAGAGAGTGGGAGAGAAATATCAATGTATGGTTGCCTCTCGTGTGTCCCCCTCTGGGAACTGGCCTGCAACCCAGGCATGTGCCCTGACTGGGAGTCGAACCGTGATCCCTTAGTTCGCAGGCCCATGCTCAATCCACTGAGCTACACCAGCCAGAGCTCTATACCATTTTTTATATCTCCCTATCTATTTTATGCTGACTAATTATACTCTTCCTTGTACCTTTTCCCCCATTCCTCTCTTCCTCCTCCCCACTGAAATCCCTCCATGTGATGTCCATTTCTGATTCTGTTCCTGTTCTTGTTGTTTGCTTAGTTTTTTTCATTGTTTTTCTTTTAGATTCATTTGTTGAGAGTTGTGAGTTTGTTGTCATTGTACTATTCATATTTTTTATCTTCTTTTTCTTAGATAAGTCCCTTTAACGTATCATATAATAATGGTTTACTGATGATGAACTCCTTTAACTTGACCTTATCTGGGAAGCACTTTATCTGCTCTTCCATTCTAGATAATAGCTTTGCTGGATAGAGCAATCTTGGGTATAGGTCCTTGCCTTTCATGACTTCAAATACTTCTTTCTAGCCCCTTCTTGCCTGCAAGATTTATTTTGAGAAATCAGCTGATACCCTTATGGGCACTCCTTTGTAGGTAACTCTCTCCTTTCCTCTTGCTGCTTTTAGGATTCTCTCTTTATCTTTAATCTTGGGTAACTTAATGATGATGTGCCTTGTTGTGTTCTTCTTTGGGTCCAAACTCTTGGGACTCAAAAGAGTTTTGAGTCCCAATCTTGTCAGATTGGGGAAGTTTTCCCTCATTATTTGCTCAAATAAGTTTTCAGTTTCTTGCTGTTGTTCTCCTTCTAGCACCCCTATAATTCAGATATTGGAACGTTTCAAGTTTTCCCAAAGGTTCCTAAATCTCTCTTCATTTTTTTGGATTCTCGTTTCTTCCTTTTCTTCTGGACAGATGTTTATTTCTTACTTTTGTTCCATGTAGTTGCTTTGAGTCCTGGTTTCCTTCCTGTCACTATTGGTTCCCTGAATATTTTGCTTTATTTCATGTTGGGTATCCTTCATTTGTTTTTTCATTTTTCAACCCAGCTCAATCAGATCTATGAGCATTTTGATTACTAGGGCTTTAAATTCCCCATCAGATAGGTTGGCAATCTCCTCATTGCTTAGTTCTGAGATTATGCTGTGTTCTTTTATTTGGGCCATATTTCTTTGTCTTGGCGCAGCTGATCAGAAACTTCAATTTTTATAGACTTTTTTCTTCTCTTCCCTCTCCCCTCCCCCCTGCCCCCTCCCCTCTCCCCTCTTCATCTGCAGGCCACAACTAAGATACTGTTGCTCAGTTGACTCTGTAAGTTCTGTATAGTTTGGGGATGGAATGACATTTTTTAAAATATATTTTATTGATTATGCCATTACAGTTGTCCCATTCCCCCCCTTCATTCTCCTCCACCCTGCATACCCCTCCCCCCACACTCCCCCCTTTAGTTCATGTCCATGTCCATGTGTCATAAGTTCTTTAGCTTCTACATTTCCCACACTTGCCCTACCCCCCCCCCGTCTGTTTTCTCCCCACCATCTATGCTACTCATTCTCTGTACCTTCTCCTCCTCCCACTCCCCTGTTGCTAACCCTCCTTGTGATCTCCATTTCTATGGTTCTGCTCCTGATCTAGTTGTCCTCTTAGTAACTGTGAGTTTGCTGTCCTTTCCCTGTTCATCTTTTTTATCTTCTTTTTCTTAGATTAGTCCCTTTAACATTTCATATAATAAGGGCTTGGTGATAATGAACTCCTTGAACTTGACCTTATCTGAGAAGCACTTTATCTGCCCTTCCATTCTAAATGAAAGCTTTGCTGGATAGATCAATCTTGGATGTAGGTCTTTGGATTTCATGACTTGGAATACTTCTTTCCAGCCCCTTCTTGCCTGTAAGGTGTCTTTTGAGAAATCCACTGACAGTCTGATGGGGACTCCTTTGTAGGTGACTGTCCCCTTATCTCTCGCTGCTTCTAGGATTCTCTCCTTCATTTTAATCTTGGGTAATGTAATGGTGATGTGCCTTGGTGTGTTCCTTCTTGGGTCAAACTTCTTTGGGACTCTGAGCTTCCTGGATTTCCTGGAAGTCTATTTCCTTTGCCAGATTGGGGGAGTTCTCCTTTATTATTTGTTCAAATAAGTTTTCCACTCGTGGCTGTTCCTCTTCCCCTTCTGGTACCCCTATAATTCGGATGTTGGAACATTTAAAGACGTCCTGGAGGTTTTTAAGCCTCTCCTCCTTCTTTTGAATTCTTGTTTCTTCATCCTTTTCTGTTTGGTCATTTTTTTCTTCCTTCTGGTCCACTCCCTTGATTAGAGTCCCAGTTTCCTTCCCATCACTATTGGTTTCCTGTGCATTCCCTTCATTTCATTTAGTTTAGCCTTCATATGTTCATCTAATTTGTGACTAAAATCAACCAGTTCTGTGGGCATCCTGATCACCAGTGTTTTGAACTGCACATCTGATAGGTTGGCTATCTCTTGGTTGCTTAGAAGTGTTGGCTCTGGGGCTTTGAGCTGTTCTTTATGAGTGAGCCATAATGTTTTGGTCTGTTTGTGCCTGTTACGTATAAGAGATGGAGCCTTAGGTGTTCATCAAGGTGGGGCAACCCAGGTTGCTGGGTTGTGGTGCTCTATGTGGGGGCGGGGTCAGAGAGGGGTGGTGGCATTTGTTCAGTGCTCTCTTGGATTTCAGTCCCCTCTGCTGCTTCCTGCAAGCAAATTGGGTTCTTTTGGTGCTGGTTCCTAGGTATGTGGGTTTGTGCACCCTTCAGAACCCTGTGGGTCTCTCCAATGAACTCTTGTGAGCCTGAGAGCCTTTCCCAGTACCTCGACTCCCAAAAGTTTTTCCAGTTGGTGTTTTTAGGCTTTATTTCTCGGCACTGGGGCCCTAGGTAGCACGGTCTGTCTCACTGTTCTGTTTTTTCACCTGGTTTATCTGCATGTAAATGTGTGACTACAGTCAGCCAACCGCCTTGTGCCCTCACTAGGTCTACCCATTGCCACCCCACTCCTGGGATCTGCCAACTGCCGCCTCAGCGCCTGGGTCAAAGCAGCTTTTTCCTTTGCCCCTCTCCACCAGTTGCTGACTCCGCCCCTCTTACCAGTCTGGATAAATGGTTTATTGTTGTCAGACTTCTGTACAATTCAATTTTCTGTCTGCTTTGGTTGCATTTTGTTACTAAATCTTTGTTGTCTTTAAACTTAGTTGTGCAAGGAGGCACGGTGTTTCCACCTAATGCCTCCATCTTGGCTGGAAGTGTGGAATGACATTTTAATTTTGACTCCAAATCTAAGAATGTCAATGTTTCTCTTCCATTACCAGGTACGATTTGATAGTGTTGGTGGTCTGTCTAATCATATTGCAGCTCTTAAAGAAATGGTGGTATTTCCATTACTTTATCCAGAAGTCTTTGAAAAGTTCAAAATTCAACCTCCAAGGTAATTTTACTGTACATTTTATTTTAGCCAACATCTGTGCTGTGCTACTGTTATCTAGAAAGATAATGTTCCTCTGTTGAAGGTTTTTATGTCTACTGTAAATTTATATATTTTTCCTGCAAGGTCCTGGGTGCTTGAATATATTTATTTTCTTAATGTTTAACATGAAGAATGGTTTCAAAATTAATTCTCCATGAGTGGGAGGGGGGCGGTTTTTTTTGAAAAAAATATTTCATTTATGTATTTTCAGAGAAAGGGGAAGGGAAGGAGAAAGAGAGGAAGAGAAACAACAATGTGTGGTTGCCTCTCAGGTGGCCCCCACTAGGGACCTGTCCTGCAACCCAGGCATGTGCCCTGACCAGGAATTGAACCCAACAATCCTTTAGTTCATAGCCCACACTCAGTCCACTGAGCTACTCCACAGCAGCGGGAAGATTCTTCGTGGTTTTTCAAAAATTTTGTGAAATTGCTTTCATACATACTTCTTTCCATTTTTAAAGTTCTTTATAATTGTATATAATTTTAACAATCAAATTGTACTTTAAGTCTTTTGTAGAAGGCAGTAGGCCCCTCCTACCCTTCTCATTTCAATTTCTACTTCTATGGATACATTGATTTAAGTAAACCTTTTTAAATTGGTAGGCTTTTTTTACTTTTACATTATAAAAGTTGTATACTATAAAACATTGGTAAATTCAGTTTTTTAATTTGTTTTTTAGTTATAGTTAAACAGTGTTATTAGTTTCAGGTGTGTAACAGAATATTAACTGAGCCATTAAATTTTTTTAAACTGATATTCATATTAAATAACATTTGCTTATAGGAATGATGAAACTACCATATTTTGCCATGTATAGTGTGCATTTATGTTTTTGTGTACATTATACACAGTATTATTATACCTATGGTATGTAATTATTATTGTACCTTTATTTTCCCCTCAAAAATTTGGCCAAAAAACTGCACTATACATGGCAAAATATGGTATCTAGTTAAAGTAATTTAGTGAACTTAAAGAATGAACTCCCTGAGATTTTTGTCTTTCTCCTTCTTTATAACATACTCCCACAAAAATCAGATATATGATTGTGTAAACTTATTTCCATATATGATCTTTGTATTTTAATGGCTAAATAATATTTCATTTGTGGTTATGTCACATTTTATTAGATTTTGCTGTTGCTGGCTTGTTTTCTCCTAACTTTTCATTATCACAGATTTCAATATGAACATTTCATTACTTTTTGTGTGAATTCTTAATTCTATCTTTAAGATACAGTCTCACAAATTAGATTGTTGGTTCAGTAGATAATATTTTTAAAATCTATACCTGCCTTAGTTTTTGTTCATTGAAATTGTCTTTGCTTATTCCATTTGTACGTCTGTTTTCTTATTATGTGCTTTGTTTTTTATATCTGCATTTGATTATATCTGCATCCAATCTTACTATTTTTTATTAACCTTTAATAGATTTCATTCATCACTTTAGTTTTTTTTTCTTACAATTCTTACTTTGTCATTTCTGGTTTTCTGGGATTTTCTTTTAAGTGTTTCTTTTTAAGAGCAGTTATTTGGTGATCTGAAGTTGATTATTTTACATTACTTTGGTAGAACTTATCCTATTTTTATACCCTTTTTACATTTCTATTAAGTATTGTGAGTATAACCCATTTTCTCAGAATTCTAAGAGTAACAGATAACTTTGGAACTATGTGAAAAAAATAGTTTACCCTATTGGAGTGATGTCACAAAATTTATTTTAAATTATTTACATTGTCTTGGTCTTTACTGCCCAACCACCATTATTTCTTAAAATTCTCTCTTCTTTTATCTTATTCTCTCTCCTGTTCAATTCCAAGATGTTTTCTTTCAAAATTTTTGGTATTATGTTCCTGAGATTGAGACCAAAGATTGTAGAAGAAACCAGTTATTCTTTCCCCTAATACATTACAAAAGTAAACTGTCAAGTCCATTTTTTTTTTTTATCTTTGTCCAAGGACATACTCACTGATTTTAGACAGGGAGAAGGGAAAGAGAGAGAGAGGGAGAGGGAGAGAAACACCAATCTGTTGCCTTTCACATGTGCCATGACTGGGATCTGAACTTGCAACTTAAGCATGTGCCCTGACTGAGAACTGAATCTGTGACCTTTCCGTTTATAGGGCATTGCTTTGAACAACTGAGCCACACTGACCAGGGCAACTATCAAGTCTTTTTAAGTATAACTTCTGTGCAAGGAAAGCTAATATTAGCAAAATGAATATATAAAAGAAAATATATTTTAAATAAAGGGCTTTATTTAGCTTTAATATTAATTTTGTAGTAGCAATATTAATTACCATATTATAAGTTGTGCTTTCTAAACTGAAATATTTCAGTTGTCTCACTTACTTTTTTTATTTACTAATTAAGTGCACTTATGAAATTAGTTTGTAATTTTGTTTAAATGGTCCTTTTTTAATGTAGTACTGATAAAATAATACTTTTCTTTTACAGAGGTTGTTTGTTTTATGGTCCACCGGGAACTGGAAAAACTCTGGTTGCTAGAGCACTTGCCAATGAGTGCAGTCAAGGGGATAAGAGAGTTGCGTTCTTCATGAGGAAAGGTGCCGACTGTCTGAGTAAATGGGTAGGAGAGTCTGAAAGGCAGCTACGATTGTTATTTGATCAGGTATAATGATAAAATTTATCTATCTAGATTTATAATCAATGTAGATGAAAGTAACGAAGGATTAGATAAATCTTGTGTTTAATTTCTTTCATAGAAAAACATTTAGAAGAATTAGACCAAATATATGATCCTCCCAGATTATTTTTCTTTGTGTATTAAGATAACACTGACCTATTAGGGACAGTCTTATAGTAAGAAGAGAAAAGGAATAACTAGGTCTCAGTTCTTTGGGGTCTTAGAACCTAAGAAAGAACATGGTAGTTTTGTACTTAGGGAGACAGGAGTTGCAAGTTACGTCTCAATACATGAGAAGATTAGTTTTGCCCTAGATGGGCTTTAATTTCCCTTCCCAGGTTGTATTGTAAGATAATACATTCTGATCTATTGAGGCATAATGCTGCAAATACTTTTAAATCTCTTTTTGGAACTCACTGAGGTCTTTTGTTTTAACTTAACGGATTTTTTTCTTTGTCTTTTTAAACTATGGCGTTGTGCTCATTGTTTTCCCATCCTGACATGGAGGGAAGGCTGTATCACTATCTTCTATTCTTTATCTTGTTTGGTTTTGCTCTAATCTTCATCCAAAGACATTTTTTCTTGCTTTTAGAGAGAAAGAAAGAGAGAGGGAAAGAGAAACATCAATTACCACCTTCTTGTTTGTACCAAGGGATCGAACCCACAACTCAGGCATGTGCCCTGATCAGGAATCGAACCTGCGACCCCTTAGTGAATGGTACAAGACTCCAGCCAACTGAGCCACACCAGCCAGGGCTATTCTTTATCTTGTTTTGACAATTGGTCTTTATTAAAGATTCTTTTGTGTGCCCTAATAACTATAGCTATATGAAATCTAAGTTACATAACCAGTAGAGTATATATTTTGAACATTTCCAGTTGAGATGCAAATGAAGTTAAACTTTGTTATAATTTACCTTGAATTCTTAAATGTAGTTACTGACTTTATATTCAGATTTATCACATAAATTCCGTAAGCAAGCTGGAATGAAAATGGTTTATAATAAGTTTACATATTTGAACTTTTTCATGATAATATACCACTGAACCTACTTTGTAGGCTTATCAGATGCGCCCATCAATTATTTTTTTTGATGAAATCGATGGTCTGGCTCCAGTACGATCAAGCAGGCAAGATCAAATTCACAGGTAAAACTTGCTTGATGACACTTCTGACTTTTCCCGATATTCTGATCTGTATTGATTGCATGAGTAGCAGAATGGTCATTAGGTGGTGAAAGAAACTTTATAAACCAGAAGTTTCCCATTTTTGTGGGGGGCATAGTAAAATTTTGATGTACTATACAGTAGAAAGAGAAAAAAATTAATCTGAGATTTGGGTGGCAGGATAATTCTCAAAAAGTGTTAAAATCTTAGTTGCAGTTTTTGGCTCTCTGAGCAGCACTATGGTGGTCATCAAGAACAAGCACCTTACAAAAAGTGGCAAAAAGGGAGCCAAGAAGCAAATGGCTGACCCATTTTCTGAGAAAGATTGGTGGGATGTGAAAGCACCAACCATGTTCAGCATAAGGAATATTGGAAAAACATGTCGTGAGAACTCAGGAACCAAAATTGTATCTGATGATTTCAAGGGTCATGTTTTTGAAGTGAACCAAGGTGGTCTGCAGAGTGATGAAGTTGCATTTAGAAAACGGAAGCTAATTACTGGAGGTGTTCAGAACAAAAGCTGCCTTAATTTTCATGGCATGGACCCTTCCTGTGGCAGAATGTGCTCTGAGGTGAAAAAAAATGGCAGACCATGGTTGATGTCAAGACTACCAGTGGTTACTTGCTTTATCTATCTGTGTTGGTTTTACTAAAAAAAAAAAATGCAACAAACAGATTCTGAAGACCTCTTAATGCTCTTCTTCAATGGGCCTGCCAAGTACAGATGAAGATGATGGAAGTCATGATCCAAGAGGTACAGACAAATGACTTGAATGGAAGTGGTCAGTACATTGATTCCAGATAGCATTGGAAGAGACATAGGAAAGGCTTGCCAACCTATTTATCTGCCCCTTTATATCATTGTTAGAAAAGTCAAATGCCGAACAAGCCCAAGTTTGAACTGAGAAAACTTATGGAGCTTCATGGTGAAGGTAGTAGTTCTGGAGTAGCTACTGGTGATGAGATAGGTGAAAAAGTTGAAAGAGCTGGTGGATATGAACCCTTAGTCCAAGAATCTGTTTAAAATTCAGACTTAAAAAAAATACTTTAGAGGGGAAGGGAGGGAGAGAAGCACTTACATGAGAGAGAAACATTGACTGGTTGCTTTCTCCAAGTGCCCTGACTGGGGATGGAGCCCACAACCCAGGCATGTGCCCTGACTGGGGATTGAACTGGTGACCTTTTAGTTTGTGAGATGACACCCAACCGACCCACACTAGCCAGAGCTAAAAGTCAGGCTTTTAATGTTGGCAGATAAAAGTACTATTTGTGATGTTTTCTAAAAAATCTTGGTTACAGACTTAACCTGTGATACAAACTTAAATGCCCACTGGCCACCGAAGTAAGGCAAATGAAATGGGTGAGCCAGGCCAGTGGTAAGAGTGGGGCTGTGGTGAATGATCAGCAGTCAGAGCATACTCAGTTGTTTTTATCTCCAGCCTACTGAAGTGCAGAAGCTGACCCACACTTGGAAAATAAATTTTCTTTCTTAAATCTTATGTGCAAATTTTTGTGTTAAATGTCTTTTAAATGTTGAAGACACTGTCTGAGCCAAACAAAATATGTCCTAGTGCATGACTGCTAGTCTAATGTTCTACTAGCCTGACTTCCTCATTTTCAGAGTGGGAAAATTGAATCTCCCCTATGGTTACTCAAGGAAGCACTTTTTCTTAATGCTACTGTCTTAACTTGAATCTAAATTACTCTTAGTCCCAGTTCATTTTTAGTTTTTCATGACTTTGTTCAAATTATATCATAAATTATGTATAATTGCTTAATTAATTTGGGATGCCCTAAAGCAAAGATTTGCATGCCTTCATATTTGCTAGTATGTTTTTACTGTAAATGGTATAGAAGAAGAACAAGAAATAATCTGAGTGATAGGTAGGTTTTTACTTTTTTTTAACACTTGATATTTACAGTATTCTGGTGGCCTTCTTTGACTTGATGCTATACATTTTTATCAGTTGCTGTGAGTAGTAAATTAAAATATCAAGTTCTCTGGTAAAAATAGTTATGTTTCCACTGGTCAGGTAGCTCAGTTGGTTGGAGCATTATACAGATACACCAAGGTTGCAGGTTTGATATCTGGTCAGGACACATACAAGAAGCAACCAGTGAATGCATAAATAAGTGGAACAACAAAATCAATGTCTGTCTATCTTTCTCTAGCCCCCATTCTTCTCTCTGGCTAAAATCAATAAATTAAATTTTTAAAAAAATTTTATGTCTATACCAGCAATCATACAAATTTTTCTGTATGACACATTTCAGTGTCACCCATGCTGTACTGTGTTAATAGGAAGAAACATTTAACAATACTAACATCACTTTGCAGTTGAGTAATTGAGAACTTACTATATTTTGGAATAGTTAGAAAGGGATTGGAGTAATTTTAGCAAGCACATGCCATCTTATATATCTATTTCAGAGAAATTTAGTGTACAACAAATTATTTTGATGCATCAGAAAATAAGATTTTAGCCCTGGCTGGTGTAGCTCAGTGGATTGAGCGCGGGCCTGCGAACCACACGATCGTGGTTCGATTCCCAGTCAGGGCACATGCCTGAGTTGCAGGCCGGTTCCCTGCAGGCCAGTTCCCAGCAGGGGACGCACAAAAGGCAACCATACATTGATGTTTCTCTCCCTCTCTCCTTCCCCCACTTCCCCTCTAAAGATAAATAAATAATTAAAATAAAATAAAAAAGAAAAAGAAAATAAGATTTTAGTCTAAGAAAAAGGATGCAGATATAAAATAAATTAAAACCCTAAAACCTTTACTTTGAATTAAAAATATTATGATTTCATGATAAGTTTTTTTGCTTCACAGGCCTGTGCTCAATCCATCATGATGAATTTTTTTAAAGAAAACACCCTGAGAGAAGCGTGATCTGAATTTGTTTCATTAAATCAGGAATATATTAATTTCTTCATTAAACTTTGTGATAATGAAAGGGGGGAAAAAAAACAATCCCTAGCTTTGGACACTGAAAAAATCTAGAGGCAATCACAATCCAGTAGCAATTCATACCTCTAGCACCCAGATTGTGGACTGTAAATACTAGCACTCGTAGGAGAGATGATAGATTGCAGAACTAAAGCAGGAAATAAGTTAGACAAGCCTGGAACATCTTGTCAAAACCTGGAAGCAGGGAAAAAATAGAAGATCATTAGGATTATATCAGAATGAAATAGCCAATTTTGAATGAATTTCCATTGACCAAAGATGGGGCAATTTGAATATCAAAAATAATAATGACTACAGTAGATTGAAATACATCAGGTACATTGAAAAGTCAGTTTTTAATGATTCTGTTTTAAAAATCTAATTGGTCACTTTGAGGTTTCTGCATTGGTGACTAATTACTCTGAAAATTGAATGAAGAGAATGAATCAAGCATTTCTTTTTTCTGTTTTCTGTAGTCATGACTCAGGCCATGAATCAGGGTAATTTTATAGTTGATGAAGTAAAGTTCTTTATAGGAAAATTATAGTCAATAAATGCAAGGGAAATTTTTAAGTTAGAAGAATCAGCATTTTGCAACCCCTTATGAAAAACCCCCAGGGGACAAATGTCTGGGGACATTTTGATTGTCACAAGTGTGAGATGGTAATGCTTGGTATCTACTGGGTAAATACCAGGATGCTATTAAAATATCCTAGAATGCACAGGACAGCTCTCCACCAGAAAAAAATCATCTGACCCAAAATACCAATTATGCCAAGGCTGAGAAACATCAATCTAAGCAGTAATTATTAGTGGCTGCTAAAACAGTAAGGTATAAAGGTTCATAGTGAAGTTTATGGTGAGCAGAATAAGGTGACATCTCACTTAAACCCAACCCACTGATCTCAAGTGAGAAACTGGTATTAAGCACTCCTGAATTATATAGTAGAAAGTAAATACATGGTATAGTCCTATGAAATGTGCTATCCCAAGTAGTTTAACCTGCATCTATTAAATTTCTAGGTCTAATTACCAGTTCACAGGATATACAAATGGTAGAAGACAAGTTATATGACCCCATCAGAAAGATATCCATCAGTTCACAATGTGGGAAGACAATTCTATAATACAAATTACCCAGTTTCTTCAACAAATGAATGGCACGGAGGAAGGGAAAAAAAGTGAGGGAGTGTGATGGGAACTGTTAATGATTTGAGGGAGGTTTGACCATGTGCTTGATTGAACAAATCAAATATAAAAAGATATTTTGAGAAAATCCGTGAAATTGGGTATTAGGTTATATTAAGGAATTACTGTCATTTATACTGGCGTCATAGTATTGTGGAAGTTTTTTAAAGTCCTTATCATAGAAATACATATGTGAAATACTTAACATGAAATGTTTATATTAAATGATTTGAGGATTTTTGGTATGTTGTGTTTTTTAAAACTGTCTGGTAAAGACATATAAAAGGAGTGTTGTTAATTGTTGAAACTTGTTAATGAAGATGTGGAGATTATTTTACTAATCTCCACAGTCAAAAGTTTAAAATGTAATTAAGATTCTATGTATTTATGCTTTATGTATATTTTGTTTTTGGATTTTTTGTTTGATTGAACATACAAATGTTCTGTATGAGTACACAGAACATTTTATAATTTTTAGATACTATTTGTCTACCTGGTACTTGGTAGTATTTGGTTTGTTTGTCTTATTTGGGAACTCTCAAGTGTCTTTGAAAAAATGATGCTCTATGAAATGACTTTCAGGATCCATTTGTGCATTCTAAAGACCATCTCTGTGTTCTGTTGATTTTAATCTGTATATGTCATTTAGTGTGCTACTTTACAGAATTTTTTAAAATAGGTTTTAAGTTATTTTATTTACCTTTTTTAGAGAGAAAGGGAAAGAAACATCAGTGTGTGGTTGCCTCTTGCACGTTCCCAACTGGGGACCCAGCCCATAACCCAGGCCCGTGCCCTGACTGGGAATCAAACCAGCAAACTTTCAGTTTGCGGGCCAGTGCCCAGTCCACTGAGCCACACCAGCCAGGGCCAGAATTTTTTTAAATCTTTTGAAAGTAGTGAGATGCTAAAGAAAATTTATTCTAATTTAATGTATTTACTCTTACCAAAAGAAGAAATGTTATATCCAATCAATTAATCTCTTCTCTCTTATTTTTAAATTTAGTTCTATTGTTTCCACCCTGCTAGCACTTATGGATGGATTGGACAGCAGAGGAGAAATTGTGGTCATTGGTGCTACCAACAGACTGGATTCTATTGATCCTGCTTTACGAAGGCCTGGTCGCTTTGATAGAGAATTTCTTTTCAGCTTACCTGATAAAGATGTAAGAACCCAATTAACACCACTCAGTTTTTGGCAAAATATGTTGCCCTTATCATCAGCAAATCTTTGTACAGTAAAAATTTGAAGATTGAATTTTGTGTGTTCTGAAGCAAGGTTGTATGATTAACACCCAAACATGTACGATGTATTTACAGAGAAGTATTACTCTATTTAAAATAAGTCAGGTAATATATTTTTTTTTAAATAATGCCTTCCTAAAAATACTCTTTAAATTCTTTCAGTTTTGGCAAAGACTTTGGGGGTTAATAATATAAATCATACAACTTTGTTTTGCTTTAGAACACATTGCCTAATAAACAGCCAATCCTTAGCCTATTTGTTAGCCTTGGATTTTTCATGGGGGCCACCATGTTATTTTAAAGCCACTTATTTTTTTGAAACACAAGCAAGAAAATATAATAAGAGCCCTGGCTGGTGTGGTTCCATGGATTGAGCACTGTCCTACAAACCAAAAGGTCTCCAGTTTGATTCCCAGTCAATGCACTTGGCCTGGGTTGCCTACCAAGTCCCCAGCTGGGGCTGTACGAGAGGCAATGATGTATCTCTGGCACATCAATATTTTTTTCTTTATCCCTTCCCCGCTCTCTAAAAATAAATAAATAATTATAAATAAAATATATAATAGAGCTGTCAATACTCTTAAAAATAGTTTTTAAAGTGTACCAGAATGAATAGTAGTTCACTAGTTACTTTTTTCACTTACATTTTTGATGAATGGAACTTGAGTACTAAAGTGTAAATCTGTTTAATATAAATTCCTTAACCTTTTACAAATACATCTTTTTTTACTGTTTTATATTTTTATTTAGGTACTGATATCTTTAACATTTTAGATAATTGAGAGAGTATTTTAAATTGAAATTATTCTAATCTGAATAATACTTTATTATAGATGTTAAAAAAAATGTTTTTATTTGTAGGCTCGAAAAGAAATTCTAAAGATTCACACAAGGGATTGGAATCCTAAACCACTGGACATATTTCTAGAAGAACTGGCAGAAAACTGTGTTGGTAAGCATTGCTTTTAAGCATTAAGAAATATATGCAATTCAAAGATGGAACAAGTTGTAGTGTTGCAAAGTTATATTTAAAAAAATACAGGGTTATATTTGTTTCTCATCTCTACCTGTTTTCTTTCTATATCTATAAAGTTCCAGATATTAGAGATATTTGACAAATCTGCTGTTGGGGAATTTGAGAGCAAAATAGACAATAATAATAGCTATCTTTTGCTGACTGTTTACATTTTTCTACTCATCCTGTTGAGCATTCTTTTACATGTATCAGGTAATTCTCACATCAGACCTATAAGTAGGTAACATCATCCCCATGTTACAGATGTAGAAATGGCTGACAGAGAATAAATGATTCTCCAAAGATTACAGATCTCAGAAATGACAAACCTGAATGTGAACCTTATCTGTGATTTTAAAATTCTTACTCTCGACCCCTATGGTATATTAGTGTTTGCATATTTCACTCACAAAAGTTGACTTGTTGATGGTTATCACTACCATATAAGTTTACTAAGTAAATGAGAGATTTTAGACTTATTACTCTTAAATATTTTGCTACTCTATTATTAGGCTGACTTAATTTTAACCATAGTTATGCTAATAGAATGGTAATTTACCTTTTTTTTTTTTTTGTCTTGGTAGGATACTGTGGTGCAGATATTAAGTCAATATGCTCTGAGGCTGCTTTATGTGCTCTCCGTCGACGCTACCCACAGATCTATACCACTAGTGAGAAACTACAGTTGGATCTCTCTTCAATTAGTATCTCAGCTAAGGATTTTGAGGTAGCTATGCAAAAGATGATTCCAGCCTCCCAAAGAGCTGTGACATCACCTGGGCAGGCACTGTCCACCATTGTGAAACCACTTCTGCAAAGCACTGTTCACAAGATCTTAGAAGCCCTGCACAGAGTATTTCCACATGCGGAAATCAGAACAAATAAAGCGTTAGACTCTGGTATGAGATTTGATTGATTACTTAAAGTTAGTTTTTATAATTAGTAAAGCTAAATGTTTTGTAATTCTCAGCAATGCTTTTTATATACAGTTTCTTGAAAGGAATTTAGTCATGCTTTTCTTGGATGGTTGAAGGAAATATACTTCAGGAATTGCCTTTAACTTAATCTATTTTAAGTTTTGAATGCATTTTTATATTTACACCAGGTTCTCAGATAACATTGATTTATTCAACATAATTTTATTACTATAACAGTAATGAAATGCTATAGGATATAACTCCTGTTTATGTCAGTTAGCTTATGGTAAAATTTTCTTTATACATGGTCTCACTTAAAGTCACAGAATCTATTGATGATGTTAAATAAGGACTTAACCATTTTTGTTATTCATATCTGCACAATATTTTTGAGTGTTTAAAAAATGTCACTGATCCCTGACTGGTGTACCTCAGTGTATTGATTGAGCATGGTGGGCCTGGAACCAGGAGGTCTCCCATTTGATTCCCAGTCAAGGCACATGCCTGGGTCCCCAGTACGGCATGCGTGAGAGGCAACCACACACTGATGTTTCTCTCCCTTTCTTTCTCCTTCCCTTCCCCTCTCTCTAAAAATAAATAAATAAAATCTTTGTAAAAAAAAGTCATTGAAGTACACTGGTTTGCTAACTGAAGAATTATATAAAAGTTTGCTTTGCAATTTAGAAAAGTTACTAATGCACAGTTGTTTTTTTTTTTTTAAATAGATATTTCGTGTCCTCTGCTGGAAAGTGACTTGGCATACAGTGATGATGATGTTCCATCAGTATGTGAGAATGGGCTTTCTCAAAATTCCTTTAATAAGGCTAAAGAAAATTTTAATTTTCTTCATTTGAATAGGTACATTCTCCTTGCAAATTATTTGTTTGTGTGTTTGTTGTATAAATTCCCTAAAACTAAATGGGTCGGTGGTTGAAAGATAAAAGATACCAACTAATCTGCTTTTTTTTAGGTTGAAATATAAAAAGGGAATTTGTTGCAGTTGTCACTATAGTAGAAATTCCACTGTATAATTATTCTTAAACATGTGGAGGGTAGTTGTTTTCAAAAATCATGTGAGCCATATTGTTATGATTGGCCAACAAAATATTCAAAACTTCTTTTAAAAGTTTTTTTTTAAGTTTTTTTATATGCCAACTAATAACTGTGTTTTTTTTAATTTAGTTATTTTTCAAGTACAGTTTTTTGTCTATTTCTCCCATCCAAGCCCACCCCTCAAAACTTTTGACTTATGTAAGTTCATAGTTGGTAATTCGTGAGAAAATGTAAACTTTTCATTTTCTAAAACATTTTTTATTACTCCTTTCTTTCAGAAATGCTTGTTATCAACCTATTTCTTTTCGACCAAGAATATTGATAGTGGGAGAACCAGGATTTGGTCAAGGTTCTCATTTGGCACCAGCTGTCATCCATGCTTTGGAAAAACTTGCAGTATATACATTGGACATTCCTGTTCTTTTTGGAGTCAGTGCCACATCTCCCGAAGAAACCTGTGCCCAGGTCATTCATTATTACCCAGACAGATAAGCTGTAAGGCAAAGCATGCTCCCAAAGACAGAGTCTAGAATTGCTTCATTTTTTTGCACATTTTGTTTCCTGATTTGTAACTTTAGGTTTATAAAATAAAACTAGTGTATAACTTCTTAGTCATTAAAGAATACCTAAGTGACCCTAGGAGAGTTATTAGATCTCTCTGCCTAAAATAGGGAAAATAATTTTATTTCCAGTGTATGGCCGTTGTGAGAATTATACTTAAAACAGTGACTGCTGTGTTGTATGTACTCAGGTATTCTGCTTGTGTTTTTGCTATTTTTATATTTAAAAATTTTTTAATGAAAAAAGGTGTTTTATATTTTTATACTTAACCTTTGTTACAGCAGAAAAGTCTTCTACGTTTCTTGAACTGTTTTCTAATTGCTTGAAGTAATTATGTTTTCTAAATATGAGGCAAAACATTTATAAATAAGCTTGTGGGGTTAGGGGAAGCATAGCATTACTGATGTGCTGACTTTCTCACTGAACATAAATTTTTTCTTTTTGCTAGATGATTCGTGAAGCTAAGAGAACAGCGCCAAGTATAGTGTATGTTCCTCATATCCATTTGTGGTGGGAAATAGTTGGACCAACACTCAAAGCCACATTTATCACATTATTACAGAATATTCCTTCATTTGCTCCAGTTTTACTGCTTGCTACCTCTGACAAACCCCATTCTGCTCTTCCAGAAGAGGTAATTTGTAAGGGCAAAATTATTGTGCCTTAAAAAGAAATTTATTTGTATTAAAATAAGAACTTGTAAAAATTCCAAATGCTTCAGAAGTGAATAAAATGATAAAAATGTTCTTAGGAAATATAGCATTGTTAACTATTTGGTATATGTGCTTGTTAGGCAGCATGGTCTATGTATATGTGTATGTGTTTAGTAAGGTTACATTATAAAATTGTTTCTTTTCCAAAAATTGAATTATATAATACATAGTATTCTGCAATTTGCTTTATACATCTTATATATTCTTCCATACATAACTCTTATTCCTTTTAATAGCAACATGGTTTTTTCCATTGTCTTAATATACCACAACATATTTATCCAAATTCTTGTCCATAGGTATTTGGTTGTTCCTGTTTACTGCTACACTAAACATCCCTAGGTTTTATTTATTTACATATTTTGCATCCATGGGTTTTGATTTGTACAAGCATTACTATATGGTTTCTAGCATTCGTTCTTAAAAGTGGAATAACTATAGCTCAGTTAAAGAATATGAACACTGAATTTTTTTTAAAGATTTTATTTATTTATCTTTAGAGTGGAAGGGAAGGAGAGAGGGAGAGAAACATCAATGTATGGTTGCCTTTCATGCGTCCCCTGCTGGGAACTGGCCTGCAACCCCAGTATGTGCCCTGACTAGGAATCGAACCGCGATTGTCTGGTTCGCAGGCCCGCACTCAATCTGCTCAGCTACACCAGCCAGGGCACACTGAATATTTTTGATGGTACCAAATTACTATCCAAGTTTATGCCAATTTAGACAACTACCAATAACAAATAATAGTTCATGCTTCTTCTGCCTGCAGTACTCTCCTAGATACTTGCCTGGCATGGTGCTTTTATTTCCCTTGGTCTCTGCTCTGATACCACCTCAGAGACGCCTCCCTGATTAGTTTCTCAGTTACAGCAGTAGTTCCTCTGCCCATCATTTTCTTTTTCTTTACTCTGCTTTCTTTTTATCTTTTCCTTGATGTTAAATATGAATTTGTCTGTCTCTCCTAGCCAAATGTGAAGTCAGGGACTTTTTTCCCACCTCTATTCCCAGAGTATATAATAAGTACATTGTAGGCTTCTGTATGTATTCATTTAAGGATGAATGTAATCAGTTTTGCAATACCTTTGACAAAATTGGTTTGTAGTGTTTAGAGAATTGGTAGAAAGTTAAATTCAACTATTTTGTTAGAGAAATATCTATTGAGTGCTTATTCTCTGCTAGGCATCATTTTAGGCAAAAGGAATGTAACAATAAACAATATAAACAAAAATTGTGTCATCTTAGGGCTTACATTGTAGTTGAGGTGGAGATGAATAAAAATAAATAAATATACTAACCTATTGCTGTGGAGAAAGATTGAGCTAAGCAGTGCCAAGAGTGTGGTAGGGTCACAGTGTCAAATAGGCTAAGTAAGGCCTTACTAGGAAGATGTCATTTGAGCCAAGACCTGAAAAATGTAAGGTATCCTGATCCATTTGAGTATCCAAAGGACAAAGCTGTCTGGCAGAGGAAAAGCAAATGCAAAGGCTCTGAAGCAAAAAAAAAGTGTGTTTGGTATGAAACAAACACACTTCTAGCAAGAAGGCCAGGGTGGCTACAGCAGAATAAGTAAAGGGCATAGTAGGAGGAAATATGGTCAGAGAGTTATCAGAGGATCAGATTATATCCCTGACAGCTGTTTTAATAGTTGATTGTGAATTATTCCAGTGAAAGTTGAATATGCTGGGAAATGAACATTAAGTGCAGTAAGCATTCATATAGTGTCATCAGTAGGTTCTGTGACTTGAGCCAAAACAGTGTATAAAGAAATCAGTTTTACTCTAGCTTATTGATATAAATAAGAGTTAATTTCCTTCTCACCAACATTATAACAATGCAAGGTGAATAAAACACCATTATTTGGCAACCTTCTGTAGATTTTACAGATTTTTAAGGTGGGAAATCCTTAAGGGTTTCAGTTTAGTTAATCATCTTGTTCTGGATTCTTCTTACGTAGTCTCCCCTTTATGTTGATATCCCACCTTTGTTAAAACAGTTTTTTCACTATTGTTATCTCTAGATCCTAAAAAATCATCTTACTTTGAGAGGCTTCCATTTCTTAGTTTTCATTTGTTTCCTAGATACTATATAGAACCTGTCTAACCTATTTTCATTATGGCAACTCTTGTATATTCTAATACTCTTTTCATTTCTATGTTCCCATTCTAACCCAGGCTTCTTCACACTAAAGATTTCTTCTATGATATGTAATATTCCTTGGGGTTACTAATGCAATAGTTTATTTCTTGCTCACTTAACAATACCAGGCAGGTGACTAGATTAGTAGGTCTACTTGCCACAGAGTCATTTAGACACTTGAGCTGAGAGAGTTTTCTCATTTTCATCACATGGCTTGCCAGATTCCATTCATTCCATCCAGCTGAAAGGAGTGGCTCGTTCATGTGCCTGATCTGAAAATGATGTATATTATTTCTTTTGACATTATGTTGGCTAAAACTCAGTTACATAGCTCTACCTAATTGTAAGGGAGACTAGGAAATATGATATAGCAGTGTGTGCAAAAAGGAGAGAACATGGACTATGATAATAGCCAGCTCTGCCACACATTACACATACTTCTAGATTCTTCAAAATTCTGGTCACTCTCCTGGGTGTTTTTCTCTTTATATGTCTTTTGAAAGGCTGTACCCAGAATGAATTAAGTACTTTAGCAGTGTTCTGATTTACTGTTCTGTAAAGAATTGCTGCTTAGTAGCCACATTGTACCATTGGCTTATTGTATTTATTGTCAATTAAAATTCTTAATTATTTTGAAGTTAAAGACAAAAATAAGTTTATATTCTTGGTAATAAGAAAAACTAGCAGAAATTCCTCTAAATGGATATGGGGAGGTTGAAAATCAGTTTAATGTGGAATAGCTTTATTAAGAATGTGGAGATTCTGTACTTAACGATATTTTTTAAAGAATAGCCTCTCTTTTTTGTTATGTTAATATTTCCTAAGCATAAAATTGTAAACTGGGTAGCATATCTCAGTTCCCCAGTGTACAGTATGGTAGAATAGGCATAGGACCAGAATTTGCCCTTTAAAAAAAAAAGAATAATCTAGTTTATATGGATGCAAATAAGTATTTTGAGCCTTGGATAATCTTTATTGATTTAGTGATACTGTCAATATAGCATTGGACTACAGTATATGAGAAATACTGTGTGAAATATTAGCTACATTAAAGTTTGTCTATTTCAAAACTTCAGACAGAGTTTCTATATACAAGAAGTCAAAAATAAGTGGACCCTAACAACTCTGAGTAATATGGAAAAATTAGAAAGAATGTTATCAATGGATTAGAAACGTCCATGTATCCATGAATGACAAAACAATAGGAATTAAACCATAGTTTAAAGCATGTGCAAGAAAGGACCGATGAGTGATTTCTAGCTCTGTCAGTGCTAGGAAGGAATTGAAAGAGCCTTTGGACAACTTTGGGGTAATTGGGCTTTCTTCACTTTTGGCCATGCCAAAGAGTAGCAGAGTTTGTCCTCAGCTAGAACAGTGAAGATGAGCCAAAGGATTACTGTGACAGAGCAGTGAATTGTCTATGGCCCTTGATATCAAGAGTAGGAAGCCCCTAGTCCCAGAAGACAAATGATAGACACATTCTTTTTCATAGAAACTAGACTACACAGAAAAAGCATTAGTGGACAGTCAGAAATGTCAAGCAGAGATGAGCTTATAAATAAGCATTTGAGGAGGGAGAACTCCATAGCCATATCCATATACCACCAACAGACTTTTGTGGAAAGAATCAATCCGAGACATGGTAAGTTACACCCCCAACATTAAAACCCCATAAGGCTGCCCCAGCTGGTGTGGCTCAGTTGGTTCGAGCATTGTTTTATACTCCAAAATATTGGGGGTTTGATTCCTGGTCAGGGCGCATGCCTAGGTTGTGGGTTCAATACCCAGTTGGGGTGCATATGAGAGCCAAACAATCGTTTCTCACACTGATGTTTCTCTGTCTCCTCTCTTCTTATCTCTTTAAAATTAATTTTTAAAAAATTTTAATTAAAGACATAGGGCTGGCTGAAAAGGAGCAGACACAGATGAAGAGTGAATTGGAAAAAGTTAAAGGAAATGGATGAGATAGATTTAGCTCTAACATCCATTTATAAGGAATTGTGGGAGAAAAAAATGTAGAAGAGAAAATAGTCACATAATAGGATATTTTGTAGAATTAAAGAGTACCATAAGTCTTCAGTTTTAAAAGGCCCCTTGAGTTCTCACTGACATAAAAAGGCTTTTATATATGTAAAATTTCAGAATGCCAAAAGTACAAAGAAAATCTCCCAAGAGAAAAAGTTACCAGAAAAGACTGAAAATCAAATTGTTTCTACCTTTTCATTGGTAACACTGGCTACTGAGCAATATTTTTAAATGTTGAAGGAAAATAAATTTTAATTTTATTTTTTAATTACTGTGTATATTCAGTATTATTTTATACTAGTTCCAGGTATACAACATAGTGGTTATTAGACATTTATATGCATTACAAAGTGTTTCCCCCTCCTGATATTTCTGGTACCTGTCTGGCACCATGCATAGTTACTACAATATTATTGACTGTATTCCCTGTACTTTACATCCCGTGACTGTTTTGTAGCTGCCAATTTGTACTTCTTAATTCCTTTCGCCCAGTCCCCAAACTGCCCTGCCTGCTGACAACCACCAGTTTGTTCTCTGTGTATATGAGTCTGTTTCAATTTTGTGTTTGTTTGTTTTGTTCTTTCCACTCATAAATGAAATATGGTGTTTGTCTTTCTCTAACTTATTTCACTTAGCCTTATACCCTCTAGGTCCATCCATTCTGTCACAGATGGTAACATTTCATTTATTGTTATGGTTGAGTAATATTCTGTTGTATATATGTACCATAGCTTCTTTATCTATTCATTTATTGATGGACATTTGGGTTGCTTCCATATCTTGGCTATTGTAAATAGCGTTGCTATGAACATATGGGTACAAATTTTCTTTTGAATTAGTGTTTGGGGTTTCTTTTGATATATACCAATAAGTAGAATTTCTGGGTCATAAGAGAGTTCTATTTTTAATTTTTTGAGGAACCTTCATACTGTTTTCCATAGTGGCTGCACCAATCTGCGTTCCCACCAACAGTGCACAAGGTTTCACTTTTCTCCACATCCTTACCAACACTTGTTGGTTGATTTATTGATGATAGCCATTCTGGCAGGTGTGAGGCATATCTCATAATGATTCTAATTTGCATTTCTCTGATTAGTGGCATCGAGCATCTTTTTTAATGTCTGTTTGCCATCTGCGTATCTTCTTTGGAAAAGTGTCTATTCAGGTCCTCTTCCAGTTTTTAATTGGATTGTCTGTTCTTTTGGTGTTGAGTTGTATGAGTTCTTTATAAATTTTGGATATTAATCCCTTAATGAATGTATCATTGGCAAATATTAAAGGAAGATAATTTTGAATTTATAATTTTCTGCCCAAGTAAGTTAGCATTGAGAGAGAGCAAACTAAAGACATTTTTGAATACACAATCCCTAAGAAACTATTACCCATAAACCCCAACTGAAAGAATTATTAAAGAATTATTTCTCTTGAATATGTTATTTTGTAGAAGTATCATATAAAACAGTGAGCAAAGAAAATAGTAAAACTTATCACAAAGTTATGATGTAAAAATATTAAGGAATATGAGTCATACTAATTTGGTCTTAGTCTGAACTTGAAATGACATAGGGCCATAACTGAAGGAGAAGAAGGAAGTAAAAGCACATTTAGATTTTTTTCTGCTATGTAGATGTTGATTAACCTTACAGTTTGGTTGAAAAAGAAGCTTAGATATGTCCATTAAAACTTGTAACAATAAAAGAATTGAAGTATCACATTATTTTTAGGCCACCAGAAGGAGGGAAGTGGAGGTACACATTCTAATAAAAATCCCAACAAAATAAATAGACTTTAAAGTTCACTGTAGAAGGGAAAAAATGTTTTCTTCAAACATTCCTTTGAAGAAAATTTTTAAAAAACAATGAGAAGGTTCTTGGCCTACCAAATACAGGGTTCTACACAAATAATGCCCCCTTTTTATTACAAAATCTCTTATCACAGAATCATAAGCATGTACTTCTATAACATAACAATATCACATTCAAGCACACCATGTCACACCATGTGACATTTTAGGTGAGATGTTCAAATTGCTGGTCATGTCATGTGAGACATTCACATACCCTACCAACCACACTCAAGCAGGTGTTAACTTCTGCCAGACTCTGTATTAAAGCATACCAGAAAGTTAGTAATTAAAACTGGATTTGTATTAGAATGTATAGATTAATGGAATATAGTCTCTTAGTCATTAATACACTTTTCATATACATAGTAATTTAGTAAGTTAGTAAAAATAGAGACATTTCATGAATGATATTGAGACAATAGGAGGAAAATGTTTATATTGTAGTGTATTAGAACATTTGATAATGTTGGTGCACAGAAGACCTTGCAAAGCAAAAAAATGAAAAAACTATTAATGTAAATCTCTATCACATGTATCTTAAGCATCATATGAGGAATTAACATTATTACCATCTAAGAATTATACTAGGAAGGGTCTAGGTTTGTTTGGAAATGTTCATTTGGGATGTGTTTTACCTTTGTTTTCTTTGGCACCTCATATAAGTGGAATAGTATAGATTAGTCTCTGTGAATGGCTTGTTTCACTTAGCACTGTGTTTTCAAGATTTATGCATGTTGTAGCATTTGTTAAAATTTTATTTCTTTTTAAAGCTGAACAATATTACATTGTACGTGTACGTATGACATTTTGTTTATCCATTTATCAGGTGATGAGCCTTTGGATTTTCTAGCTCTTGTTTATTGTGAATATTCCTGCTGTCATTATTGGTTTATAGTATCTCTTTAAGTCTTTGTTTTCAGTTCTTTCATACATGTATACTGGGTTACATGGTCATTCTGTGTTTAGCTCTTTGAGGAACTACTGTACTGTTTTTAATGATGACTGTTAACTGAATGTTAATGGTTACACTATTTTACAGTTCTACCAGCTCAAGGGTTCTAAGTTTTCCTGATCCTTACCAGCACTTGTTATTTTTCCATCTTAATTCTTATTGAACAACCACTTGTTCTCATATTTTACTTTGGGCCCTGAAAGTGAATTAATTGATTTCAACAAAACCCTTTAAGTAAATACTACCATGTCAGCTACCAGAGTCCTCCTGAGTTTTAAAGATTCCATTTTTTTTTTAGTTCTTAATCTATTATATACCTGGTTTATTTATAAACTCAACATGTAAAAGATTGTTTTAAAAATTCTTTATTAATTTGGATTATCATAAAAATTGTGTATAATAACCTATTGTTGCATGTATTTTCTTCTTTTTAAGGTGCAAGAATTATTTATCCATGATTATGGAGAAATTTTCAATGTCCAGTTACCTGGTAAAGAAGAACGGACAAAATTTTTTGAAGATTTAATTATCAAACAAGCTGCTATGCCTCCTAGATCAAAAAAGAAAGCAGGTATATTTCTATATCAAAGTTAATATATACTAATTTTGAGAAAGTGGGAATAAAATATTAGTTTATGGCTTTTCCATCTTCTAATAACAACAAGCTTAAAACCTTGGGCATGAGATTAATACCTCTACAGCTTAAGTAGACTTCTTTCCCTCATTCACATTGACTAAAGTGCTTAAAGCACATACGGCCTTTCAAGTATAGTTTCAGTCTATGTGGACTTTGGGCCTAACCTTGTAGAAGAGCCCAAATCTGCTATCTAACCCATTTTTGGCACTTTCATTGTCCCATTTCCCCCACCTCTTTCCTTACAAAGCACTCTGTCTTTAAACCATACACACATATTTCTGCCCTTACATAAGTTCATTCATGCTTGCTTTCTGTCAGTAATGCTTTTTTCCTCATCCCCATCTCTGCCTAAGGAAGGAACCTTTTATTTTCTTGTTCTTCTGGTATGACTCAGTGTTTTCTTCCCTGACATATCTAGGCAAAATTAATTTTTTACCCTTTCATACTACTAATATGATATATTGATGTAGTAATTATGTCTCTTACTTCTTTAATAGTAGATTGCCAGTTTATTGGGACATTACTGTCATATTCCTTTTTTTATCTTGAATATTCAGTGCATATCTGTTTAATCAAAATTAAGCTTTTGTTATATTTGAAACATACCATCATTTTTTTTTAATGTTTATGTATTTATTTTTAGAGAAAGGAAGGGAGGGAGAAAAACATCAATGTGTGGTTGCCTCTGGAGCACCCCCTTCTGGGGACTTGGCCTGCAACCCAGGCATGTGCCCTGAATGGGAATTGAAATAGCAATCCTTTGGTCTGCAGTCTGGCACTCAATCCACTGAGGCACACCGGCCAGGGCCCATCATTTTTCGTTAGTTCAAAAATTAACTGGTAAAGAAGACTTTAAAGAAATTTTTTAAAGATTTAATTTATTTTCAGAGAGAGGAGAAAGGAGGGAGAGGGAGAGAAACATCGATTGGTTGCCTCTCACATGTCCCCAGCTGGGGGCCTGGCCTGCAACCCAAGCATATACCTTGACTGGGAATGAAACAGCAACTTTTTGATTCTTAGGCCAGTACTCAAACCACTGAGACACACTAGCCAGAGCAAGAAGACTTTTTAAAAGTAAAGATATTCTTGTCCTGGAAATACCCATAATGTACTTTCAAAGTTTTAATAGTCCCTTAAGTGATCTCAAAATGAAACAGAGGCAATGACTTGGGAATTAGTATTCTAGTTAGAAGTTACCAGTTATTGCTGGGGGAATGTAGAGGTAGAGATTATGGTTGCACTTTAGTATTCTAAATTCTCTGCTTCCTGGCAGATGTAAGGAGGGTTACCCCTGAAAGGCTGACTACCATGTGCGCTACATCGTTTTTCACACTTGATATAATGAGAGAGTAACAACTAAAAATCTTCCATTTATGTGAAGTTTTACAGGCCTTGGAGGTACTCCCAGTAGCACCACCACCTGAACCAAGACCATTAACTACAGAAGAAGTGAAACGGCTAGAAGAACAAGAAGAAGATACATTTAGAGAACTAAGGATTTTCTTAAGAAATGTTACACATAGGCTTGCTATTGACAAGCGATTCAGAATATTTACTAAGCCTGTTGACCCTGATGAGGTATTAATTTAAACTTTGCATCAAATGTGTTCTAAACTATAATGCTTCAAAACTAGAGACTATTTGAATAGTTTATGTGGTTCTCTATCTATACTCGGAACTTGTTTTTTGTTTTAAAGTTTTATTTATTTATTTTTAGAGGGAAAGGGAGGAAGAGAAAGAAACATCAATGTGTGGTTGCCTCTCACACACCTCCTACTGGGGACCTGGCCCACAACCCAGGCATATGCCCTGAATGAGAATCGAACCAGCGATGCTTTGGTTCACAGGCTGGCATTCAATCCATTGATCCACACCAACCAGGGTTGAACTTGTTTTCTTGTATAGAAACATACCAAATAGTGTCTAAGCACATGGAAATTTCAATAACTAACACATTTTTCTTTTCTGCAGAGAATAGACAGTTAAATTTGCTCAACCCAAACATTCTAGAAGCAATTTTTGAATGCTTTAATGCTAATGATACTTACCTACACAGAGTGAGCTGGAGGACAAGCTTTTAAGTTTACATTGAAAGATAGGTGACATTTGGTTGAGGAAAGAGGAATAGAATGTAACTGGAGATACAATTGCCCAAGAATAAGAATAAATACAAAATAAAACTAGCCTTAAGTAAATCAAAGCTTTCATATTAATACAATACCATTATTTCTTATATATTTATTCTCTCCTATATTGCCTGGCAAAGAAACTTTATTCAAATGTTTTTATGTTCAAGAGTTAATTTAGTGATTTGGTCGTTTGCTTGAATTTTAGGTTCCTGATTATGTGACTGTAATAAAGCAACCAATGGACCTTTCATCTGTAATCAGTAAAATTGATCTCCACAAGTATCTGACTGTGAAAGACTATTTGAGTGATATTGATCTAATATGTAGTAATGCTTTAGAATACAATCCAGATAGAGATCCTGGAGGTGAGCATTAGGGAGTTTTTTTCCACGGGGTGGAATGGGGGCAGCTAACACTTAGAAGGTTGATTTGATACCAGGTGCTACTATATGATAAACATTTTACATTCACAGTACCAAAGTGTTCCATTTCCTTTCATCAAGAGGTGGACACTGTTAAGTTTGAGGATCTCTTTCCAGACCTTTTCTGTCCATATACCCATTCTACCCTTATGTAAATATATAATAAAATTATATATTTGCTTATGTATATAATTATGCATTCAGATATCTACATATTTGGGATGAACTTATTCATTTCCAAAAGGAATTTTTTCTCAGTTTTGTTTTTTAGCTTCTTAGTCTTGTTTTATGGATGCAACATCCTAAATACTTCTAGTGGATAATATATTTTTTAATAGTCTGTTTTCTGCATTAACTCTCTCCTCCAGTACATGGCTTTTACAGTTGGTAGTACTTATAAGTTAGACTGATTAGCATAGAGACCTGTGGAGTTTCTTTAGCAACTGAAAAGCTCACTAGTATTCCACCCTACCTTCCCTAGGCTTTTCCTTATATATAGTTCAGGATCCTGGAGGTAAGCAGTGGAAAACAGGCTCCCAAGCTTGGAGTGTCCCTTAATTGTGGAAGGAAGGAAGTATTTACTTGGGAAGCAGAGGGCTTTTTCTGTTTGATTGCAATCATGCTGCTGCTGCTTCTCTTTCTGTCCATGTGGCAGCCTAAAATTACTTTAGACCAGTGGTGGTCAAACTTTATCAACTGTCAGAATCTAAAGGACTTGTTAAGATACATGTTGCTGGACCCATCTCTGGGGTTTCCAATCCTGTAGATAGAGGATGAAGGCCTGAGAATTTGCATTATGGACCAGCTCCTAGGTGATTCTCATGTTCCTATACCTCAGAAACCAATGCTTCAACTTTGCCCTGCCTTTCTTCAGGCACAGATGCCATTAGAAGCCCCTTCCAACATCTCTTCTGACATTGTAACTACACCTTGGGTGTGAATATTGCAGCCTACTGCCCTTTGAGAGAGACTGATGCACCCATTCAGTCAAGCTTGTATTCGCTTGACTTCTGCCTTCTGCCTTCTGCCTTCTGCCTCAGCATATTCTAGTTTACAGTAGTTGGACTCAGTTTGGGATTTTATCCAGTGTTTCCTACTATAGGGTTGTTCTTTCATTATCTTTGCTTAGTTTCTCTCTCAATGCGGTAACATGCCCTATATTGCTTCCAAAAGTCTTTTACATTCTGGTTCACTAATGACATTGATAGCCTTCCTCTCTGGGTTGCTTTTTTTTGGGGCGGGGGGGTCATTAATGTTGTTTAGTCTTGCTATTGATTGATTTCTATTTTTTTTTTCCTGATACTTCAAAGGGATCTGGATAGAACATAGCAATCAAATTGTTTGGATTTAGTCTGCCATATTGAATTAGATGTCCGAAACACTAAATTAGCACAAAGAAGAGAATAACACAATTTTAGTAACTGTTACTGTTTATGGTAAAATTTAAAAAAAGAATGGTAATGGCTATAATCTTAACCAAAAATGTTGAAAAATTTTTAAATACTTTATTTCTCAGATCGTCTCATTAGGCACAGAGCCTGTGCTTTGAGAGATACTGCCTATGCAATAATTAAAGAAGAACTTGATGAAGACTTTGAGAAGCTTTGTGAAGAAATTCAGGAATCTAGAAAGAAGAGAGGTAGGAAAATAATTTGGCATCAAAAAAGATGCTCTTGATATAGTGTAAGCCCTTTTAATTCTTCAAGTAATTTTGAAATCTGGAAATTTGATTTGAAATGTCATATCTATTTATAAGGTTGTAGTTCCTCCAAATATGCCCCATCTTATTACCATGTGATGCCAAAGCAAAATTCCACTCCTGCTGGTGATAAAAGATCAGATCCAGAGCAGAATGAAAAGCTGAAGACACCCAGTGTTCCTGTGGCTTGCAGCACTCCTGGTGAGTGCACACCTGGGTAATTTTCACTTAGGAAACTGTAATCTTTATGCTCTTCCAATGCTCTTGACTTTCTCCCTTGGTTTCCTTTATTTATATTGAGGTCGTGAATTACATTGGTTTTGTGAATATTGAGACAAGTTTCCATTCTTAAAGTAAATCTGTGTTGTAATGATGTCCTCTTGTAGTCCCAGTTCACCTTTATCTAATTGTGGATTGACTTGATTTGAAACTGATTTTCATTTCTTAAAAATCCTGGTCCTTTTCTGTTCCTCTTTATTCTTAGAGTATAACTTTACAGGGTACCAATCCAAAACCTGTGGGTTTCCCAAAGACCTCTCCCTTGGCAGGGTCTTACTTCCATTTTTTGCTCTTTAAGCCCCATGAATGTGAAACTCTGTTTCTTAGCCTCTCAGCTTTTCGTTTGTTTTTCCAGATTTGGTTGTCATAATTTCTCAGTGCCTCATTAGATCTCCAGTGCTTTTAAACAGAAATATAAAAAATGTGTGTATGTGTTTTACCGGGGTTGGAATTTTCTCTTATTGTATTGTAGGTTTGTCTATTCCAGGGTAATTTATTTGAGATAGATAGAGTAAGCCCTACTTTTATAAAAATGGGAAGAGGCAGCAGGGAAAGAAAGGGTGAAGCCCTGGCTGATGTAGCTCAGTGGATTGGGCACAGGCCTGGGAACCAAGCAACCACGGTTCAATTCCCAGTCAGGGCACATGCCTGGGTTGCAGTCCAGTTCCCAGCAGGGGACACACAAGAGGCAACCATACATTGATATTTCTCTCCCTCTCTCCTTCCCTTCCCCTCTAAAGATAAATAAACAAAATCTAAAAAAATAAAAAATTTTAAAAAAAGAAAGAAAGGGTGAAAAGGCAAACCAGTAAGAGAACCAGTCTCCACTACCAGAAGGTTCTTGGTCAAATCAACTTTAAGCAAATATATACATACGGAAATTGAAGACATAAGAAATGACTCGCTTAAAACAATCCATTCCCTAGCTATAAACCCAACAGGACTGCACACATTACCTTCACTAAAGACACATACAAGAATGTTCGTAGAACAAATATTCCTAACAGTCTAACACTTGGGGCAGCCTAAAAGCCCATCTATAGTAGAATGGGAAAATGTGGATTATTATACAGCAATGTGAATGATTCAACTTGAACTACATTTAATAATATAGATGAATCTCCCAAGCATAATACTGCAATACGATTATACTGTATTTGTCTAGAAAGTTTAATCTTTGTGTGCCTTAGTTTCTTCGTCTGTAAGATGATGTTGGTAATGGTAACAAACCTGATCAGGTTAAAAGTGAAATTTCAGTGACTCTCAGTGTACATGAAGACTTAGAAGAGTTCCTGCTGTATGGTATACACTAATTCTAAGCCATGTTTAATCTTGCCTTTTCTCTGGTTCATTCCTTAAGCTACTGTCAAAGTGTTCTTAGTAATATATGCAGCAGATCATTCATTGCCCTCCTTAAAATTATTCAAGACTTTAAAAAATTATTTCAGGTAAAATTCAGACACCACCGAATGATAGTTCATTACCCACTTCTTTACTTTTTCATAGTACTGTATATTTCTGTTTCTATATTCCAACCACTCAAAACTATGGTCATTTCTTAAACTCTGTTCTTTTCTGTATCAGTAATTTTTCCTCCGCTTACTTAGACTTTAGAAAATTGTTGAATGTTCTTTTATCCTTTTGTTTTCAATTCTCTGCAGCTCAGTTGAAGAGAAAAATTCGCAAAAAGTCAAAGTGGTACTTAGGCACCATAACAAAACGAAGGAAGATTTCACAAACAAAAGATGGTAGCCAAAATGTCACAGATGACAAAATGGAGAGTGATACAGAGGAAAATCACGACACAAGTGTTGACCCCAACGAGACCGGAAACACAGGAGAGTCTTCAATGGAAGAAAGTGAGGTGCAGCACAATGGCTCTGAAAGCAAACTAGATTTGGAAAATAATTCTAGTACCTGTAATATTGAGAAAGAACTTGAATCTGGGAAGGCTACAGCATGTACAGAATTGAAAAAAGATAAGATTTCTTGCAATGGAGATGCTTTAAGCTCTCAAATAATAAATGTATCTGATGAAAATGAAGCAAAAGGTAAGTCTCAAACAACTTACTAATTTCAAAAGATGTTTTAGTCGGAGTTCTTAAGCGACTAATTACCATCTCAATTTATTCCTTTTTGTTTGTCTTTTATAGTGCAGGTGTTAATTCATTAGGAAAGATAGCATTATTTTTGTTGAATAACTTTTACACTAGTAAATCACTGTTGTTAAAAGCACACTATGGTATCAAACAAACCTGGATTTGAGCCCCTAGTCCACTACCTAGTAGCCTGTGGCCTCAGGGAGGGTTCTTGACATATCAGCCTCAGTTTTCTCTTCTGCAAAATTGTGGTAGGTAGTTGCAGATAATGAGATATTTTGAGGATCGGATATCATCTAAAGCATTTAGCAAAGTGCTTTGGCTATATAGTTTTTGGCTAAAGGTAGCAGGATACCCTCTCATTAAGCAAGATAAGCAGTTTCCTGTGACTTTTGCTGAGTGGTGTAGAATAACCGTTACTCACTCCCATCGTTCCTCAATTCACATGGTTAGACCCAAGATTATTTACTGGAGGGGCGACTTTCCTCGCAAGTCCCCCCAGCAGCCACAGATGAGAGTAATCATGACTGAGACATGATGTGATCTGCTTGGGGAGGAGAGGTGGCCTTTTTCTTTTACCCAGAGGAAAAAGGCCATGAGCAGTGGCCACTTTCTCAGGGGAAAAAGGCATTGAGCTCCCTCCTCCAGGGGCTTTTATTGGATTGTAATACGCAGGAATACAGGGTGCCGGGGATCAAACAGTAGATAACATTTCACAGAAATCTGAGGGCTTAGTATGAGTCAGAGTCTCTCAAGAACAGAGTTTTAGGGTTTCTTGCTCGAACCCTTAACATATGAACGAAAGCACTCTTAGCAGAGCAGATTTCACATATTTATCAGGAAGTCTTTGTGATGCCAGATTTTTCCCCAGGACATGCTCTAGGAAGGCAAGGAGCTGCACCTCTCCCCATCAGGTATTCAGGCGCTTCTCCCAGAGGACCTGGGGACTCGGGCTATGTCAAAGTGGGGGGTGGGGTGGTCCATTGCTCTTTGTTGCAGCCCCCCCACCCCAGTCCTTCCATGAAGGCCTCCCAAGTGATTGAGTCTGGCTTAGGTTGCCCCCCTGCTGTGAGGGGTCTTACTCGTCACTGACTTCTGACCAAGCTTTGGGGGCAGGGAGAGGAAACCGAGGCAGGGTTTGCTACCAGAGACAAGCTTTGTCTCCTGCAGCTCGCATTCCAAAGGTTGTCCCTTGCCCTTAGCCACAAGGGGTCGAGATACAATTCCTAGAACCTAGAACCAGGCAGAGTGGTCTACAACAATTTACATTCCAATAATCCTCCTCCCACAGCTTTTTATTGAGAATTGTCTTCCATCTGGATCTTCTTGGATCTTTGATAGATTTGTTTATTCTTTGGTAAAGGCAAACATTTGGTTTTACAAAGTAAAAAGAGTGGTAACAGGGTCAAACATTTATTTTGGTCAATAAAAATTATTAACTAAGTTAATGACACTTTTTCTTCAGTGGCTTATAAGTGTAAGAAAATCCTTTTCAAGGGTTTCCTTGAAATGAGTTCCAGTGTGTTTGAGTAATTATAGCAGAATGGACTAAGATACAGCCTTTCCAATGTGGGTATTTTAAATGTTAATCTTCCAACTATGTAATTTACTATGTTTTGTTTGGGTTCAGAGTTCTTTTGTTTTTCTGTTATTATCTTCCTTAAAAGGACACTTTCATGGGACATATACTTGTTTACATGTCAAGAGATTTGGGTTCTTTTCTGGGCTAACAATTACGTATGTTCACCTTAGACAAGTCTTCACCTCTCTTGGCCTCAGTTTTTTTCATCTATCAGTGAGTAGATACTTCTAGAGCAGGGATATGCAAATTTTCTGCATAGGGCCAGATACTAAATATTTAGCCATACAGTGTCTATCAGCTATTCAACCCTACCAGAAAAGCCATACTGACATGCCAGCGTAAAATGGGAGTGGTTGTGTTCTGATAACACTTTATAGTAGTAGGCCAGATTTGTTGTGTGGGTGGTAATTTGCAACTCCTATTCTAGATTACTGAGGTCCCTTACAGCTCTTAAATTCTGTTTTATGCTTAAGTAGAAGACATTTGAGGATCCTATAAAATACTCAGTTTGAGAAATACTTCTCAAATGTTCTTAATTTTTTAATGTGTAAGTGGCAACATCTTAATCTTACAGCAGAATCAGTATACTAGAATTGATATTTGTGTCTTATTAAATATGTCCTGCAATTTCACCTACCTAGTATTTCTTTTAGGCATTATAATGTTTGTGAGCCAAATAATAATGTTACTCAATTATTCATTCTAGAAATGTGGACTCTGCGGATGACTCGTGCTAGGCGTTCCCAAGTAGAGCAGCAGCAGCTCATCAGCGTTGAAAAGGCTTTGGCAATTCTTTCTCAGCCTACACCTTCACTTGTTGTGGACCACGAGCGATTAAAAGTATGTAAATTGAAATTGTAATGCTTTCATTGTGCAGATTAGTAACATAACCCACCAAAAGAGGACTGTAATAGTAGTGTATTGTATTAATTTGGCATGTAATAAATAATGATCTTTTATTATAGAATCCTTTAATATTATCCTTTATTATAATTCTTTATTACTTATCCTTTAATATTAACAGATAAGTTTGGTAAAGAATAACTTTCATAAAGTGAGGGTTGGGGGTGGCTAGTATGTTGATATAGTTTTAGCAGACTTGCCTGCATCATTGATCCCATACATTGTTTTTATTATTATTACCTATGACTATTTTAGTTAGTTTTTACTTAGCCATAATGACATGTTTTATGAAATAATGACATATCCTGGTAGGGCTAGACTTGAGGAATCACAGAAATCCAGTGAGTCCATTTCAGTCATAAGAAAAAAACACTAAGCTGATGGAAAATCCTTTTTATAAGAAAAAGAACCCTAAAGTGGTAAGGCAATTCACCAGTTATGTTCTTTCTCTTTCTGTTCCACATAATGAAATTAGTTATAGTGCAATAAAATATCCTGCAAAAAATGTTGCCTTTTTTCTTATTAATCTAGTTTGAAATTATTTTTTAAGTTGACTGTAGCGATTTGTGGCTAGAATTGAAATTGGCAGCCTCCTCAGCTATAGTTTTTAGGGTGGGAGTTACCTAGGGCAGAGACCAGGATCGTAGAATAATGGTAAAGTTAACTACAGCGCCACTATCAGAGGCTGCCATGTCTCACCAAATGACTTGGTCTGCCCTCTGTCTGGTTTACATGCTAAAAATTCTCAAGATCTTCTAAATTAAAATATCTCAAGATAAATTATCCTTCCAATGTAAACATTCATATTTTCTTTTAGAATCTTTTGAAGACTGCTGTTAAAAAGAGTCAAGAATACAATATTTTTCAGTTGGAAAATTTGTATGCTGTAATCAGCCAGTGTATTTATCAGCATCGCAGAGACTATGACAAAACAGAACTTATTCAGGTAAAAAAACCTATGCAAGTACTGACTGATTTTATAAGAATTTTTAAAGACCAGGGGGTGGGCTGGGAAGGGAGTAAAAGAAAGAATACCGTAGTTGAAAAATAATTTAAAAATAAATTAATTAATTAAAAAATTTTTTTAAAAGAATTTTTAAAGACCATTTAATATGTGCATGGTAGATTGTTTTTAGGTGTTATTGAGTTCTGTACTTTTTTAAAATCAAGCACTTCACTAGTTTGCCTTTCTCCTTTTATAAACAGTGGAACTATAGTATCAGTAAACTATGAAAAATCTTTATTTTGTGTGTGTATTGGAGGTATCTAGCCCCTTTTTAGGATAGACCTATTTGTCTTAATACTGCTTTACAGTGGGCATTAGAGTACTGACTTTTAAAAACAGATATTAGAAAAAAGAAAAGAAAAAATACATTAGATGATACCTACATGGTATAATGTAAATATTACTGGTACCAACTGTATACCTACTAGTGTATTTTTATCTATAGTAATTAGCCTACCTACTAAAGTATACTGTGGTACCTACATAACATAAATAATATTAGTACCTATAAAATACTAATACCTGTAAGTATATTAGTGCCTTAGCTATAACTATTTGAATTTAACAGAAGATGACTGCATCTCAGACTCATTTAAAAGGGATTTAAACAATGAAGTCTCATCAGTGATCACAGTTTATGTGGTAGTCTTAAATTCTGAACTAAATTTCTGTTTTCACTATTATATATATACATGGGTAATAAGTTCTTAAGGTTGTTTAATGAAAAATAGTGATAGAGTAATGTTTCTTTAGCTTTTCCATATTGAAGCTTACTGTTTTTCTTTCCCACCCTTTATTTAGAAAATGGAACAAGCGGTAGAAAACTTCAGTTGTTCCAGAGCATGATGTCATGGTATCACATATTCTTTGTATTCTGTTTTTTATTTAGTTCACTTTTGTCATGTTCACATAATTGATGCAAGATAAAATCCTGCATTTTTAAGGAAAAGATTAAAATAGTTAAATAAAAATATTTAAACCTTCTTAATATTTATGTACATGTATAATGTAAATTACAGAGATAACTGAAAATGCTGGGAGTTTGAGTGAACAAGGCACTATAGTAGTAGTAATGCTATGGCATATCAGTAGTTGAAGTGTGGCCAACTCTTAATACGAAGTTACTTGATAGCTAGTATTTTACAGCACTGAAGAGTAATTAGTGACATTGACATTTTTTGTTTTAAGCACTTTTAATTTTATTTTTTCAATAATAATATATTATATCAGGCTAGAAGTTAACCACGTGCCAGCCTTTTTGTTGTCTTTGTTTTCTTCAGTGCCCATCTCCCATCTGCTTTTCAGCTGCTCCGCCCATTCACTTAGAAGCCAGTGTTCAAGTCATGATTTGCCAGAGGGCCCCTGACACGTTCTGGCTATGCCACAGTTCTGCACTCAAATGTCAAAATCAGTTCTTTTTAGATAAACGTTTTTATAATTCTAATTTGAGTTAATAAATATTTTAAATATTTTTAGTTAAGTTTTATAAGTATACACAACAAACATATTAATAACTACTTTGTTAAACAGTTTTTTATTAATTAGCACAGAGTTCTTATATTTGAAAACTTTATATTCTTCTAAATTTGTGTTTAGGTTATATTCTATATATACCTTTTATATGCAATTATATAAATATTATAAATTTTGTATTAATGATACCAAAAATGCATTTCTTTCTTAAAAGAATAAAACCATTCACTGCTATGCATTTGATTTTAGCAGCCATTTAATACTTATAAAAAAGCTTCTATTGGAAACCTTCAAAAGGAATAGGGGATAATGACCTCATATGAAAGATTCTGATCCTAAGACAGTTTCAAAGTTGAGCTACCTTTTGCTGATTTATCTGGATATTGTGTTTAAAGCCTAAGATCCAATAATTCAGATACCTTAATTAATAGATCCTATCTATGTAATGCATAAAGCATTGCTGGTCACTGAAAACATACGAGTATGTGTGTATTCCTGGATTCACACACGCACACACACGTGCACACACACACATACATATACTATTTTTATTGACGTTTATTATAATTTATTCCAGATGCATCTTTTATAAGTAGGATTTTATTTTGTATGTATAATTTTTGTAATAAATTATAAATCTGAAAATTGCTTCTCAAATTTGTTTCTATTTCTTTATCATTTAAAAATATCCTAAAGATAATTACAATACTGTTTACATTGAACTGTTTATATGCTGTATGTCTTTTAGCTACAAAGACTAATGTGCTTCCTGTTTTCTTGGCATACTGTCTATAGACATGGGAAGTAATATGTCTACATTCCTGTGTATTTTCAAAACTATACTGAAATAGCAAGCTTGGAGTGATTCTCATTTTTTGCTTAAAAGTAGAGTCAGCCCTGGCTGGTGATCCTCAGTATATTGAATGCCAAGCTGCAAACCAAAGGATTGCAGGTTTGATTCCTTGTCAGGGTACATGCCCGGATTGTGGGCCAGGTCCCCAGTAGGGGGGCATGCAAGAGGCAACCACACATTGATGTTTCCCTTTCTTTCTCCCTTCCCCCTCCTCTCTAAAGATAAATAAAATCTAAAAAAAGTAAAATCAGTCTAAATAATTAGGGAAGAAAAAGAAATAAGAGAGGCATTCAAAATGAAAAGAAGTAAAACTGTTCACAGGTGATATGATCTCATATGTAGAAAATTGTAAAGAATCCACAAAAAATCTGTTAAAGCTAATTAGTGAATTTGGCCAAGTTTCAGGATAGAAGATAAGTACTTAAAAGTTAGCTGTATTTCTAAACATTAGCACTGAATAATAATAGAAAATGGAAATTAAGAAAGCAATTCTATTTACAGTAGCAATCTCAGGCAATAAAACACCTAGAAATAAATTTAGCCAAGGAGGTACAAGACTTGTACACTGGTAAGTACAAAATGTTGCTGAAAAAAATTAAATGAGACCTAAACAAATGGAAAGATATCCTGTATCATAGATTAGAAGACTTACTGTTAAAGTAACAGTATTTCCCAAAGAAGTCTATAAGTTTAGTGAAATACCTATTAAAAGCTCTATGGCCTTTTTTGCAGAAATAGGAAAATCAATCCTAAATTCATGATAGAATTTCAAAGGGCCTTGAATAGCTGGAACAATCTTGAAAAAGAAGAAAAACTTGGATTCACAGTTTCTTCCCTGTTCCAGAACTTTCACAAAGCTACATCAATAAAACATGTGCTGACATAAAGGACAAACACAGCAGACCAATGAAATGGAATTGAGAGTCCAGCAGTAAATCCATATGTATATCTCTGATCAATTGATTTTTAACCATGGTGCTTAAGATTATTCAATGGGGGGAAAGAATAGTTTCTTTCACAAATAGTGCTGAAAAATTAGATATCCATGTGTAAAAGAATGAGGTTGGACCTCAACCTCACACCGTATACAAAATAATTTAACAAAATGGATCAAAGACCTTAATTTAAGAGCTAAAACAAAATTTTAGAGGAAAACGAGGACAACTCTGTATGACTTTGAATTTGGCAATTATTTCTTAAATATGGCACCAAAAACACTAGCAGCAAAAAGAAAATTAGGTAAATAGGAATTAATCAAAATGTAAAACCTCCGTCCTTTTTCTACAGATAATATTATAAAGGGCTATTAAAACTCAACAACAAAAAGACAATCCATTAATTGATGTGGATGTTTTTGATGACCTAATAGTTTTGAGGACTCCTGGTTAAGTAATTTGGAAGATTCTTCTCTATTGGAATTAGTCTGTTTTTTCTTATGATTGCACTGGAATTTGAGGAGGAAGATCACAAATAATAAAATAAAAGACAAAAATAAAGTGGTCATATCAAGCCACCTACTATCAATGTGATTTATGACTTGATTGACCTTGATCAGGTGGCGTAAGTAGTGTTTGTTAGATTTCTCCATTGTAAAATTACTCTTCCCTTTTTGTGGTACTTTACTTTGGAATATTTCTATGCACAGCCCACTCTTAAGTAATGGGGAGTTATGCTCCCCCTTTACCTTTTTATTTTTAGTTGATTCAGGGATCCCTATAAATACATACTACGGTATTGTGGTTATTTCAGACTCAGGGCCTGAGCAGAGTGGTGCAGCGGAAGCGTGCTAGGCCCATAACCCAGACTCACCTCTTTACTACTCTCCTCTGTCCCCTCCCACGGTACTTTTCTGCACAAAATAATGCAATTGAGATTGCCCCATAATATGAAGGATTTTGTTAGGATTTGGATAACGTGAGAGCGAAAACTCACTTTAGAATAAGACATTAAAGAAATGAGAGCTAGTTTGCCCCCTAATATCAATTCTCTCATTTCTTGTAAAAAAGCCTGGGCAATGTATCCTGCTGGGAAATTATGTTTTTGTTATATTGCAGCAAGATGTGGCCATGTGACTACGTTCTGGCGGATGAGGCACAAAAGAAAGTGCACCCTTTCTAGGAAAGCTCTTAAGCTCTTAGAAGGGGAGGGGTGAGAGCATTTTCTGTCCTTCCTTTTTACCTGCTGCCTGGAAAACACATGTTTTATGCATATATAATGGGTGGAACTTCAGAACCTCTCTTGGACTATGAGATGACCTCAAAAGTAGAACCTATGACCACTTTCATAAAATACAAAGAACCTTGTTCATGATAACTTTAGGGTATTGTTGAAACCTTTAACTATAGCTGGACTTCTTATTTGAAACTGAAATAATTTACCTTGTTTAAACTGCTGTTGTTGGGTAGATATCTATTATTGATAATGGAATGCAGTCCTCACCAACAAAGGCATACAGGATACATAAAGAGTTGGGGGCAATATTTTTGATGCCTAGGGTCTCAAAATGTCTCGCTTAAGACTTGCTGCTTATAGGAAGTAAAAGCAAAATAAGAAGCCACAGAGTCCTTGAGCACACAGGTGGCATGTTCAAGTGGACTTGCAAGTTCTTCTTGGATGGCCTAGAAAAATGACAGGCTCTAAGGAAGACAATCAAAGGAAGTCCTCAAAGGCATTTTTGGAGTGGAAAGCTTAATAAGACCTTGTTTGGTAATACAGTGTACATTAAAGATAACGCCATAGTTGTGAAGAAAAACTCCCAGAGGATTGGTAGGGATATTGACAGCAGCAGAGAAAAGTGAGTTCAATACAATTAAAAACATCTTGATTATCAGGTAATAATGGGATGCTAGGGGGGCAGAAGAGAGTAGTCTTTATAGTCCTTATTTTACAGATAATTTTTGTGAAAGGCTGGATAATGGCCACCCAAAAGATACCTTCATCCAATTCCCTAAAACCTGTGAATGTTTCCTTCTATGGCAAAACAAAAAAGGAGAGAGTCCTTTACATGTAATTAAATTAAGGACCTTGCAGCCCTGGCTGGTGTAGCTCAGTGGACTGAGTGCTGGCCTATGAATTAAATTAAGGACCTTGGTTATCTTGGGCTATTTGTGTGGGCCATAAATACAATCGTATCCTATGAAAGGGAAATAGAATGAGATTTTAGAAGAAAAGGCAATGTAACCAAGTCAAAGAATGCCGTCATGTATCCATGAGCCAAGAAAATGCTGGCAGCCAGTCACTAGGATCTGGAAGAGGCAAGAACAGAGGAGAGCAGCCCTGCCAGCACTTTGATTTTGGCCTGGTGATACTGATGTAGGACTTCTGGCCTCCAGCACTGAAGGAGTTATTATTGTCTAGAACTAGTACTGGTGAGAAAGAAAAACTTTCCCTTTAGGATGAGTCTTCCCCAAAAGGTAAGAAAGAAGAAAATTGTCGTGTGAGAGTAAGATGAGGAAGGAGATGAAAGAGGTTCTGAATTGATTTTGTGTGAAGGGGAATTCCTCACCTTGAAGTTGAAGTGCTCCAAGTTTCAAATCAAAAGGAGAATGGTTTTTGCTTTTTTTTTAACCTGGTTTGGGTTTGGGGTTTTGGCTTTTGGTCTAGCAGAAGGGCATGATTGGAATAGGGCATAGCTGGTTGCAAAAAGACTTGCAACTGCACTTACTAAGGGGACCAAGAACTGCTATTTTGCTGAATCAAATGTGCACTCATTCTCTACCATTCAGCATTATTCCATGTGCTAGAACACATGTATTTCTTGAAACAATTTTTTCCAAGATCAGGACCATGTTAACTGTTTTTAATTGGGAAGGTGTTGTCCATCACAAGTATGCCCTTCCAGGCCAATCAATTAAGGGGTACGACTACCTTAATGTTCTTTGTCAGTTGAGAGATGCAATATGATGAAAACAGCTGCAGCTATGGGCAACTGGTGATTGGCAGGTTCATCAGGACAATGTGCCTACTCATGCATCATATCCTCTGCAGAGTTTTTTGTCGAAATGTCAAATCACCCAGGTGACTTAGCCCCCCTATAGCCTAGATTTGGCACCCTGTGACTTCTGGCTTTTCCCAAACTAAAATCACATTCAAAAGGAAAGAGATTTCAGACTGTCGATGAGATTCATGAAAATACAACAGGGCAGCTGATGGTGATTCCAACAATGGATTTTGCCATGTTTTGAACAGTGGAAGAACTGTGTGAGGTCCCAAGGTCCCTCCTTTGAAGGGGACTGAGGTATCATTCATTGTCCTATGTACAGTGTTTCTTGTATTTTATATCTTCTTCAATAAATGTATCTTTCATAGTGTGGATGGATACTTTCTGGACAGATCTTGTATGATTTTTTTTCCCTCCAGATTCCAAGGCTCCCCACCACCCCACTCCACCCCTTTTTTATGGCTGCCTTTCTCTATCCTTAATCTTCATGTTCTTCAGAGCTTGGTCCTGGGCTCCTCTTTACACGTTTTTCCCCAGTGGTGTTTTCTGCTCTCAAGGCTTTAGGTACTACCTGTATATCAACTACTCCCAATTTATGTCTTCAGGCCATACCACTTTTCTAAATTACAAACCACATTTTGACCTTTCCCTGAAACCTGCTTCACCTCCAGAGTTCCTCGTGATTTAGAAATACAACTACCTTCCATACGAATGCTGAAGCTAGAACCCTAAAGCTCCCTTCTCCCTCAACTTCCAATCATGACCAAATCCTGATTAGAAAAATCAAAAATACCTCTCAATTCTCTCCATTTTCTCCACTGACTCAACTTGGTATAGCCAT